TATGACTGGATGGGCTTGTAATACAGCCCTACATTCAGTACAACTGTCACCATCCATTTCCCACTTCTCATATATGACAAGGTTCCAAATCTCTCCTCAACCATTGCCTTATTGCAAGCCTTGGCATGCATGGATCCAAAAATCTTTCAAGAAATCAAGCACAGGACAAGATCCACATCTCCTTCACTTGGCCATATCTTGTTGAAGTTAGCAGTCCAACACCACAGGCAGTCAGGGGCGGTAATCCACCCAGTACATCACCACCGGATTGGAGGAGCTCGGACCGGACAAATTGAACTTTGGGAGAGGCGTCGGGGTGCTCCTGCAACTTGGTACTGGACCACAAAGCATCCAGTTACCTTTGTAGTTCATTGTCAGAGTCTGAAATACTGTCAGAGACTGGAATTATTGTCAGAGTCGGACAAACTGTCAGAAGATGGATGGAAGACGGATTGGGTTCTGTCTGAGTTGAGGTCGGAGTTGATGCAGAGGTCTGTTGGAGCGCATGCATGGATATGGGGGCGGAAATATGCGGTGCGTCTGGAAGTGCTGTTCAAGGTTAACAGAGTGGGATCGTGGCCTCAGCGACTCAGGTGGAGCGCTGTGCCCTGAGCTTGACGTTTGGGGGAGATCCCGTATTTATGGATTGACACTCACAGCGGACTTCAAACAAGACTTGCGGGCAGAGTGGACCTGTAGGAGGAGTGCGAACTCCATGAGCACAGACTCAGAGGGGGGGAAGCCCCCTTTGCAGAAGGAGGGACTCAGACCAGACAGGGGGGTACTCTAGTTGATTTCAGACTGAGGTCCCCGAAAGTATTTACAAAGTATAAGTAGGTAAGGGAAATCAAAAGAGGGACCGGTCCATCCAGTGCGGAAATAAGCGGAAATGAGCGGGGACTTGTCAAACTAAACCAAGGACAAGAACCTGGGAAATGGGAAGCAAGGAATGAATAAGGTCAAAGCAGATCAAGTACCAATATTGACAGATTAAATGAATGAATAGGAAAGTGCAATAGCACATGGATCAAATGCCAATATTGGGGTGAACATAATAGGCACTCGGCAGGGAATGAATGTTATGTTGCCAAGTGACAAAAATGGCCAGAGGACAAAAGTGGAGGTCAGCGCGCAGCGCCGATACAAGTCTGCAAATAAGCGGGGTCGGTGCGGTGCCGACACAAGTCCGCAAACAGAGATTGATCTGCCAGCACTGTCACACAAGGACAGCATGAAGGCCAACAGAGGTACAGAGGGGAGTGGGAGTGTTGACCTGACCAGAGGTGTCAAGGGCAACCAGAAGTGGCCAGAGGGTGCAGAGATGGGCAGAGGGTGCGGAGTGGGCAGAGGGTGTGGAATGCATGGAAGCAGGGCATGGCTGTGACCACATAGCGGAAAGCGATGAGTGTGGTCCAGATGGAGACAAGGCAGGCATGACTGAATGCTGGGAGCACCAAGGGCTCAGGAACTGGAGGTAAGGTCAGAATACCGGCAGGGTCTAGGTTCTGATTATTGGCCAAGTCTCACGCAGTAAGGCAGGGGGCCAGACATGGGGTTGGGGGCTGGTTAGGATGGGTTTTGGGTCGGTGGATTCGCCTATCGGCATTGGTTCACCACTGATGGAGCCCCGGGATTTGTTGGTTGTGACATTCATTTCCTTTTGTCTCTTGCGTATCACTGTTGCCACTCATGCATGTACATATTTAAGGGCAAAGCCTGCAGATGTGGATACCCAACTAATCAACAGTATCCGACATCTCAGGCAAGTCCACCATCATTGTATTTACAATACTACCTAAACTAATCAACAGTATCTGACATCTCAGTGGGGCCCATTAACATATCTAAAGTATGGCTTTAGAGTGTCTTGGCTTTTGTGAACAGCGACCCAAGCTTGCATGATGAGCAAAAACCATCTCCAGGAAGTGTTGGGTTATACTCATCCTCATAGTAAGAGGTTGAATTGACTTCATCCAATTCTGCCTGATTGTCATATCCATCCATGGCCATCATCTTCCACTACCTCCGATCCTTCTGGACTACCTCCGCTCCTTCTTCACCAACCTCAGAGCTCCTGTATTCCATAATCACCTCCGACCCCCTCAATGGTCACCACCCCCTCTTTTCAATATATTACCTACACCTCCCTAAGTACGGAGCCCCAAAGGCCTCCAGACAGCTCTGACGTCCGCTGGCGCACCCCTGCCCCTGCTGGGCAACTCACCTGCTCGCCCTGCAAGTCTACCTTTGGGCCCATCCCTCCTCTCTGCTTCTGGGTTATAGCCCACCACTCCGCTAACCCCATAACCCAACTCATCAGTAATATTCAATCGGCTAATGTTTAACTCCATTAGCTCCACTCTGCTTGGTCCCACCATTCATGGGCCCGCCTCGCTGTAACTATATATACTTAACTTGTACATAGGTTACACCCTAGTGATAAAATCAACTAGAGTTGATCCCCCTTTTAGTTCTCATTGCCAGTAAGTAAATTAGGGCATGAACATGTAACTTGGCACAGTGCTCCTGGTCTGAGTCGCTGAGGCCAAAGCCCTCCGCCACAGAGACAACTCCTTGTCTTGCTCCAGTCTCTAACACTGATGCACTGAGAAATGTAGAAGTTTATCCATGCAACAGTGCATACATTGATACCAAACATCTTGGAGCTCAGTCTCTGTTGCAACACAATATGAGTTAATGGTGAAGGTATGCCATATCTTTGTTAGACACTGGTCCGGAGGTCGGCACCGAAGGTCGCCGATGCGGGCCGCTAATGGCCACGATGGCCGCAATGCCTCAGACAAGGCCCGAGGGTAGGGCATTTGGCCTCAGCAACTCTAAAGGGAGTGCTGTGCCCCCTAGCTGTCTCTTGGCCCTCATTTCGAACTCACTGGGGTTGCCTTGTTGGGGTCAGGACTTGGGGTCGTGGTCAAATCGATATTAGAGCTAAGGTACTATAATGTAGTATACAGGATATATATAGGAGGAAGAACTGAATGGAAGCGGACCCGGGCCGAAGGCCGAAGGATCTGGAAGCAAACCAGGATAAGGAGCGGGGTTGGCTGCATAGCGGCCGGCAATGACCGAGGGTCAAAACAAACAATAACAGATAAATAAAGGAAAGAGCGTAGGGCCGCGATAGCGGCGATGGTATCGTAGCGGCGCTGGACTTGGAGTTGGGCCGGAGTCGGGCGCGGGGATGATAGTGGCCCTGTAGGGGCCAAGTGGGCGGGGTAGGGGAGTCGCGCTGGGCACGGTGCTGGAGGCGGACTCGGGGTGGGAAGGTTGGTGCAGCAGTGGGGGAGTCGGCCAAGCATAGGGGAGCCTAGGGGCAAGCGGGGAAGTGAGCAGGGAGTCCTCAGGGAGGATAGGGCTGAGGTCGGGGCTCGCGCTCATGCTCGCATAGCGGGAATGGGCTCGGGCGGCATCGGGATGGGCCAGGAACGGGCCGGAATGCATGGCCGTGACACCTTGTGCTTTTGCCCCTTCCATTATATATATTGGTGCTTGTACATACTCGTTTTGGTTTAGTCTGAAATCGACCTGAAATGCCCCCTAGAGACTTCCTGCTCACCTACTGTGAAATTAAGGACCAAATGGACAAACAGCAATGGCACAGCGCTCCGCTTGAGTCGCTGAGGCCAAGGTCCCTCCACGCTAAGTCTCCGATTCCACTCCAGAGTCGTCTGTTTCGCCTGGTTCTAACAGTGTGTGCCCTGACACAATGTAGTTTTGGCGCGCTCAACGGGAGTGCCATTTGTGTCTGCAGACTTGCGCATTTTTTTCACTGCAGCTTGTAGCGCTGCATATGCTACGTTGGTTTTCAGAGGAGTTTTGGTAATGTAGTCAGTGATGTAATACAAAATAGCCTTAGCAGACACACCTGAGCCAATGAACTTGATGTCCATGTTACACTGTACAGCTTTTAAAATTGTTTCACAGTAATTATTAATTAATCCATCTGTGACACGCATCTGGATCTCCCCGGTATTCATATCCATTGTCGTCACTTCCATCTCATTATCTGAGGACAGGCCAAACTGACATTCACCATCCCCACGCTTGTAACATGTAGCGGTGTGCTTATGGGACTGGCACTTTTCTACTAAATTGTGGAAATCTTTGGCGACTTGGAGCTCTGTATGCAAATCAGGGTGACATCGTACACTACAAGGATGAAATGCATCAGAAGAGCAGGAAGTGTTGACGGGGGCAGGAGGGATGTGAGTACTAATAGTGTCGTCCAAAAAATCCAACAATGTTTGCTTCCAAGCATAGTCTTGGCCTTGCAGCACACGCTGTTTGATTTCCTGTGGATTCAGAGTGCCTTCTATCCACACCACCATATGGCAATGGAGTGTACCACGACCCTGGGTCTCTACAGTGCCATAGTAGGCCTTACAGGGTCCCAAAATTCCGTCTGCACAGATACCATCGGTGGTGGTGTGACCCAGAATGGCAAGAATGAAGGCGTTGATGAGCAGTCGGAAGAAGCGAGCAGCAATGAACAGATTGCGGGCTACAGTGGTTGCTTGATCCCAGTATGACGGTATGTTAGTTGGTAGTGCTTCATCCAAGTCAAAGTGGTCACCAGATAAGAATTTAACGATGGGATTGTACACATCAGTGGGATTGATGGTAACAAAGAAACTGGGGGGACCATGGTCGAAAATCAGTGCATGAATTTCATTTTGCATTTGGGTGCGGGCAGCATGCGATCCAGGCACTTTGGTGCTGACCAAAGACACCTCTTGGAGTAGTTTCCTCACAGCGAGTTCATCCGCCGTATCCATTGTGGAGTAGTCACCACGAGTTAAACGGTCTGCAATGGAATTCAATGCATCCGCGGACACAGCATTGATTGCAGTGGCCACTCGATCAAACGCGGCCTGAGAAGTTTTAAGTTTGCAGTATAAGGAGGTTCTCTGACGTTGAATGATGTTGAAGACGACAAATAAAAATGAGTAATGCTCTTGAAATCTGCGATCAGCTAAAGAAAAGACATGAGTGGCCATTTTTTCCAAACTGAGAGAAGCACGACGATTCCGATGATAGCCACCGATGCCATACGGAAATAAAGTGGGATATAGCAATGGTAACAAGTGTGGATCCGAATAGTGATTGATGGGTTCAGCACCGTGTCTGACTTGAATGTGGGCTCCAATGTCACCGTTGGACCGTTTTAGATGATTGAGAGCAGCAGCAGTGATCTGAGCAGTGTTCACATCACGCATATGGAGATCTGTGACCACCATGTTCTGCAAAACTGCAGTCAGCGGATCCTCTGTGAGCGGTATCTCAACATTATCATATCGAGCGCCTGGTGCCAGAGTCGCCATAGTGGGGGGTTGGGTGTGGATGGGAACAGGAGCGACATCAGTCAATGGGATTCGGTTCAATTCTTTCTCATCTAAAATGACATCACTGTACAGGGGATTGTGAGTAAGAAGCCATTGCAATGCAGCCCGTACTTTTTCCCGTCGGACGATCAGAGGTCGTGCATTGTTTAAAAGCCAATCTTTGGAAGGAGTGGTGATGCCGACAAATACCACACACATGGGAGTGATGACGTCCTCAAGGGAAGGAGGCAAAAATGGGGACAAAGACTCCGGTTGAGCAGGAAAGACTATGACGTGACCCTTAAAGGCCCTTTGAGCAGTAGAGAGTGTGGATGAAGAGCTTGGTCCTGTAGTGTGAGACGTGGGAGATCCATCATCTTGCAGATGTATGATCCATGTTTTGGCATGCCGTCGAGCAATCAGTGCTTCTTCAACTAGAGAAAGTTTACGGAGTTCATTCGGAATGGGCCCGAAGTAAAGATCATTGGCGATAGATGTAGGTGGTAGGCAATGTCGCTTGAGAGATCGATGACAGACGTGGCAAATCCGAATCATCGGGACGGATTGGGTATGGGAGGGGACTCCGGCCGGACATAACATGATATGTTGGAGCAGAGGATGATCAGGAAAAGGGTGAGGAGCGTTCGAGGGATAGTCACTGTGGAGTAAGTGATAATCGTAATTGTTCAAATCTACAGGTTGAGGAAGCATTTGGTCGAAGAATTTGGACTCACCACACACCGCACAAACCAAACTGGTAAGACGATATGAAGATAGAAGAGAGTAAAAATGTTTCAGTAAGTTCGTCTTGGACGTAGAAGAGAGCTTTTCCGGCCAACGAGCAGCACATTGAACACACCATTCTTGATAAGGATCCATGTCAGAAGGGTGGAAAGATGGGAACTGATCGGCCACAAAACGAAGCAGACAGTGTTCGATAGATTGCATATCTGCACGCGAATCAATAGGTAAGTGAAAGTGAGGGATAAAACGACGGAGACAGCCCTGACGAACATCAGCTCGTGTGACTTGAGTTAAAAAGTGGGCTAAATGGTTTGCGCGTTCTGACTGAGAGAGTGTCAGTGGACGACATCGAGAACGAGAAGGTTGTTCAAAGTGTGAGATACGACCAAAATCACAGGGGGAGTCGGTGACTATGTGGTCAAACACAATGGAGCGTAATTGGACACGATTGAGAATTTTTGGGATGTGACGATGGAGATGGTGGAATCGACATAGAGCGACTAAGTCTTGATGACTTATTCGATCCAGATTACAAAGAATTGTCAATGCGTCAGGAAATGCAGCGGGGATTTGTTGACAGCGTCGAATGATGCCATGGAGGAAGTGTGGATCCCCACTGACGGATTCATTTGCACATTGAACACCTAGAGCAGCACCAACTAAAGTTTGGTGTTGATGGGCGAAAGATTGAGAGAGAAGGAAGTCATGCAGTCGTTGGAGGTGATCATCAATTGGCGGAAGCTGGTTACATTCTTCAACACAACCATCAAACGGAGAGCCGTAGCAGTGAGCATGCAGAATATGATGCATTAGATGTAATCGCATGTCATGGGTCGTTAATGACGTGGAATATAAACCATGAAGGTATGCATAATGACTGATGGTGGGTGGATCGAGGTCCAACACATCATTCAAAAATGAGTATGACCACAAATCTGCATGTATGGTTCAAAGAGTGCATGAGAAGAGATGTACACAGACTCACTCAAGTTAGAGGAAGTTGTCGGACGTGATTGAGTTGCAAAGGTAGCATGAGATGGATGGTCTATGGCGTGGGAGTTGAGAGAGCGGATCAGAAGCTATGCAGAGGGACTCACTGAAATCAGAAGAAGCCATAGTGAGAACTCGGACGTGCTGATGCATTGTGAGGTGGATGGTGTTGTGGCGTGAGTTGCATTGTAGCGGAATCAGCCGGAATTGTATCGTCATATCGTCATATCGTCAGAATGGGAAAGAAGGACCCTAGGTTACAGAGGACCATGTGCACAGAGTGGGGCCTAAATTTACAGGACCCGCTACGGAGTATCGGGAATTTTTCGGTGGCTCATTCCATAATAAACGCCCACAATCCGATAGCTTGAGGCAGGTGACCAGCCTCTCTTTAACGGCATAGACAATCCGAACATCTGGAAGGGTTCCATACTCGTTGCAGGGACAACCCCGGCATGGAGCGAGTTACTTCTAGTGTATAAGAATGCCAATTAGCGGCTTCAGCATGTGAGTATTTGCGGGGGGGCGCTTCATTCAAATGAATGACATCAACCCCAAGTTGGCTCCCACGCGCCTCAACTTGTGTATTTAGGCACAAAGTCCGCCAGCTACGTCTGCAGTGCTACCGTGTCCACCGCCTCGATGCCATACGCTGGGTTGGTGTCCAACAAGTCAGCGGACCCACCGGTTGTCTCTCCATCTGGGGAGTGTGCTCTCTTATGTTCAGTAATTCAGCGGACTGGTCTTCCCCGTACTCGAATGATCTTTGGGCAATTGCCCGTGTTCCATGTTAACCTTGTTCCTCATCTTATTCTGTCCAGCTATGTGAGTGATTCTAGAAAGTCTGCTGAGATACTTGGGTGTGATGCGGTTAAGCGCTCGCTTGCGACTACACTTTGAGATTGTATTGCCGACTTATCGCCTTAGTCATAAGGGGAAGCCCTGTCGATAGCGCGTGATGGCATCTAACCGGAGAACCTGCCATTACCCCTGTGGCGTTAAGTTCTCCTTTGGGTACTTCGCCTCAGAGCCTCAGAGCCAATGCAGGGTATGCACAACTGCCGAATAACAATTTGACTTCTCAATTCCATTACCCTTTTTTTAGATTTGCTGTTCAGAAGGACCCGAAGGCATCCCGCATGATGCCAACCTCGGTTCACCTGCTCACGTAACACCCTATCCATCTGCCCGCTTAGGGGAACTAGCTCGCGCCGGCAGTGAGATGTTCCCCAGGACATCCTTCTTCCTCATTCGACAGTTCTGGTCCGTTGTAGTATGAACTGTTAGGATTCGGAACGCCAACGTACGCTATCATATGCAGAATCAAATCATTCTGGTGTAGAAGCGTCAGCACTGCGCCTTTGTCCTGACTATATTTTAAATTTCCCAAAACATATACTTGCCTTTTTGCGCCTGGTAGACACTTGCCAAGATATTAATTTCTTGCTTCTCCGGAGTGCTAGCGAATTGGTCCTTGTACGTACACAAAGGCTTTCGAGTTGCATTCACCGTGGAATGTCTTCGGGATTGATGACATTGTTTGAGCGAAGCGACCCCACAGAGATAGTGCTTTCTCGCATGCTGCATGAATATGAAGCCGCTCATTGAGATTCATTTTCCTGATTCATGCACTTGCTCTCCATCCCCGGGCTGTCCCTGCAACGATCGTCAGCTGTTTGAATTGTGGGCGTCTTTTTACATTTTCTATCATGGAACAGGCCTTCATCACTCAACGTGTCTGTCGGTGAGCGATCACAACCTCAAGCTATTGTATCATCACTGGGGGGGGATCCATTCATGTCCTTCGTTCCCTTTCCCCATAGAAACACTTCCGCTGCGCAGTATTTTGCCATTCCGTGCATTCGCGCTCACGCGGCGAGACTTGGTACCATGAAATCTTGACATGTATCATAGGTAAGTAATGTGTATCCCAGAAAAAAAAAAAGAATGCATCCCAGTGATACAGGCCATACATAATGCGCTGTATGCTAGCCCAAGTGGAAGGAGGCCTGGATTGACGGTCCGGTTTTCTCCACCTGAGCCACCAAGTTAGCACAAATATTTATTCGAGGTTGATTTTCCAACACTAACTTGACCTGCTTAGCAGCACTATATTACGGGTATGCGGACCATTGGTGGAACAAACATCTTGACATTTGGTTTCCAACCTACTACGCGACGAAACTAACCCATTCCGATCCTCTGGCCTTCGAAATGGATGAACTACTTCCAAAGACTAGGCCAAATTGGGCCTCCAGTCTTTGGTTCCAATTTCGTCCTCTCCATATCTCTAGATGAGAACCAAGCGCCCTGGAAGCTGCCCGTTCATTAGCATTGGCTCACTGTAATATCGTGAAGAAACGCCGTGACGTTTCGTCTGCGGCTTTAGACTGACTTAATCGTCGCAGCATTCCCTCCCTGCATGCGCAATCCCTCTCCCCTTGTCCAAACCTCAAGCATCCATGGTAGAGCCCTCACACAATTTTATTCTGAGGGGGAGTTCCATTGGGTCTGCCGGCTTGTGCTCGGGAAAATTTGCCGTTTCTGGCAGGGGGTGGGTCTCACTCGATGAAATCAAATTGGCTGTAAACAGATCATATGAATCACCCACGTCGACTTCCCTTTACTTCGTATATGTAATGTGCTGAATTTGATTTTCAGACTACAAGAAGCCGAATATTCGATAAAGCATTATGGGTAGATATCTCCAGCGTACCTGTATTATCCTCGCCACAATGGCAGCCACCCTCATTAGTTTTGTCCTTGCCGAGGCTAACCATCAATACCTTCCGCCCAACGACACGCTCATCCGAGTCCCCCAAAACGTCTCGGAGACTTGCAACGACCTGCGTCACTGCCGAACGATGTGGAGTGTGGTGTACAGCTGCCTCCTCACAGTGTTCGCCTGCATTTGGACAGCATTTCATCCAGATGTGCTTGAAAATTATTCTGCTTTGTCGCTCAAATTGGGTTCTCGTATCGGCGGGTTGATCTATATATTGATCTTCCCAGAGTTGGCTGTTTGTTTTGCATGGTATGATTTTTCCAAGGCTTGGAGCATATCGAAAAATTGTGCTGGAATTGAAGGTTTGCGCTGAGTTGTTAAACTACTAGCCCAATTCAGTTGAAAGCTTGACTTGAATTTTTCACCAGGATGGACACGTACTCATTCACATTTTGTCGTTATGAATGGTTTCTTCGACCCGTCCAGACAGAAATCCGTGGTACCAGACAAGAATGAGGATCCTTCTGCTCTCTTTGAGAAATACCCTGGCATAATCGACAAGTCGGGAGATCGCAGAAAGGTCGCAGTAAAAAAGGAGCAGATCCTTGACAAAAGTAAAAGGGACCATTTCTCAAAGTCTATTGTCATCATCCAGTTGCTGTGGTTTACCACTCAATACATTGGACGATGGGCGGCTCATATACACAGGTCACAGCTTGAAACAATGACTCTCGCTTACGCAGTACTCAGCATCCTTGCTTATGTATTGTGGTGGAATAAACCACTGGATGTGCATGTCTCAATCCATGTCACTGAAGAGGGCCCCCCAACTTCTTCTGAGCATCCCAATGCCAATCAAGTGCGGGCCGAAACAGAGATGAAAGCAAATCCGAACCCCCTCGAGGCCCTCAAAGCGACGATCATGGAGATAGATCCCTGGCAGATATTTGGGGTCACTGGCGTCCTCTTTGGTGGGCTCCATTGTTTGGCATGGTCATTCCAATTTCGAGGAGACTGGGACAGAAATTTGTGGCGTGCGGGTGCAGTAGTTATTACAGTGACCCCTGTACCTTTTGTATGGGCTGTAAAAGAAGCGGACAAAGGGGGTTGTGTTGCCACTGTATGCTCTCGCCTTCTTTCTTTTTTGTATGGTGCTGCTCGGGGTAGTTTGCTTGTCATCGCGTTCGCGTCTTTGGGATTTGCGCCTGCTGATTTTTACAGAACAACCCCTTGGTCCTCATTCATTCCTCACCTAGGATAGCATATATAATGGCAGCTGTACGGTATATATGCATCCTTATCATTCTGCAATTCGCGGTATCCATAGTGGACCTGGTCCCGCTAAGGTTCTGAGCAATACATGTAGGTGCCTGTTACGGATACTTTTCACACTGGGGGCGCTAAGCAGTGGACGCTTAATGGCCTGGCGGCTGCCAGTGGCATGCACGCCGAAGCAAACTCCGTCCTCTCCGCACTGGCCATGCCTTCGTAAGCCAATATTACGCCCACCGAGACATACTGCGAGACTTGACATAGACGGAGACCCAAACTTAAACCGACCTCCTCGGGAAGATGGAAGCCTAAGGATTACTAGCTTCCTGAACGCGACCAGAGCGTACGAGATGAAACCACTTGACAAACATATATAGACCCCTGACCCCAAGAGATAACACCCGCCCTCGATCTTCTTCGAAATCCGGTGGCATAACATCCAAACACATGTAAGCGGTGACTCCCAAGGGTGTTAACAAAGTTAGGGAGATACCTGGACGAAGGACGGGACTCCCCAGATCGAACGGATCACTTATTCTGCACTTTATTGATTTCGAGAACCCATGTGGCGCTCCCACGAAGTCTACAGGCTAAATACACACACACACACACACAAACTCCACCTAGCAAAAAGAATGGATTAAAGCAAGCTACTCCGAGAAAGCCGGTATGAGGACACCCAGGACTACAAGCGAGACGAGCGTGATTGGAGGTGTGGACTCGACATGAATTGGCAGTTACACGGGCCAGGGGTACGGGTCGGTGGTCGTTTCGCACCGTGCCGGCAGCGCAGCAAGCGGGGCAGCAACTTGTCGCTTGATCTCCACAGCCATCAGTCAGATCGTTCTCCGAGTCTGCGCCCAAGATCAAGTGCCAGTCTCCAGACAGCGCCTTGGAAGCGTAAAAGGTCTATGGCACCATACCGGGATGTCGGAAGTGATCCCGTTCAATTTGGCCAGTGTCGCTCGGGTGGGTCATTATCGATCAACAATACTTCGATCCCCTACGTATGATGCGCGGCATCTATCCAAGATGCGGCAGGAAGGAAGACCAAGGAACGGTCTGGTATAAATCGGGAGGAGGCAGGCCCAAAGAGGTGAACGTAAGAGTAAACGAGATGAACCGAGCAGCAGTGTAAGTCATCAGAGCAAGTGTCCCAAAAGCCGCAGCGATGTCGGAGTCATAATATTCCGTGGGTCCTAGGCACACAGTGATAGGGATAGGGCACAGTGTAATGATTATGGATGAAATCCGCTGGTCGTTACTGCGTGCGTGTGTGTGTGTGTGTGTGTAGTGAGTCTGTAGAGGGGTCCGTTTGGGATGACTCTACGGAGGAGTCCCCCACTCAGGTCTGTCGGAGCGACTGAAGATTACCTGCCCGTGTGGCCATCAAGACTGCGGTGACCAAGTATTGGTGCTTTGATACGAGATTTGAACTTCGCTAGTGTTGAAAATTTTCACAGGCACCATGACTAATTTCCAGCGTGCGGTACGCTTGCTGACCCTGGTTCAGTTTCCGAGTGCGAACGAGTGGGTGCGCACGCTGAATGTCCAGTGTCACAAGTTATGATATTTCTGCTAATTTCCTCATGGCAGGGCACTCCTACTGCGTCTATCCAGGATCAGAGACGTTAACGTTTTCGCAATAGACAAGACGAGAATCTGGCCAGTACAACCACAAACACACCATACTGTAGACGACCAAGTCATCCAAACTAAGCCCTACGATTCGCTAACTGGGACCCGATTGGTAGTTCCACACATGCCATAATCGTTCCCTTTGGTATGGGGTAAGATTTGGAAGATGAGCAGGTTTCCATCTTTAGGTCACAGATCCCCTCCCAAGTTGGAGGCCCAAATTTGGACAAGGCCAAGTTTACTGCCCTGCAACAGAGGGTTCGCCACCCCAACACCAAATTTGGGCATGAACACGTTGACGTTTCACACGTGGTTTCAAAGGTTTTCAAATGAGGGCGCCCCTTTGATGACCAACGATAACAACATGTACACAGTAATCCAAACGAGATTTTTTCGGGACATGGACGCGTTAGGAGATGCATAATCGATCAACGTCCTTGACTCGATGTGTGTTGCGGCTGCATAGGAAGAGACTTGCACTACCTGTATTCCCAGAGCAGGGTACTTGCCGTGTTAGGCGGCGTGGAAATAACCCCGACGACCAGGGTTCTTGAATAGAAGGCGACCCGAATAGGGAATCCGGCTTACATAACCCATCCTGGTCAAATGTATATAAACCTCGCGTTCGCTAGCTAGGTCCTCTTTAGCTTTCCGCTAGTGATTCATTAAGTAAGTTCGCTAACCTTTGAGCTCAGTTATCGGCTCCAACCGATCTTGAGGAACAGCAAATTGGAAGCAGCCGAAAAACCCAGAAGGCGCCACCACTTATGATGAATGTCTGGTGCATCCTCATCGATCACTGTAACAGGCCTACTGGAGAGCCGTTCCTGGTCAAAGTGTCTTCTACAGACAATGTCGCTCGCTTGAAGGAGATGGTCAAGGATAAGGGGTCGTTTCTTCTTCGCACGATTGATGCGTACATGCTCGAAGTCTGGAAATGCACGGACTCGACAGTTAATTTCCTCGATGCAAGTCATGAAGTGCTTGAGGAGCGAGTCAGCAAGGCTTTCCATGACGCGAGGGTGGAAAACCTCAGTGTGAGACAGGTGGTGGCAGATTTGATCATCTCAGATAGAGAGGCACTGCTCGTGCGGTCGCCCCATCTGGTGCCAGATACAGGTACGCAGTACATTTACTTCTGGCCCGTTATTGTTTGTTTACAAATTATGACTTTCTCATGTGCTCCGCCGATACCCAACAGTCTATCGTATCTCTGAGAACGATTCACGCTACGGCAGCTTGGCTGCCATCCGCAACTATCTCTGGGGAAACGAGGCTCATTTGCGTGAAGTCATTACTCGCTCCTCGATCCATGTACCCGACCTTGATGTCAGCTACAAACTTCAAGAATCTGAGACAGAGGACGTCACGATGGATGATGCTACGACGAACACTGAGGCAATGTTTTACGACCTACTGAAGATCCCGAAGGTGTCGTGGCATACATCCGAGGTGCTCGACATGAGGTTTTATGTGCGGGACGAATACCATGAACTCGATGCATTCGTGGAGGAGCGGAGGCAATCAGACGTCGCTGGGAGCCGTCACTCTGAGCCCCGAAGACCAATTTTGCTTGTTGGACAGCCTGGAATAGGTACGTGGGTTTGTACTGGATTGTCGTTGCACTGTGCGACTAATCACGCTCCTAAAGGCAAGACTGTCTATTTGACATACTGTCTCGTGAACCGGCTCGTACAGGGAAAGCCCACTGTGTTTTCCAAATCGCCTTTGACACGTTTCGCCTTTCTCAGCTCCGGCGTTTACATGGTTCCACGCGATTCCTTCGAATATTGGCAGGATCCCGAGCTCTCTGCAGTTGACAAGAACGTCACGGACGGCCTTATTCTCTGCGATTTCAGTTGGGCCGAGAAGGTCGGCACTCTGTTGCAGCGATGGAGAATGTTGGTAGCATCGTCGCCCAAGCTACAGGAGGTGCGTGGATGGGTAAAGGAAAAGGATGCGGTCAAGTTCTACATGAAAACATGGAGTTGGCGAGAAGTGTTTGTGTCTCGGTGAGTCAGTTGCGTGGATAGGGAGGCTTAGTGGTACTGATCTCTCCCTGCCATTATGCCATAGAGCATAGGGCCGGAGACGAAGCTTGGCGTATTGCGTTCATACGATACGGGGGTTCAGTGAGGTATCTATTCAATCGTCTGCAACAAGAGATAGATAGAGACCTCAAGATAGCTATCAGCGGGTACACCCTGACCGACCTCTTCCAGCAAGCGGTGGTATACGAACCCGAGACATACAGCCCCAATCTGCTACAAATCAACCCCCTCCTGGACGCGCATGGTGCTGTCTTGAACCGATCAAGCCCACGCACGGAAATCATTTCCCCCTTCATCTTCACCGAATTCATGAAAAGCAAAAGATCTGAATTGGCCGACATTCCAGCCTACTATTTCTACAGTTGTATGACGAACTCTACAACCTCCACAGCCAGTCTGTTGTTCGAAACTTTCGGGCATGTCTATGTTGTCAAAAACACTATAGATGCCCTTCGCGTACGAGCCCTCGAAGATGGCAGTGAACAACAATTGCATTTGGAACATATCGACCGAGAAAAGGCGGAGGTATTCTCTGATTTCCCATTTGACGAGCCTCCTGATGAGGATGATGATGATGGGATTAACAACGATGGCAAGGAGGTCCGTCGTCCGGACGCAGCCAAGTACTACCAGCCGGTTTCTGGCAACCTCGCAGGCATCGACTTGTTCGCTTTTGAAAGGGATGAGGATCACACCATCACTGGTGTTGTCATGTTTCATTATACGATCTCTCCTCAAAACCCGGTAAATACGAAACTCATCAAAAAGCTTTGGGACGTACTGCAGAAACAACACAAGGGGGCTTGGCAATGGAAGCTCGTGTTTGTCGTCCCAAAAGCTAGGAACCGGAAGACATTTAGTCAAGACATGCCCACTCAGGCCTTGACGACAGCGGTGTCTCAATTTGTGCTGGGAATCGATCTGGAGGATTTGTGGGAGGCAATGCGCAGTTCAAGCTGATGATGAACAGTACTCGCCATCTCCACACTACTTCCATGTGAACTGTATTAGCTAAACATAGCGTGAAATCATCAATGCAATTGTCGTTGCAGTCGAGATTCCCCATAAGGATTTTGAATCGTTCGTATCGATCGATAGCTTGCCACTTGGCATGGCATGTCGTATATCTGGGATTTGCACTTTGTCAAGGACATGACGTAGGCATGCCAATGCGGTGCTGTGCATGCTAGTTGGGGGATCGCCAAGGAACGTCAGAAACCATGCTGCAACATGGCAAGTTGGAATGCTGTTTGGTTTCGGCGACGTACGTACCGGACGCGCCAGGGCAGGCTCAAATCCATTGCCGACGTAACTAATGGTTGACCCTCTAACCGCACTGGTGCTAGCCGACTCAATTCATTGGTTCATGCGCATGTACGTACGCAGCTCTTCGATTTGTGGCTGGGTTTGGCATGTCGTCAAGATCACATGCACAACCCCACGCATGGTCTCGGGGAAGTCTTCCCAGTTGAGGTCATAGTAACTGAATGAAGTGCCAGATACTCGCTTAACACTAATTCATGCAACTCGCTCCAGCCCTGGGCTGACTTCCTCTGCAACGGACGTCATAGGAATAAAACGCCCGATCCAGACAAGATCAATGAGTGCAGTTAACTTCTGGTACCCTATCTTGGGTAGGAAAGAGTACACCAGAACGCATGTGTATACTCTACAAATGATGGCAGGCGTGGGCGATCGACTCGGAGAGTTAATTGTTAGCCAATGGGCTCTCTATCCCAACAGAGGCTGGCCACCTGCCTAAACGGGCTCTGGACAGATAATCATTGTTCTCCCACACTAGATGCTATCATGCGCTACCGATAGAGCAGTGCACGCTACTCATGATGGCAAGTGATAGAAGCGACAACTCGGCAATACAATCCCAAAGTGTAGTTGGTTCGCGAGCGCTATAAAACCCATCGCACCCAAGTATCTGAGCAGACTTTATATAATCATCAAAGTTAGAAAGGACAGAATAAACCGCCACTCCGGAGCGTGCGGAGCGTGCGGAGGAGCAAGATTAACATAGAGCACAGGTAATTGGCTAGAAATCGTTTGAATACCGTGAAGACGAGATCACTGCCGTAAACTGACAGATAGAAACCTAAGAGAGAACACTCCCCAGATGACAAGACTAGTGGTGGGTCCGACTTGTTGGTGTCCCACCCAGCAGCGCGGGGGATAGAAATCATAAATTGGTGCTAAAGGAAGGGAACGAGGGTTCGAATAACCCAACTGGTGCCGGGCGGGATTCAGGTGTGCGATTCTGGTACCCTATCTTAACTACTAGGCCAACGAAGCCAAGAGCGCGCCGGTATGCATGTGCATACTCCACAAATGGCAAGAGACGTGGGCGATCAAGAGTCGACGATTGTTAGCGAACAGACTCTGGACAACCGATGATAAATTGGACAGGGTGAATGCATGACCAAATAACCCGACGTGCGGCAATGGTTCGATCTGGTTGTGATCATTTTTTCAGAGGATAGAGAATTAACATGGGCTGCATACTTTGATGAGCACACCCTGCTATGCACTTACGTGCATCAGGAATCAGGAATGTTTCCCGCCTCACTTTTTCCCTTTAATATTATGCTATGGGACTCATGATGGGATCGGTGATTTCTCGTACGCCTGTCAATTTCGCGCTCACGAAGATATTCGTGTACACAACTGATGATTATCAGCGGGAAAACATCCAGGCCTACCACCCACCTTACGCAAGACACCAGGGTTGTCAGTGCTTCGTTCCATTTCCTTCGGCGTATCGACTGGGTCCCAGACTATCCCACACGCAGCGCGCCATGCGGCGGGGGCCATGTTATTGGGATATGTACATTATTTTCCCGAAATTAAATACATATTACTTACCAAGCTTTATAATGCATCTCTTGTTCCATCAGCATTCCCCAGCCAGGAATACAAACAGAGGTCTATCGTGGCAGATGGGGATTTATGATTTCGTATACGTACCAATCTCAACCCCAACGTATGGATATCGATGGGGAGCGGGAATCCAGCACAGCCCAAAGGACCGCGTGACCCAGGGGATGAGCGGGTTCCGGTGTCAGGACAGAGCGGGGGAATATGGCGATTACTAATGCGACCTGCTTCCACGAGCACCAACGCATGCAATGGTGGGGGAAATGTACGTCCGCGGAATTGCGCGGGTGGAGGAATTTCCACGTGAGTTGGAAAAGAGAACGAAAGTTACGCGAATCCCGCCCTGATTTCTATTCCGATAGAGGCTGGTATCCGGCCTGGTTGTGATCGCTCACCGATCGACATGTGGAGTGATGAAAACGTACTCCACGATATGTTCATGAGGTACATCAAGAAAATGTATCATTTGCCTAGGTGTCCAGGAGACTGGAGTGCGAATTGGTGCCATATTGAAAGGCCATGGAAGCCTGACAAAACTCCAGGAGGCGGTGAGACTGCCAACACTTTATGAAAGCGGTTGGCATAGGGCTACGGATATGTCCAGCTACGCCTAAAGCATATGCGCACACATAATGCAGCTACAACGTCAGAGGACAGACCAGCAGGCCACAAGCAGATAATGCAGCAGCACACAGTAAGTAATGGCCATGATCTCGGCCATTCCAAAGAGAAAAGCAGCGCGAAGGGCTCAGTGATTAAACTGTTGCACACATTTCCTAGGAAGCCGAACCTCATATTCAAGACAAACGTGCACATGTAACATGCACAGTCAGGCAAAAAAGCGGAACCAGTCATTGAATCTCCTGCTGGCTATCGGGAAAGACTCAAAAGAATATCTGTTCCATGCGGGACGCCACTGATCACAACAGAGGCCTTCGCTTAACTGCCTCCTGACGCTACCTGCGCTTGACTATTCTATATGGTCATGAGCGATAAATGAGCTGCATCCCAGATGGCTAAGGCTGATCAGTTTACAACGTACTTCTTGTACCTTGGGATTGTCTCTGTGTGTTCTTGAGCCTAAGGTCGTGTCTCCACGCCTCTCTTCTGCGTTTTCAGTCATCCTGGCACTCCTACTCCCGAACTGCATCGCCCGTTTCCTACGAGAAGCAGCCTTCACGAGCCCCAAGCTCCTTGCTGCCTCTCTTAGAAGGAGCTTATCACCAACACCATTCATGTCCATCGTAGGATCCATCTTTAGGAAGACGGGTACAGAAGCAGCAAAGGCCACGAACGACAAATCTAAGAACGGATACCGCGTTTCTCGGGCGTTCGATGAGATGACACGATCATCTCTTCCTAGGTTCCTGCTTGGTAAGCGGTCAAGATCGAGCTGAAGCTGTCGACGTGTGGTCATTAGCAAGGGAAGCACGAAACAATGGGCAATGGAAGGTCACTTCATCCAAAAGTGCAGGCCAACTTCCGGTCATGAAAGATAATTTGTGACGAGAATAACCCCCAAGCAGTTCGTCCGAACCTAGACCACTTAATAATACTCGAGCATCGCATGTGTAATCCACGGTGCGAGTCTTTCGCCCACTCCCTTCGGAAGCGTTTGGATCTACAACGTCACGAATCGTGCCAACACCTCGAGAGGCAAAATATAGCGCTAACGCCAGACTCTATTAATGCCCGACATAAAGCTGGCATTTCAACATCACCATTAACTTGTACTCACGAGATCCATCACCGTTCTGGACGGAAACATGAGGTCCTCGACGTGCGACCGGGTCCTGGAGGATTCCTGTTTAATCCACGGTAAGGGTCCGGTGACGCCAGCCAAGTCATTAGTTTTACCTCAAAGCTGACATTGATCTCTAGCTGAATAATGGAATGAGTGATTGGATGAACCAAAAAGGATTGGTACGGACAAAATTCCACCTTCGACCTGGACACAAGGTCCGAAGCTCCTCGACCCCCTCGAAGCCTGTCACGCGATCCGGCACAAGGTATATGTTCTCTAAACTGTCCACGGGCTTATTCCCTCGGGCTCGTTTCTTATTTTCAAGCTCCCGAGGATTTTCAAATGCCACGTTGAGAAGGTCAATGGGCTCATCTAGAGGTAAATAACTAATCTGCTCCTGAGTAGGATGGACAGACGATCGTCATTGCAACATACCGGTGTGCAAGAAATGCCACGATTGCAGAGTCAATGCCTCCTGAGAAAAGAACTGCAAGACGAGCCTGACCCACACTACGTGGAGGTCTATAAACTGAGGTGAGCAGGGTGATTGGAAGACGCCAGGAGCGAAATATGTACATGTTTGTCACTTGCCGCTCAACAGCCTCCGAAAGTCGTCGAACAAATTCGTCAACTGTTTCCCGGAACTGATCAAAATAGACGTCTGATATTCTGGCATTGGTAGTCTTAGCTTTGTCTTCGAATGGAAGACAACGGTTGAGACTGTGTCGGGCTCGCTGTGTCGGGAGATAGAATCAGTGCTCGCGGAGCGGAATCATGACACCACAATGTGAACATACAAAGGCTGAGGGCGTCGACAGATCTCGATCAAGTGATTCTGCGTGAATGCCTAAGTCTTCCTAATCATGCTCAGAGAATCCCTCGTCTGGAATTGGGGTTTTCCCTTACATGGAGAGACAGAACACTCAAATCAATGCAATATAGATGTTCAGCAGAGACCTCATCAAATGATTCGCTCGATGGGCTGCCGGGGCCAAGTGATGTGGATGCAATGGTGTACCAGGGGCAATTAGGGGTCGGAGCTCGAGTCAACAGCGAACGACGTCCCATAGGGTCTCGGCCAAAATACAGCTTACGAGTTGAGGACTGATCGCCAATAGCAATTAGACCCAAAAAGCCAACGAACCACACGGACTGCGTGCCTGGAAGAAAGCAAATGCGTACGGCCCCTCTAACCGCGCGAATACAGCAGTTATATCGCTCCCCGGAGCCCTCGTAAGCTCTTGAAAGAGTTTGGACCCATCGTTCTCTTCGCTATTAACCTTCCCGGGATATTATTATGAGGATTGCCCCGAATACATTTTGTTCTCACTGGTATGCCTTGGAAGATCTAGACAAACTTGGATAAGGATACTAGATGGCGGTGTTTGGAAAATGTACCTCTCCATTCCAACAGAGAACATCACCAGATTCGTTCTCATGAGGTTGATCGACAATATGGTCGCCGCGAAGATGTAACACGCTAGCGAATAGATCAAGTTCCCACACGACGCCTTCAGATGTGAGCACGGATCTCCTCAAAGTCCTGCAACTATCTGGTCCTGTCATCTTGGATATGAATTTGTACAAATGAGGGTATCATAACAAAACTGACCCCTGGGCTCGTTGAAAGTGCGCAGAGCGCGGAATTCAGCGTCACGCTTGATTTCTGTAGCATTGCAACCTAGAGACACAACGATACCACACATACCCAAGGTGCCGATCACCTCAGTTCAATCGGCTAAATCCGTCAGAAGGTAGTGCCCAAATCCCGCGCCCACGGATGATATCTTTATTAGTTGTAGACCCCTTGTCATCACCGTCACTATTATATATGGGGGTGCCTAGTGGGCTGAAGCATCTATAGTATAGGGGGATGTCTACGGGGGGTTAGAACGGAGGAAGTTCGTCACTCTTTACACCTTCCCCTACTCCCAATGCTAGTTTCTCCAATAGACTGTACGCTCTCTCAACAACGTCATTTACGACTACATGATCCACCACTTGCACCTTATCCTGTTCCCCTTGCGTCTGTGACACTGCCGCAGTACCCTCATCAGTAATAGGAACTCTTCCTGTGCGGGCATAAAATATCTCGTCCAGAGCGGCGGATAGACGTGCATTGAGTGCTTCATTCGTTTCGGTGCCGCGTCCAACGAGCCGAGAGCGCAGGGCATCAAGAGAGGGCGGTGATATAAAGACAAAGACTGGGTTCAGGTTGGGATGTTTCTCCTTAATGGTTCGCACACCCTACGCGTTGGGAGGATTATTGTTTTATCAGTTAGGAGAAATAGGCATTGTGACAGAGCTCAGGACCTACCTGAGCGTCAATGTCTAGAATACATCTCCTTCCCCTCTCAGCGACATCCTGTACGGCCTTGACAGTCGTGCCATAAAGGTTTCCAGAAAATTGAGCATGCTCTATGAAAGCCCCCTGATCAACGAGCGAGAGGAACTGCTCTCGTGTCGTGAAATGATACTCTTTCCCGTTCGTCTCGCCTGCTCTTGGGGATCTTGTTGTATCTATAGCTAGACGTCAGCACCCTTTTGTAAGTGACCATTGAGCACTGTAGGGGGCAGGAACGGGATTTCTTGTGCTACTGCTCCTCCCGTTTCCAACCGCAACGTCTGCACATTAAATGGGTGCTAACGGAGAATAGGTACTAACGCGAAACACTGAACCCAAACTTATCAGGATGATCAGCAAACAATTTCTTCAAGAGGGTGGATTTGCCTGTTCCGGAGGGCCCAAACACGACAAGAGGTCTGGAGAACGAGCCAGTTGAAGGCATTTCGTTACCGAAAATGACGAAGATGGAACGAGATTGGTGATGTGATCAAAGATCAACGCGCGATCGAAATGGAATCTTATCAACACACGGGTGGGGCTGTGCTCTATCCCCCTTCTCGAGAAGCCGTGTAAATGGGAGTCACACTTTGGGTCTTCGCCTCGAAAGTCTGGATTTTGAGTACTGGTCTGACGCTTGTCCAGTGGCCCTGTGACTGATAAGCATGTGCCTCAGTGCTTCTTCTGATCAGTTTCCCACGCAATATCATTGCAGTTAGCGCTATGCCAGGAGTTACAGCGCCGTCTAAAGTACTCGTCACGGGAGCCAGCGGTTTCTTAGCTAGCTGGATCGTCAAGACGCTCCTTGATCGCGGCTACCGCGTCGTGGGCACGGTTCAATCTTCACTTGATGGGGACTACCTTAAAAGCTTGTTTGGCGATGAGTTCAACTACGCTGTGGTTCCTGACATAGGTTTTGTAATTCTTCATGAATTCATGATTGAAAAATTTACCGATACAGTATATTGATAGCCCAATGCATGCGATGAAGTGGTCAAGGAAGCGAATCCGGACGCAATTATCCACACTGCATCTCCCTGTGTTCTGAATACTGAGGACCCCCAGTGGCTCATCGATACGGCTGTGAAGGGGACATTGGGACTTTTAGAAAGCGCAAAACTATTTGGGTGAGCGATTGTGCTTCACGAGTAAGGGTGGCTCTCAACTCTTTCCGATGACAGTGCAAATGTCCAGAGGGTCGTCATTACCTCTTCAATCTCTGCGGCCACGGAACCAAAACAGACCTCTGTGTACAATTTCACGGAGGTTAGTCTCCGTTGAGAAAGAATAAACGGAAACCGTTGGGCTGGCGCCCATTTCTTATCTCCTGCTGGCGCATCCACAGAGCGACTGGAACACGTACTCGCCAAAGATAGTTGATGAACAAAGGAATAATGCCCCAGGAGTTCATAAGTATCGAGCTAGCAAAGCTCTCGCCGAGCGTGCGGCGTGGAAATTTGTTCAAGACAATGAACTTTCCTGGGATTTAACGACCCTCTTGCCCAGCATGGTCAGTCCCCATACATATTCGCTCGGTCTCCCTGTGGCCCATGCTCACGTACTTCCAGGTATTTGGGGTACGTCTTGGGCGTAATAGGTTGCATAATATGCTAACTCGGATCAAATTTCACACCACTCCTAGCCTGTTATTCATAAAGTGAGTTCAAGGGTTCGATGCGACCCCCGATTTTGCCAATAGGACTCTTCTTTTCCGAAATTCCATTACAGGTGAAAGACCTTGCATCTCTGAATGCGTCATTGGCTGCGTTCCTGGACCAAATTCTTCACCCGGGAAAATCTCCTGCCCTTTCGACTAGTTTTGTAGACGTCCGCGATGTTGGCGAGGCGCATTTCCTCGCTCTCTCCCACCCAGAAGCTGGTGGGCAGCGATTTATCGCGTCTGCTCGGGAGTTTTACTGGCAAGAAATTAGTTGAGTGCAAGGTCAAGGTTTCTTGTCCCCCCAAAGAAAGCTGATGTTTATGATCTTCGTTACTGGTATAGCTAATGTTCTTCAAGGGGAAAACATCAATGTCCCTAGTTTCAACGAACGCGAAGATACGAGCATCTCCCAATCACTGACAATAGATAGTTCCAAAGCGCAGCGCGTTCTGGGACTGAAGTTTCGTTCATTAGAGGAGGCTGCCATCGATGCATACAAGAGTCTCAAGGAACGCTTTCCCAGTGATATACCTTGAATCACAATGGGGGTTGGGATGTGTGACAGAACAAATAGGATGTCCACTAGTGGCATTTTGGGATGGATTCCTTACAGAAGAACCTTCTTTATGGTGGATCCAAGCACAGCACTCTGCATTGTACGTATCAAGTGCACACAATCAGTCTACAACATTGAAACGTGGGCTGAAGAGTTTAGGCTGCGTGCTCTGTGTGTCGGGGTAGAAGCGCGTGGCTTAAAATAATCAAGGTTTAGACCTGACTTAAAAATCGGCATTCTATGAGACATTATAATTGGTCATTCTCGACGAGCTCGCCGCAAGTCATGTATTTGTGCGTGAAGTGATCACTCCACCCTAAATGCAAGAATTATCAGCGGCACAGAGGGAGTCAAGGGGTTACTGTAACCATTACCTCTCATGTTGTCCCTAAACAAAAGGGTACCAAGAGGGTTAGAAACTGGATAAACGGGACACTTCGCGAAAAACTACCTTTCGCTATCAGTGAGATCCGTCAGTGGATCAATTGGCGCGTCAACTGGGGTCAACATTTCTATAAACGCTCCTCATTAGGTCAAACAGAGTGGGAGTTGGTTAAGTTACCAACCTAGATCAAAGGATTGCTTCGCCATTCCTCTTGATGCATCTCGTCCGGCGAAGTTACCATACGGCCCATCTACAGATGAGAAAAGCTGATGAGCTTAAGCAGCGCTTAAGCACAAATTGGAGAAATTTGCGTGCCCGGCCCGTAAAACGTCTTCCCAGCTGTCACATCATATACCACACGGTCGATAGCTAACAATATCTTCGGATTCTTAGTCCCGTTAAACTCTGAGAGGGTTATAGGCGAATATTTCTTGAACAATGTTGCAGGAGGGTGCGTTTTTGGCTTCCACACATAAGCCTCTTCGTAAGACGTCGGAACCGAGGATCCGGAGTGGACCGACGATCGAGGGAAGAGAATATCGTACGTAAGGTATGCGATGGGCAGCCAGAGAAGAACGTTGATAGGTGTCTCCTTCAGCGTTGACAAGATGTAATCCATTGCAAGAGTTACCGGAGTTGTGAAGAACCTGTTGGGGACTGACCAAGATCACATGTCAACAAAGTGTGATGAATTGCGTGGCGAGCTTGGAGTTGGAAGACTAGAACTGGACGCGAATGAGCGCTCTTCCGCCGACATTCCTTTACCCTTCTGCAGTCGAAGAGGCAAATTCAATCTCATACAATGCTAAGCGTGCTAAAATAGCGCGTCATTCACCATGCTCTGCCAGTGGTTGCACTTGTCTTGGTTTGCACCCCCCTCCCGGGTGGCAAGCCATGGCGGACGATTCGGAAGATGTTGGGATTGTGTTGGATATGGCAGAGTTCTCCGAGGAACTTACAGACGAAGGTCACTTGAAAATTTGTGACTGCGGACACTCATTCGAGGATCATGGCTGCGACGATTCCATAGATCTGGAGGAATTTAATCGAAGAGCTCGAGCCGCAGTCAGAATCGATGAGTTGTTAGAGGTAACCATCGTTGGTAGTTTATCCAAGTGGTGTATAATTTCTCAAAATTTTCAGAACAAAGGACAACTTCTAAATTTCGAATATACCGACGAGGATATCTTATCGTTACGAAAGTCAGTTATCGGAAATGAGGGTGCTAACTCGTAGCTCATTTACTAAACTCTAGGCAAATGAAGCGCCCCTTGGATCTCTCTGCCATGGACATTGACATTCCTCTGGGTACGAATCTCGAACTCCCGAAGGACATCCCCCGCACCACTTACAACGCCATAGACGAATCAGATGCAGACTCGTCGTCCGGACTCAGCGATGCACCTATGAACGGCACTGGTGAAAAGGACCTGCTTTCAGCCTCTTCATTTAGCGATGACGACGAAGATGTGCCACTTGCGTCTCGACAACCCACCTCCGACACTCGAGCCCAGAAACGCCAAGCTGTTGATAGCATAATGATGGGTGTTGATGAGGAGCCCGAAGAAATTGTCGATGACTTGGATACGGAATTGGGACGCGCCGCTGGATTGGATACGAGCCTGATTGGTCGGCAGTCAGGAAAGACAGAATCGCACCCCACCCTCGCACTACAAACTTCCGACAGTCCCGAACATATAGATGAGGCTGCAGCTGCGGAGGACGCCAAGGCTAAAGCCAAAGTGATCAACTCTGTTGAACGGCGAGACGAGAAACAGGAAGTTGCGCGGCTGGCAACCGGAATCGCAATCGACGCAGCCGCGGCCCCTACTGAGGCAATTACTGTCTTCATGAAGCAAATGTTGGAGTCTCACAGACCCCATATTTAGTCGCCCCAGAAACGAGAACGACCATCCATCATAGAAGAACGCGAAGGAAAAATCAAGTTTGAAGTAGTTGTGAATGATGGGTCCCCAAGATCGTCTATCATCCTCACGGGCCTCAAGTGCCTCTTCCAGAAGCAGCTTCCAAAGATGCCGAGAGAGTACATAACACGATTGGTCTTTGACCGTAACGCTGAGGCGATGGCTGTGGTGCAAAAGGGGCTGAAAGTGGTAGGCGGCATTGCCTACAGACCATTTCCACATCGCACCTTCGCCGAGATCGTGTTCTTTGCAATTTCTGGTGTTTATCAGATTAATGTGACCTTTCATTACCTTCGCGGTGACCTGCGCTGACACTTCCTTCGATTAAGGGATACGGTGGCCATCTGATGAACCAGTTCAAATCTTACATGAAGAAGAATATGCCGGAGATAAAGCACTTCCTCACGTATGCGGACAATTATGCAATAGGATATTTCAAGAAACAGGTACGACAATTATTGTTGCACGCGTAACCGGGGATGACGCTGTTGACGCTGCTACAGGGTTTTACGAGAGAGATTACCCTACCGAAGCACCTATGGATGGGATACATCAAGGATTATGAAGGTGGAACCCTGATGCAAGTGTGTTTAGCTCCATTAGAGTCTCTTCGATTCACTGCAACCGCCTGGAACAACAGTGCACAATGCTTCCGAAAGTAGATTATCTCGAAGCTAGAGGAATGCTACAATCTCAAAAGGAGGTACTGCATTTTGTAACGTGCTATGTACACAAGTTACTGACTTGCTTCGATTTCAGGCAATCTTGACCAAGATACGGCAATTATCGAAATCCCATATCATTTACAAAGGACTCGACGTCTTCAGGAACGCACCAGAGGGATTCAAGATCCATCACAAAGACGTTCCTGGTCTTTGTAAGCGCAATTCAGATTCATATCTCTCGATGTTAGCTAAACACGCTAACTGCATCAGGCGAAAGTGGGTGGACACCCGAGATGGATGCAACGTATGTTCCCACAGCTTCGGCGTACAACGTCCCGGGCATCTCATTGAAAGCTCAGGCTTCTCCGACCCGTACGGAATGCGGACCACACTGCCATGAGGAAGTTGTTGAGTGAATTACAAGGGCACGCCGATGCTTGGCCGTTTCTTTTGCCTGTGAATAAGAACGAAGTGACAGACTACTATGATGTGATCAAAAATCCTATGGGTGCGTGGTTTCTGTTCACCTTCGCTTCTTTACCGGCTAATCGGGCTCCGAATGAGTAGACTTCAGCACAATGGAAAAAAAGTTGGAAAACGGCGGATACGCCGACTTCGATTCCTTTGTTGCAGATGCCCAGCTGATATTCTCCAACTGCCGTGTGTATAATTCCGAGAACTCGGGATACGCTAAGAGGGCCAATCGGATGGAGAAGTTCATGAAGGAGTACCTAACTAAGGCCGGTCGAGGTTGACCATCGAATTCCCCTAACGCGTCCGTGTCCCGAAATCTCTCATTGTGTACACCTTGTATCAAAGGGAAGCCCTCATCTGAAACCACGCGCGAAACGTCAACGTGTTTATGCCCAAAGTTGGTTGCGAGTGTCGTTGGGGTGGCGGAACCGTCTGCTGCAGGGTGGTAAACTCGGCCTCGTCTGAATCTGGGCCGCTAACTTGGGAGGCAATCTGTGACCTGAAAGACTCGAAAAATGATACCTGCCCTACAAGGTGTATCTTCTAAATCTCACCCCGTACCAAGGGATCGATTAGCATATGTGGAATTACCAATCAAGTTCCAGTTAACAATCAGTTTTTATGCCTATGGTGTGTTCGTGGTTGTGCTGCCAGATTTTCGTCTTGTCTATTGCGAAAATGTCAACGCATCTAATCCTGGATACATGCACACCCCGCGGATATATGTATTGGCATGCCATGATCCCATCGAAGGCAGGGCGGCTCGTGTCTGTGGCGTTCGTTAGAAGACAACTGCGCTGTAGGAGTGCCCTGCCATGTGGGAATTATCATCACTTGTGAAACTGGCCGCTCGTCCGCACTCGGAACCTGAACCGGGGTCAGCAAGCCTACCGCACGCTGGAAAGTCATGGCGCCTGTGAAATTGCCGGTACCATGTAACGGAGTTTCAAATATCGTATCAAGGCACCAATACTTGGGCAGGTTTTATTTTGTAATTTTTAGTCAGTCACTATCGCAGACCCAATGAGGGACCGATCTGCACCCCACCCATTATGGCGAGAACTGCATTTATTGAATTCAAATTTGAGAGTTGCCTCCACCCCCTTGGCTCAGAGTCATCCATATCTTGAATATCTTGAGATCCCTTCCGATATTGGAACCCCCTACACATCTGACAAAATTTCAAAGACGTCATTGCCTTGGCCTTTCCAAATTAAAAAAAAAAAAAAACAGCATGGCAAGTCTTCGTGACACCAGTTTTCTCATTGATTCTCAATCAATACAATTCGACATGTGTAGCGGAAGGCTGAAGCCTTGGGCCATGGGTTAGGTCAAATCACCCAGATCTTCCGATTGTAGGGTATGTGCACATGGCCTCGATCTCGGCAAGAAGCTCGGCAGGTCCACCCCATAATTCGTAAATAGGACGACACAACATTGCGGAGTCACGCATCGTATGGGCGCCGACGGTTGACACATGCCCATCAGACAGTATAACAATATAACAATAAACAGTAAATCTTAAGCTTCTGTTGATCACCGGATCTTACGGAACATGAGGGAAGGAGAATTCATGGCTTCCAGTTGATCCATGGATTTGAAACAAGCGCTCACGGAATCAGTGTTCCGCAGTGTCGTTTAATCGACAAGATTAAACTTTTTCAATAATGCATAACTCTTCAAAGTTCATGTAAATCCTGAGACATGTAGCCCCTACATCTAATCGCCTTTGGCTGCCATGAAAACAAACAAACAATAGTTATAACTGCCTTGGGCATTTAATCTTAATCGGTCGACTTAAAATAAAAGCAACACTGGTGCTCCCCATCTTGTTTTGCGATGAGCTGGGGAATATACCTGAATTAAAATACACAGGCCAGCCCTTGTGAGCAATTTCCATTGCAAAGGGAATCGTTTCCAATTGGCCATACAGCTATATGGATTTCGTCGATTATTGTCCTAGTCCTGTCGGTTGCGATCGTGTTCTCTACCCTATCACAGGCTCATGCACAACACCATAGTTCATCAAAAAAAAAAACACCACCATCTCGAGGAAACCGTCCACTTCCAACGCCATTTTTCTGCATTCACTCACACTTAGAACATCCTTTCTGAGCACGAGAAGTTTTACGGAGGAATCGACGAATTAGAAAATTACTTAACTAGCTGCTTGCCTCTTGGCTCAGAATGGGGTACTGATAAAGTAATCGTCCTTTGACAAAGTAGCGGGAGCCGATATTCTTCAATATGATTGGCTGCACTGATTTTGCTCGAACTTCTGTCATGGGTTCGAATTCTGTCAGTATTGCAGAGACCCTGCGGCATGCTTTGGACGAACCTGAGAGAATAGTAAATGCTTCACACCCTAAGGCTCTGATGGAACTTGAAGATGAGCTGTATGGATGCTGATAGGCCCCAAAAATATTTACGAGGCCCGTGTGCATTATTGTCCATGTTTTGGCCATCAGAGGGCTTTAGCCGTCCCAGACATCAGGAAGAGGTTCTCTGTTGAATACTGTCTTCAAGGAATAACCCGGTCTACAATGTCGTGCCAAACTTAAGCCCATTACAGGCCATCAATCGCCAGATTGAAGAGAACCTGTATTTTTCAAGTATCCGAAAGCACTCACAAGAGCTCAAGCTGAGCATAAGAAGTTCCATGCTAGAATTAATGTGGCGCGCGCCTACTTAACTAGCTGCCCTTGGTACGAAGTGGATCATCCATGACACGACGATGAACGGAAAAAAAAGGCTCCCCAATTCCATTTGATGGCGCTCGCTGGCATTCCGTCATTGACTCATTCGTCATACCGCCACTATAAGCTGAGATGAGCTGCTTAGACCACGAAATGTGGGATTTCGGAGTAGTATTAAGCTGGGACATGACATCCATCAGCACCTCACAGGGCTCACTAGCCGATCTCGCCGGTTCCAAGTAGTTAGGCTTCATCGCGCTCCCACCCCACCCTTCGTCATATTCGTCATCTACCGGGAGTTTAATACCCAGACTCGAGGGTCTTCATGCATGCCTTGGTAGCATATGAACTGAGAGCCAGCGAGTCTGCTCTTATCGTGGTGGAAATTGTCACCGCGTATATATGATCCTGAGGCGGTTGACACCAGCTAAGCCAAGAGAAGTTCAAGCTGACTCCGGACCCTCCATTCCCGCAATAATCTCCGGGGACCAGGCTGGTTCGTCATCCATCTGCAAGGCCAAACCACCCGAGTTTTAAGCCGGACTTTAAGGCCAGTCCTCTCATGCGAGACTCATGCAACATCCAGCAGCGTGACATTACGGCGAACTCCCCGTCTCCGAATCCCAGTTTCTTCGAAGTTTCTGGCTTCTAACGCACTATACTATTTGGAGCTGGGGGTGCCTGCGACCGTCCCGGTATCCCTTAAGTCTTCGGCATCATGGTTTGCAATCAAAATAAAGTTGGTATTGAAGGGTGGGAAGTGGAATCGAATCACCACGGAGGTCGAGCATGTGTTACAACGTACAACCGGGCCCCCCCAAGGCATGTTAACACCACATACAACGAGACGAGCAGGCAAGTCCACAGGGCCGAGCCGGTGACGGGTTCACCGATAATAAAATATTGCAGGACGGAATCAATGCTACCAAATTAATCATTTGATCTCACGGATGGACAACGACTCAAGCGCCCTGCAGCCATCTTGCACCGTGGGACAAAGTGGTGCACCTCGCGTAATTCTGACGGCCTTTCCGTAAACTTTTTACCGGCCTCGAAGCAGCCTAGCAGTGTGGAGTGTCGCAGACACAGTAGAACGAGCCGGAAGCGGCCTTGTTGTGCTTCAACCGGTGGATTGTGCTGACTTTCGAGCCTTCTCATATTTTTTGGTCAAGGAGTCAGGTACTCACTGAGTAGAACGCGTCCCTAGAAGCGTGCAGCGCTTTACTTCTGCTGATTGGGCCGGCGGGCTTCGGCGACACCAAGCAATATTTATCCATATCAGCTTAACATTAATGCTCTCCACGTCATCTGCAAGCCTGTCCTGCCCGCCGAATCTCTCCCACGCGATGAATGCTTTTCTCAGCTTTATGCTCTTTGTGATTCCGTGTGCGGCATGGACAATTCCTGGCGTTGGTTTTGCCACTATGACCCATTACTACCTCCCCATGTACGGGTACGCCTATTCCAGATCCAACACAGACCTAATTTACCCCCAGGGGTGCTATAGCAGCATGTGGTTGCACAGCGGATTCAAATCATTTCCCCACTGCTGCGCTCAGCTCCCTGGCATATGGTTCACTTAGTGCCTACGGTCCTGGATGTGGTAAGCGTGCCGCGATGGAAGGAACTGATTTTGCTAATGCTGGGGCTCGCTTAGGGCGATGTTTCCATGTACGACTTGTCAACACAATCGCCAGTGACCCAATATGGTACCCAGCCAACCCGCCTTCCCTGGTCATCAAGATAACTGACGAATGTCCCGACGGGGGACCATGGTGCAATGCGACTGAAGACTCTCCTAATGCGTGAGTGTAATTTGGTTTGGTCATTCCGAATCTCATCCATAAACAGAGCAGGACTGTTCATCAACTTCGATCTCGCATGGCAATCTCGATCTGAAGGTGAACAGCATGACATACCCTACGATTGGTTCCCTTCAAATGTCTCGTATTATGGATATGACGTCAGTTTGTCTTTTTGCCAAGGAATCTAAATAACGTTTCTTTGGCCAAACGTCAATAGGATTTTGGCGTTTGGAATGTCTCTTACACAGCCATCCCGTGCAAAGACAATTGGGCAGGCTGGAACCATCGAGAAGCGCTTGGAAGTGTATCGAACCTAGGGCCCGACGCGGTTTGTTGTCCAGCTGATCCGCTTGTATGTTCGTCCCACCTACCTCCACCCTGCACCTCCGTAACTTCACTCACAGACATATCCAAATACCACCTGCCCCTCACATTCAGATGGTGGAGTTGGACCCAACACAACAAATCATGCTGTGCCTAGAATATCTCCGCCAACACGGACGACTTTACCATTTATGCTTCCGATGCTTGGAATCACTCTACTCGAGGTCCTGAATGTTGTAGTATCATGACACTCGCTCCATATATGCGTGGACAACAATATACCCTTTTATTGGCGTCGGATTACCCTGTGATTCCATTCCAACGCCAAGTATTAGACACGAGGTAGGATAGAACTTAAGTACAGGGAAAAGATTTTCCTAACGTGCCTCTGCACGCCGACACCTGGGCAGTTGTCCAGAAAACATCCTAAGGTGCTAATTAGTACTCTGAGTCTTAGTGGCGTGCGGGCTATTAAGAAACAAGGATGTTCTCTGAAAATCCCTTCCGTCAAAGCAGCCTAAACGTGTCCTTCCAACCGTTCGCATATCGTTTCTGCAAGTCAGGCCTCATGCCGCTATAGTTGCCCATTGCCGCTCCTGATGCTTTTTCATCGCATGCCAGCGCCGCTGGTTGCATGTTCCACGCTTCACTTGCGAGTTATTGCATCACAAAGGGATTCGGTTTTTCTGTTAAATGGCCACTGGGGGTTGTTCGGAACAAGAACTCAGTTTTCCGCTTCGGAAATGGCATCTTTGTCGAATGGGCCACTCCTCTCAGCGCGCCTCAGGCCTGTTTTTTATTATTATCGACCTAGTCCATGTGAGTGGTATTCTCATCCGTCAGCGATATATAGGGCCCCTTAGCGACCTCCGCAGGAAGGGATTGATATTCGCAGGACATGGATCCCATATCGTCCCGCTTGTGCAGATGGTATCAGTGACCCTACTTCCGAGATTAAGTGCATTGCGAGCAATCTCTGGAGCCGCTCAGTCAAAGCCCCCATAAGCAAGAACATTGCCCTGTATAAGGAGTAAGGCTCGGTATCTAGAGCTGCCGTTTGTCCAAGACGCGTGAGGCGATTGGAACTATGATATTCGACTTAGCAATCTCGCATTCAGCCCAAGGTGAGCACTCCTACGCCATCTCTCTCTCTCTTCCCAAGAGCTAGAGAATGCCAATACTAGTGATGCTCAATCCTGAGTGCTTCCTTAGTATTTTCATCAATTGACCTTAAAAATCAGAGTATGCACTCCATACACCGAGGTCCCACGATGACCGTGCCCGAAATGAAGCTGTAATTAGCACGTCACACCCACTATTCCTCCCAGAAGATGGGGCGACGACGGTCGATTCACAGAGGGAATTGGCTCGACGAGCCTGAATTTTGGCTAGGCTTAGTGTTCGTTTTGACTTCAGACGGAGCCCCTTCTACGGTATTTCTAGCCTAGCCCCATGCCGCTCTCAGGACCCGACACTGCGTGTGACATAATGTCCTCTCATGAGCGGCCTGCAATTTAAATATTCAGGTTTGACCCATCTTTCATCCAAAAACTGCCGTCTTCTACGAAAACACATTACGTACAGAGTGCCCCCTAAGGGCGTCGCTTTGATACTCACCGTCCCATGGACGGAACATGGACGACTTTACCGAACACATGGGACCAAGACTGGAAGTTCGCAGATGCCAAAACAGGTCGTTGCAGCTGCTGTACTGTGATGTTGTGGTTCTCGACCTTCACAATCGATTCCCTGGGGTGGATCGGTCAGACAACGTTCAAGGATGAAGCCTCGAGACGTTAATTTGTGATACGAGATTAAGGGTGCCCCCAGCTTGATAATGAAAAGCACGAAAGGATACGTAGCATAGCGACACCGGGCGCGGAGATAAAGGGTGGGTGAGCAAGGTGATGGAGACACCCGCAGGATCTGCAATCCACTTCGCCTCCGAACTCAGCACGGCTGGGCTCGAAGAACGAACAAAACCTCATGTCTGGTCGTATAGCATCCCCATGTTCGTCGAATCCAAGTGCCTGGATCACGTTGGGGAGAATTAGCTACGTAGCACTTAGCAACAACGTATACGCCCAACATTGCAAATATTAGCTGGGACGAATCCTTTGTGGTTCAGTACGTAGTATCAACGTACGTTCATTTCGATAAAGACTGCGATAACGGTCTAGCGACGAAAACCACCCGGCGAGTCACGAAATTGAGCATGCAGGGAGGTTCCCTGAATTGCACCAATTTTTCATTACCGATAGTGATGAATAGGGCATCCATAAGTGGTGAAGATAGGGGCTTACTTGCCGAGTTTACTGAGCAATCAACCCTCACTGCCATGTGGTATCTGATATTGGAATTGCAGGAGCCTGGACTGCCACTAATAAAAGGGTACCTCGGCGGAGAATCCACATTACTACATAGTAGAAGCCTTGAACTATAGGGTCTTTAATGGATGGGTATGGCCATAAAAGATAGACATAATGAGTGCCTGGGCGATGATGCCGTAACAGTTCCTTGCAGTGGTGCCAGAGCACAACTGGACTCGCGACCAAACATGGCCACATTAGCCGAAGCGTGCTGGGCGACAGCCGCAAGGTCCGAAGTGGTGAGGAGCAGCATAGATCCTTATGCATAGGAAGGGACGCGACGGGGCCAACCAAAAACGCAAGTGCCGATCTGCCTAGTAGTGTCTACCCCCCTCCAACTTGAACACCAGAATCAAGGTCCAAAGAATTAAATATTAAATAACGGAAGATGGGTTGTAGCCTCAGATGCAAAATCTTCCTCTGAGTGCAATTGGGAGTAACCAATATGAGAGGTCACGCGAAACAATGAAGTCCTGATAGCGATTTTCATCAACTCTGCGTCCTTCAATTCCCTCGAGCGATGACGTGCTCGTGCTAGGGCCCATTCCTTAGCACTCCAACACTGCTGGACCTTGTGCAGTCACGCCGTGCAGCCGCGCGGAGTTGACCGAAATACATCCATATGGCCAAGCAACTTGTCATTCATCCAATCATTCACATCATTCAGAACAGTTTCTTGGCTGCTGTGACCCTACTTGATGTGACCTTACTTGATGGGTGTCGTGGTCATAGTTCCTAACGAGGAATACGACCTCTCTTTGTGCTCTGACGAACGTTTGAATGCATGGTCGAAACCCGGTACCGATATATTTTGGCTGCGTTCGGCAGTTCGTGTAGAAGAAGTTTTCTGTGTTCGGACAAATGTGCTGGATTGCGACTTGCAGACTGCATGCTGTCGTATCATGGGTATTCTGGGAGCCATTCCCATGGTCGCTTTGCTGGGGTGCAATGCCCCAGTCAAGGTAGCACATATACTTCGGTTGCTTGGGGTGTTTTGAAAGACCCTTGTGGCTAGTGGGCTGCCACGCTCCAATTGGTCAATGCCATATTTACTTATCGCGACTTTCAGCTATTGTATTGGTTCGAATTTTGTGCCAAGGTCCACAAGAAATGTCGGGGGACTCGGATCGTTGTTCATACTCAGACCGCTGTGTTTGCCTTTTCAACGATTCGGCTTGTCACTAATCGGGGGCCGAGTTGAGGATGCGAACGCGTTGAATGGTTTCTTGTGTGATTAGTTCCACAGGAGATTTGGGGAGGCCCTATCATGAGGGTTGAGGTCTCGTAGAGGTCGCTTTTCTGTCGGTAACTTCCAACCGAGGCTATTCCACTGTACGATTCGTGAAACTTGTGTCGTCCTGCTCGGTTGCATCATGCTGTATAATCGGGCCAGTACGTGGTTGCGGATTCGGCGGCCACTTTCCCTGGGCGAAACTTAACGAACTACCCCTCGGCCTACCCTAGGGTGTTCTATGGCTTGTGATGCGTCTCAGTTAAGGAATTTGTCCCCATCAAACTTGCAAATACGCGGAAATGTTATGCAGCCCCATCTCTTTGCACGGGCGACTTTGTTCTGGGCCGAATTGATTCGGGGAACGGACGACCCCAGTCCCCTAGTATTGATGGGCTAGTGCGTCTTGGACACGAGGCACATTCATTCTCCAAGTGTCATTAGTTTGTGCACAACTGCCGAATTGTCCCCTTACCATTATCCTGGAACTTGGCTACACTTCTGTGCAGTGAAGTAGCGGGTGGCCCATGCATTAACTTGTTAGGTGCTATCAATACGTGCTGAATGGAACGACCTCCTCTACGTGGCATCATTGCAGCACGGCACTAGTATCGGATACGCTTCCAGGAGGGGAAATGGAGGGGCCTGTGAACCTCATATATCTTGGAATTTCGGGCAAATTCTCTTCTAACGCAGGCATGAAGCAATCCGGTGATTTCCGGACGTCTCCGAACTTTCAACACCAAGATAACCAGAGTGTCTAATAACAAATGTTGAAGCCACCTCTTCCCAGCTATATTGCGCAGTCGGACCACCCTTCCGACCAATTCAGACCGGGTGTAGCCCGGGATTACATATAGCGCCATGACGTCGAAAGAGCATCTTGATTGGCTTCCCACCTATATGCGGACTTCATTCTGGTTCCCGAGACGAGGGAAACGTTTAATCTTCCCGTCTTCTATACCATTCCGATTGCCCAGGCTCGGGCTTTGTCCCCCACCATTGGCTGAGCTAGGTCGGCCTCTGCCTATTTATTTATCATGTCTTTTTGACACATCAAATGTATGGTCTGTCTGGCCACAGGGCCTTCGTGGGGCACCCGCATTTTTGTGGCAAGTATGAACTTGCACCACGAACTGCACAACATGGAAGTACGGGGCGTGGATGCATTGAGGATACCTTTCACAGGCGTCAGGTATTCCGTCGCTTCCGCCGACCGTATCGACACTCCGAATCTGCAATGATCGCCCGCGATGACTAAATCCCTAGTTTGTTGTGGATAACTTCCCAAAAAAATTGCAAGTCAACTAGCCCCTCAAACGAGTATCCTGTCTTATCTCTCGCTTGACCAGGCCGCGCGTGCAAGTTGTTTTCATTAGTGCATCTGAGTTGTTGCTCTCTTCGTTTTCATGCTGCTGTTTATACACTTGGCACGTGCACCAGGACAGCCATACATGGTAAGTGCCATCCATGAATGCGTTGCTTTTATTGTTATTGATCGTGTTTTCTGGGGCCTACCTGCGCTTCATGCCGCGGCATGTTGAATCCCTTGTTCGCCTCTCAATTCTTGATGCCTCGGAGCTGCTGGACCCGCTTGAGTGTCCAGAGTTGCCACCCCCACAATTTCTAGTGACATATAGCATCCCGAATGGGGGGGACCACTAACCCCGCATAGCAATTTTGGATACCCTTGTCCTGTCTTCCCGTTTGGCAGCCTAACCGAATCGGCTCGAGCCGATGCAATCTGAATACGATAGGCGCCCAAGAGATATCGAGGCGCGCCCATTTCGCGTGGCAACTGTGAAAACATCATCCTCAAGCATGTGGCCTAGACACACCGATTTTGCGCGAAGTCGATCTACTTTGCCTAGCCTGATCCATTGGAAAATCACTACTACCATACCAAGTCCCACTTATTCGAGAATTTCGAACAAGAGGCCTGGCTTTCGGGGTCACTCCTTCCGAGGCTATTTTCAGGAAATCTCCGAAAATATGTGTGCCATGTATTTGACAGTGCGCACGCGAACCCTTAGCTCCTATTAAACGTTATCTTAATGATAAATCTTAGAATTGGTAATGTGTCGGACAACGGAACGAACGCAGGCCTTTGTTGCACGCCGCACTGCACATCCAAGTAAGTAGCTGCATTCACTTAAGGGCTGCTCTTGCAACTGTGCTACTAACGGTTGAGTTATGCCAGTGGAACGGTAATTTCCATCATTCCTCGTAGCGTTTGATTCGCCAACCCCAGGTCATCCCCAGGCAAGATCCGGCGAGAAACCCTCCTGAATCAGCAAAGATCATAAGCCAGGAGTGTTGAGTGGACTCTAGAAGCGCATGAATGAAATTGCAGTTATTTTAAGACTCAAAAACCCTTGGTCCATGGGCGTAACTCGCCAGCTGCCGAAATTCATCGTCTGGAGTGATCGAACTCTGCCCCGATCTCGTTACAATGCGGCCTGTCGTTGGGGGCAGTTGGGTTGGGTTGGTTAGTTTCATCCATCTCGCAATAATCATATTTTCTTTTTTTGGTTTCCTGTAGTAAGTGATCCGAGGTTAGCGGTCTCCCCTGATGCCTTTACACACATCAAGATAATAATTGGGTGATACAGAGAAAACAGGAGCCTCACATCATTGCACAGTTATGTCTCAATTCACTTGCAGGTTGCCATCACGCCAGCGAACGAGCCCTTGTTTCTCAAATGATTCGCAGCGGACCCGGAAGACTGAAGTATGAGTTCAAGTTGAGCCTATCCGAACCCCACTCCGGACTCGGCACAACTCCATAATCACCCTGTCCTGTTAGAATGTGCGTGAATGCGTATTTCATTGTTACTTTTGGCCTCCAATAATGGAGAGGATAATCTAGCACGGAACGCATTGCTAAAGATACACAAGTTGTAAGCATATGGAAAATCGAAGAGGGCAGAATAGCAGACGGAGGCGAAGACTGGAGCAGAATAAATGAATGAAAAAACTTCTACAAGTCGAACGTGAATAATTAAACTGGGACGGGGAATAGAAGACGAGGTACTAGTCTCGCAGAGCTGTCCCTAACGACTTTTGGAAAGATTGTGAGGGCGCGCCAGTAACAGCACGAAATAATTAGACCAAGACCAAAATAAGACGAACGAAAATGCGGGAGCAACGAGGCATGAAGTAAAGAAAGGAAACCAAGATGGCAAAGGGACAGGAGGATCTTCCGATTTCACATCATGGGTACATGACCCCAGTTGGGAACAGCACTCCATCGCTTCGGACAAGGACAACGGGTCTTCTCATCCCATTGGCTTCAGCTCCTACCAGGGACGGCGGCGGTCTGCAAATGAGCAGCTCCGACGAGCGAACCTCAACATGCTGTGACTGCTCTGAACCAAAGAAGACATGTGGGGGATCCGATTTCGAAAAGTTCTCTCCATGCAACGAGAGGACGCCGGCGCCGTCGGAGGAGACGTACTTATGCACAGCCATGGCAGGGGTGATAGGGTTTGGAGGAATGTGCAAAACAGAGGAAGAATGCGAATGGTGGAGAAGAGAGGATGAACTCTCGGAGATCGAAGGAGGAACAAAGAAGTTATATCGAACTTGATCCGTCCCAACGATGGTCCATACAGCAGTCTCTCCAATATCGATGCTCCAAAGAGCACCGGATACACACGAATCACCTGAATTGCGAGAGGAAACGGAGGAGACAGAATCCATCCTTCTGCGTCCATTGCGACTCGCTCCCCCGTTCTTCACGGCTCCCGTTGGTGTCGAGGGCCCACTAACTGAGCTCCTCTTACGACGAGCACGGCCACCATCGGTCATGAAGTCGAAGGAATCTGGACCAATGTTTTGCATGTGCGGAGGAGGGAAATATGGATCGGGTGATCCAGCTTTTGAGGTGATGGCCGAATTCGCTGCGATCGGCGACCCCGAAACGCTGCGTTCAGGGGAGGCACTCCCACTTCCATTCCACTGCCTGACATCCACGGGACGATAGGTATTTACTTTCTCCCCCATACAACTCAAGAAAGCACCAGAGAATCCCGGCCCGCCGTTCTCTGAAGCACCGATCCCAGGTTCGTATACTTCGAATGCGATCTTGTGCAATTGTGAGACGGGATCACCACATACTTCGCCAGGAAGACAGAAATTATCGGGTACACCCTTGGCAGAGTCGGCAAGCCCGCCGCCGGTGACAACGGTCGCTCGGTCGACCTTCCGGATAATAAGAACTGGCGAGACGACACCAGAAGTGAGGCACTGGAGGACGACCGTCTGGTTGTAGTATATCGGTGTCGACGAATTTTCAGGGGAGCAAGGGATAGCATTAGGCGGAGGAGGGGGGTAATCAGGGTTGAAGGGTGGAGGGACAATGGAGTCCGGCCCAGAGCTGGGCTTTGTAACGTCCACGATGTAAACGATAAACATGTCCCAACAGGCCGTTTTGGCGACGAAAGAAGGCGCAGACGTCCGCTGACGCGAATCAAGGCCAGGAAGAGGCGCCCCATCGGAACCCTTGAAGGAGGCCCCGGAACCTGAAACGCACAAGTACTTGGTTGACACCGTCTGAGAACGCAATCGATGGAACAAAGACACAGTCGAACCATGATTAATGCACACTGAAGCTAAAAAAATGAGCTACGCGCCCAAAAAAAAAAACCAAGAAAACCTACACTCCAAATTCTTTGCACTTTGTCTCTTCTTGCTCGGCTTGCTGATAACCTTTATAGGGCGGCTCGTGAACGTCCCGAGATTGTGTTCCTCAAAACGATCACTGTGTTGGGCTGTAACACTGATCTTAACCAAAGCCTCGACGCGTTTCTTCCTCTCGTCGACGTCAGAGATATATAGCTGCTTGCCAACGCATCTCCCTATCCTTGCCGAGCCATTTTCCTCAGCAGACGCGTATTCCTCACTATGGTCGATGGGTTTGCCTTGGGGGGTGGACCACTCAAGTGTTCCATCTGAGACATTGGTCTCACCACTTATGGAAACGGTCACCTGGGTCGAAACTGGGCGACCCCCATCCATCCACCAGTTTTGCCCGAGCAGGACCGCGGTTGGCGGCGGGCAAAGGAATCTATCAACAAGCGACGCGTAAGACCAAGTCTCGGCCAGAATGAATGAAGGGCAAAATTTGAATGAAGCAGGGTCCCAAACGATAACCCGTGGAAAATAAATTGGATCATTGACTCACCGCTTCTCATTACCGTAACTCTTTTGGGCAACACGACTGGACATGACAATGACCGTCTGTTCACCAACTGCCAGGCGGTTGGGAGCGTGGATGTATTGATTGAGGAAGGGCCTGTCGGAGATAAGCCAAAAAAAAAAAAAAAGTAAAAAATAAACGATCAGTCACGGCCATTCCATCCGAAACACGGAAGGGAATCGGAACATTGAGGAGTGATGATGACATAAGGAGAGCTGACTCCGATTTGCAATAGCAAAAAGGAAGAATGAAGAGGCGCGACAAAGTCTGGATAGGGCACGGAAGCAGAAGATGGGCTGATGAAGCGAGTGACTTACGCAGCAGCGGTGGAAGACATATTGATGTCGCCGCGCAAATATAGTTCGTTGCCCATGGACATCCTTCGTCCGAATTCCAAAGATGATCCGTATGAGGAATCAAACTGGCGAGGCACGCTTGAGGACGAACTTGATGGGTCGTTGTTGAAAGAATAATGTAACGAGTCCGAGTTATGAGTGCGTGGAACGCGAGCTGCAGAGGTAGAACCGAACGATGAAGGCGCCTGACGATCCACAAGGAGGTTAGAAAACGTGGACCCGGGTGGATATCGTCCCGAAGAGGCAAGGGCACCAGGCGAGATAGTACCCGAAGCGCTCCCCAACGCAGAGTCTTCGGGTACGGAGCTGAGTGGACTCACAACATCGTATGGTGGCGAACGGGATGAAGCTGTTGACGAGGTGGACGAATATGATGATGAATAAAAGACCTCGCTTGGGCGTGTAGCAGGAGAAAGGGCGACCGAGGACGAAGAGTCCGCACTATGGTAGCTTCTGCCTGGGCCGAAAGAGTTGGGTGTCGAGTTGAACAAGTCGTAAGAGTGTTCAACATAGTCACCGTTACCGGTGCGAGGATGCGAATGGCTATTGTACTGGATCGGCACCGTCGGTGAGTGCTCGTAGTCCGAGTTGCTATCTGAGCCACCGGCGGGGTTGGCACTGTTGAAGGTTGAGGATGAAGATGGGGTGTGATTGGCATGGCCGTTCGCGCTCGACAGATGTGCAAATCCTCCCGCAGGCATCGTACGAGGGTCGATAGCAGACTGTAGGAGCTCTGAGAAGTCCCAGTCGCCGTGTCCGCGCGCGCCAGACGCCTCGTCAGGACGACGGTCCTGGAAGAGAGCGGAGGCAGGAGGTTGCCAATGGTGGTGTTCCGGCGTAGCCATCATCTTGGCAAGGGAATAAGAGCTTTTACGCGTTTGTTTGTTGTTTCGGGACGCGGAGGGCTGAGAGATGACAGTCGGACGATGAGCAGTCGAGCTTTATGGCCAATCCCTCCGTTGGCTCTATAGTTAAGAAGGATATCGCCGGACACAAAAAATTGTAATTCAGCAAAAAATCAAAACCGGCATCCAGGGCGTCCAGTTATCGTAGCTACTCATAAGGCAACTGTAAAAAATAAAAGGTCCGTCATTTATGCCTTTTTCCCTCTGAAGATAATGAATTGGTTTTTTAAAAAAAAAATAATGACCAATTTTCCAATTATGAGTTAACGGCAGGAGCTCACCTGCTATGTATACTCGAAAATATACCTCAAAATTCAAGCTAAATGTTTACATCATGGCGATCCAGAAATCCCTCTCTTCGCCCTCAAATTGATGCTGGTCCGTTGCCCTCCGCCGAGTACCGTCCAGCCCATCTCCCCAAGACGGCAAGAACACCTTTGGGGTTCTGCATGCGCCTTTCGTGTATTTCCCGTTATCACATCCCACTTCCTCCTCCTTGAACTACCTCACGGACTTCGGGATCACGCTCCAATTATGCAGCTCACATCTCAAACATTTTCTGGACGATAGATTGCCGAAGAACAGTAGCGATTACACATACAACAGATCTAAAATTCTCAATTCTTTTGCATGTTATGTATAATGCTCTTCGCGACGGCTATGATAATCAGCCCAGTTGCGTTACCAAGTTGCGTATAAGTCGCCCTAGAACGGCCGATGGCAGGGATTGAGCTAACAGTACTACTATAGTCCGTCAGCAGCCCGCGCTGATATGCCTCGCGCAAGCGAGCCATTCTGCATGGGTTGGTGGTACAAGGGTTAAACCAGGAGGACGAGCCGATCACGCCCGATAGGGGTCCCTCAACTCTCCTGCTTCTAAACTGCGACCCGCCATCTTCCTCAGAAGAGATGTTTGCATGAACAAGCATCAAGTCCCCAGTCGACCATACCAATGGGTCTTCCGGATCCTGCTACCGAACTATTCAATACAGGTCTGGATTGGCAACTATTACTATGCTCCAGCAACCTTCGCAAGTTCAGTCGTTTTGATGACCAGCTAGTACTCGTCCGCTTGTGCATGGGCACTGATGCTTGATCGTGACCCACCTAACTGCATGCTTGTTGATGGCCGTCTGCTAAACCCTTCTCTTTACCCCTCATGAACAAGTCCTGGAGTTGGCACGGATGGGCTGGGCCGAATTACTATGCTGATAGCCCGATCTGGATTCAACCATAGCCAAACAACGTTATCTTCGGGCTCCTTTACGAACGCCCGTAATTGGCATACTCAACGAGGCGATAGTTGGAAAAGCAATAGAAGGGCACGTTTTAGCACATAGGTGCATCATCCCCATGCACCGAACCGTTCCGGGGCAGCGGACACCGGTGGCCAGGCATGTGCTTTTCATTATTGGATCGCAACTTTTGTCTCGTCTGTGCGTGTCTGTTCGGCCTTGCAAGAAACACCGCTTTTGTTCTCTACGTTGTCTCGTCTGAGGTCCATGCTCTAATGGTGCAGCGTTTGCGGCAAAGCATTTTGTCACTCACCTCCTGGCACTTCGCGGTTAGACACCATCCTCGGCCCGTTCCTCCTCCTACCTTTGAGTCCACATTTCATTCAATGATAAGATTCTCCCATATCCACGATAATAGACTAACTGACCCAAGGTATGATAGGCCATTCTAGTGCTCGTTTGCGCAAATGCATCAGCATACGTCATGGACGTAAAACCCCATGCTGCAGTATTAGAAATGCAATCCTTACTGGATTAATGGATGTTCGCATCACACCCCCTCTACCCCCACTTTGGCATGACCTCCCCAGTGTACTAATGTATCACGACTCCTTTCACATTCAATCCCAACTCCATGGTTTATCGGATATGGATGTTTGACCTGATAATCAGATTGAAGGAGCAAAAGCCGCTATAAACACATGTCAGACAGAATGATAACCACTTTTCGTAGCTATCGGGTGCATGCAGTGTGATCGTGAGTATAAGCTTCGTTTATGTTGTGAAGCGAAATAGTGGGTACTCAACCTCGGTGACCCAAAATCTTTGCTTCAACTATAAATCCTCTTGGGAACGCCGCGCGTGTGTGCGTGCATTCCACGCAGATCTGGATAAACTTGAGCCACACTTTGTGCAATGATACGTTTTCCCGGTGTCTTTGCTCGCATTTAGGTTCTCTATTGTGGATGTCTGCCGCTGCGTGCCCTCCGCACGTACGTACGCGTGCATGTATGTCGGGTGCCGCTCGGCTCGTAACCCCAAAAAGACCCTCCATGACGAAGCTGGATTAGGCACTTTCGGAACTGCGCTGATGGATCTCCCTTTGAGCACTGACCAAGCCATAAGTACCATCATAACCGAAAGTTTCTTACTAAGCAGTCGTCCCCCTAGCGGACTCTAAAACGAACCCTGAATTCACGTTCCAGGGCCCTAATTTCCGCATCAATCGCCCTGGCGGCAGCCTGGCTTCTCATCACCCAACAAAAGTGACCCCGCCGTTCATTCATCTTTATGACGAACTTTGAGAAAACGGCGCCCCTTTTCATTTCCATTACACGATGATCGCTCATTTATCACGCCACACATTCTACTGCCCAACGGGACCAACTCCCCGGGCTGAGCGCTAGTACCAGGCAAGCGTCTACGTCGCGCGCACAATCGAGGAATTGATACTGGAACCTAGCGCCAATTATTTGATTCTTGCTCTTGCTCCGCAAGCTGCCCTCTTAGACATGTAGAGACTGCAAGTATCGACCATGCGTCGTGTGGTGATATCATCATTTGAGTTCTCAAGGCCTGGTACCAGGAGGCAGGAACCGGCTAAATCACCCTCCGCGGTGATCGATCAAACATCCGGGCGACTAAGACTGGCACTATCGTTATTCACCGCCCACAGGCGTGGAGGATGAGCGGACACTGCCTTTTCCTTAAAGGGCGCATTGTTGAGAGGCCGAACTAGCGCGAATTCAAGAGACAAGGTAAGAGGAGAAAGAGTGACCCCAGAAAGTTCACCGCTGGTCGCAATGTTAGCACCGCCGACGAGCAAGGAGCGGTATGATATACCCAGACTTTATTAAATAGTGAACAAATCATCTGATTATCTAACCCCCCGAACGCTTTCAAATGCACGCGGAGCCGTACGCGTGTGTCTACAGTGGGAACGTCAAGATTTGTTGTTTATTTGGTGACACTAGGCCTCCTTGTATTGAAAAGGAAGGCCACCCCTCTTAAACAGCCTATGTATTCAGTTTGAATTATCGACATCATTAAAGAGAGTTCGCCTAGTTCGCCTATCGTCTCGGATTCAACCGGGCTGCTAAGCAACTCTGGCATCATTTCAGGCCCCGTGGTTGCCTTGAAGACGCTTCAATGGATAGGGCGATTGGAGCACAAGAGAGACTCAGTCTAGAAAACCGGACAGAAAAGACATACATCTCGCCTCGTATCTGGATCTTGTCACCGCGTAAAATGTAGTCATCAGGGTCATGACCGGGGCTTCATACGGTATTATAATTACGGAGACGGCCCCGAGCAATCATCCGGGATGCGCAGACAGAGTTTGTTGTTGACTATATGCATTTCTCGTGTTTAAGGAGTTTATGGGGGAAGAGTCCGGTCGATGACTGGCTGAGATCGGAAAACGAGGGAGAATCGAGCCTTTCAGACACTTTCAGTGACTGATCAGTGAACGGGGCGCTTTTTTTTCGAGTCCAAGTACTTAATCACCGATTAATTTGGGATATTATGCACATGCAGCCTATGCAATCCGATTTGAGAAAGAGCGAGCTGACGTTGACTTCCATACGCTGGAATTTGTGTTACGCATGCTCAATCTAAGAAACGAGGAGTCGGCGAATTAACGAATTCCCTTGTCTAAGGAGTCAAGGAGTCATGTGAGACAACAAGGCTTGACGAGTAGCGGAGTTGTCCGAATTATATTGGTGATGTTGTTGCAATCCCAAGTGCAACAAAGTCAGATTTCACCGTGATCTTGCGATTGAGCGCCCTTAGTCATACCGAAAACTCCCAAGTGCAATATGAATCAGACGCCGCATTCTCACCACTTGCTTGCTCTGGGCTCTTTGCTGTTTGGATCCCAACTGCCGGATTCTACAGAGTTTTGCAACCCGGTCATGGACTTGCATGGGCTTGGAATGAGCGTGGAAAAACCTGGGTTCCCCTTCAAGCCAAAGAGCGATATCTGCACCATATCCGTGGGCGCTTGTCTGGCTTTCATTCCGAGAATGAGAAGAACTCGAGAGCTACCAACTTCTAAGCTGGATATATCTTAAGAGTGGTGCTTCTACGAAGTTCAACTTTGCAATGATGTCAGCTTTGGGGGGTGCGACTGCCGTGTGTATCTTCCTCGGAGTTGTTAACCCGCTCCAAAATCTGTCCTCCGCTCGATTGAAGTTAACGGCGCAAGAATAGTCTGCGTATGACGTATGGGCCCTCTCGTGAGAGCGGACTACATAGCCGGGGCCCGTGGATTCGGAGGGAGACCATCTTGGGAAGGACACCGGTTGATAGCCTAGGTTGTCTAATGCAAAGCATGCACATGATGCATACTTGAGCACTGTGTAATAGGTTGTCCAAGTGTAGCAAGGTACCGCCAAACAACTCAGGTTTCTCCAGAATCTGCAACTCCCTTAGAACGGACTGCGCAAATCCTGATCCGAATATGTAGTAGTTGATTACGAAATGGAGATCCAAGCCTGAGGACCACTGATTCCTTGTGCATACTGGTGCCCAACTACCAACTTTGTGCGCACCCAATGCTACAGATAGGCGTTCAAAATAAAAGTTGTTGATTGCTGAACAAATGAAATATCACAAATTCTCCTGAAATGACGCGCAGATGAACCCCTTGCCATCTTGCTTTCTCTGATTTCCGAAGCCGCAAGGTAAGCGCCCCAATTTTGCTGTGGTGGATCCGTCCCAAATGAACTCATTTCCTATCTCCCCCCTCGATGCAATGCTTGTACGATCGCCACCACAACCGTTTCAATCGAAAATTGAATTGGATGGCTAACGCCGAATCATCGTACGTTCTTCCGGGAATTAAAGCACTTGTTCGCAGACTCGCTTACGGCGTATCAAACCAAAGACAGCAGATAATGACTCACTTGCATCATGTCGCAAGTAACATGGTTTTTCCATCTGGTTATGTATGTAGTCAGTGCCTGCGCCCAAACCCGTTAATCCCTCAAGGTTTGAACCATAGTAAAACTTTAGAATTGTAATCATGAAAATCGATCAGGGCCTTAGTTAACCCTAGTCCAATTATGGATCTGTACATGAGGGGATTCTCAATGAATAAATTGCTGTGTAAATTAGACGCCCACGGCGTGGTATGGCCGCTGGCTGAATGGATGATTGTTTGAAATGATTGCGGGCTTGCTCTATTCCGTAGTGCCCCCCCCCAACCCACCGTAAGTTCATCCGAGCTCGTGACAAAATAGTGACTCTTCTGGCTAAGATCGGAGAGTGGTATGCCGATGCATGATAGAATGGACAATGCAGGAGCATGCAATTTTGTAAAAGGAGACAGCGAGACCCTTCGATCTAGTGGTTCGTCTTACCGTGCAGGAGTATCGTCCTAGTTCACAATTAGAAGCTACATAGACCATAGTAATGACAGCTGTAGGGAGTTGAACGTGACCATGGGGACCTGCATCTCGAAGTATCAAGTTCTTTATCTGCTTCTATCGGGCCGTCGATTAAATATTTGACGCATATGCGCATTGGGATCAATTATCAAGCAGTTGGTTCTTCTTTGGCTAAAAGTTGAACATCCGTATTATTTTATATACTCGAACTCAGCGTGGCCTCGGGCATGATGTTCAATGCCCCTCACAGCTAGTTCGAACGCTTGGATGCCGCGCGTCATCTCTTCTGCATTGGTGCATCAACAGGAAGAACAAACAGAGACACATCTAATGTCACCATCATGAAAACCACCCCTCGAAAGCGAGTTCATGGTGATCGATCAGAAGCTTTGCTGGTTCTGGTGATATGACCGCAGCGCATTTTCGTGACTGTTTGGGTGGCGGAAAGGCACATGAAGCGTTTTGCGCGGTACATGGCACGAAAGCTTCAGAGACAGGTCAGGTACGAGAAATCTCAATGTGCATGCCTCCCGCTGGCATTTCCCCGAGGAGTTTGGTAAGTCATTTTCACTTCTTTGGTAGACCAGTAAATCTGAATCGCGGAAATCGGAACGAGAGAAGGTCAAGTAGTATTGAGCGCACCAAAGATGTGGATTCTAAAGAATGCTAGATCAAGAAAACAGCGCAAACCACTGAGCCATTCCATTCAACCCCTAAATATCGATGATTTGAACCAGACTGTCCACAGGAATGGTATACGAAGGAGAAATGGAAAGAGGAAGAGAATAATTAAGATGAAGAGAAGCGAGATGCGGAGCTCAGCCGAAATAGAAGCGGGTTTAGGATGGTAGGTGCTGATTCGATAAAGACGGTTGTAGGGGCGCCGCATTTCCACAACCGGCGGTATAACTGGAGGATCGCGCGCGGGGGCAAGTCCAGAGGGTCATGTGGAGTTGAGCCCGTCTGGGATATGGCCGAGCCCGAGTGGGCGGCTTTACTGCTGCCGTTTCTTTACGTTCTGCGATAGCCACTGCAATCCCTCGAACAATCCCTCTCCAGTAGTTGCGCAGCTGAGTAATGAACATGAGTCCAATTACAAATCGAGTGCAGAAGCAAGTGTTTGTTGTCAGGCATGAGTTGACGGCGTGTTGTATGGAAGACAATTGGTAGACGAGAAATTAGACATAGATTTGCCGCATCTTGATCAGAGCAGCTTCGGCGCGCGTTGATCGACGACTTACCTAGGATGAACGTACCATGAACGATCTCGCATACGGTGCAGGCCAAGCTTCTCGGTGACTTCCGCTGGCGACATGGCTAATCACAAAGCCACCACAACGTCATGATCATATCTTGATAAGTCACGCCGTAAACGCGAAGACAACTTTGACCTACCCCCAGGCAAGTCCTGCTTGTTAGCAAAAACAAGAAGCAAACAATCCTTCATCTCTCTGTCAGCCAATATACGGTGAAGTTCTTGTTTCGCCTCCTCGATTCTTTCGCGATCTTGACTGTCAACAACGAACACGAGACCCTGCGTGCCAGTGTAATAGTGACGCCACAGCGGTCGAATTTTATCCTGGCCACCGACGTCCCATACGTTGAATTTGACGTTCTTATATGTCACTGTTTCGACGTTGAACCCAACTAATTTAGGCAACGACAGATATCGTTGCGTGCGAGCAGCACGGGGATAAACCTCTTATGACCCATGTTTTCCATGCGTAAAGGAAGTACACGCACCAGTCGGTATGGTTGTCACAGACTGATTGAGCTTCAGCTTGTACAAAATTGCTGAAAATGAGCACGTGTGGTGAGTCAAGTTACGGGTCAGCTCAAATCGTGTGCGTACTCGTCTTCCCAGCCGCATCCAGTCCAAGCATCAAAAGCCTCATCTATATGCATGGACAAGTTTGTTACGTGTGTGATGATGCATTTTCATCAATCTTGGTGGAGCCATTGCATACCTCCTTGTTTCCAAATATCTTGGCTGTAGGAAGGCGGTTTCAGTTCCAAACGTTCCCGAAGCATGCATAGAGACGTACCAAGGGCCTTCGACAGATTAGCGCCCATGATAGTCGCGAATTCCGATTTTGTGTTTTCGTGTTACTGTCTGAGGCCTGAAAGGAGTGAAAGGGCGAATTTATCTGAAGCTGTCTTCAGCTAAGGCGTCGGGGACCCTAAGCCCCAAGTAGAAGGCAAAATGGGTTAATTGGGTTAAGAGAAAGTAAGCAAGAGATGAAGAAAACAGCAACGAGGCAAATTCGAGGATGTTGAATGATTGCGACACGTGATCGGATAGCCACACAGTTCGCCGTACCGATTTTATTTTGCACCCGGCTGCCATAACCGATTCGACATCGACAGCTGGAGACGCTAAACTGCTGGGGATGCTCCTATGAACAGGATAGTCTTAAAGAAAGTTTCTGTTCTTTGGAGAGGGTTTGCTACCAACAGCCATGTAGACGGCTTTATTGGTGCAATAGGAAACACGCCATTGGTTTGTGATGTCTGCTGAGCTTCGCAAAAAGGGCTGTTGCGACACCTAGATTGCGCACTAGATAAAACTGAAGAGGCTCTCTGAGGAAACGGGATGCACCATATTGGGCAAGGCTGAATTTCAGAATCCAGGCGGGAGTGTGAAAGATCGCGCGGCGCTCTACGTCGTTAAGGACGCTGAGGAGAAGGGCAGGCAGGTCCCCTTTCCTCTGCTTTCTTAAATTACATCGTTTTTCTTACCATATGGGGTCGGGCAGGCTGAAGCCAGGTGGAACAGTGGTAGAAGGCACGGCTGGCAACACCGGAATCGGTTTGGCACATGTATGTCGCTCAAAGGGTTACAAATGTGTTATATACATGCCCAACACGCAGGTATGATGCGCTCCCATCAGCCACGATCTCCGTAACTCAATTTGGCCTTGGAAGAGCCAAGAAAAAATAGATCTGCTGCAGATGTTGGGCGCAGATGTTCGCCCAGTACCAGGTCAGGGAAGCCACTCGAACCCTTCATGTGCTTTGGCTCAGGTGGTCGGTTATAGCCGTCGCGTACGAGAATCCAGAAAATTACAATCACCAGGCCAAACGATATGCGGAATCCATTTCAAATGCTGTTTGGACGGATCAATTCGATAATATTGCTAACGCCCGTGCCCATTATGAAACGACTGGCCCTGAAATCTGGGCTCAGACAAAGGGAACTGTCCACGCGTTCATCTGCGCAACAGGGACAGGAGGAACTTTAGCTGGCGTTGGCAGATTCCTGCGTGAGGTGTCTGCCAAAGAAGGCAAAAAGGTCGAAAGCTGGCTGGCTGATCCTCCAGGAAGTGTGTTAGATAGCTACATGAATTCAGGTGGCAAGCTCATGGAGCGTTCGGGTAGTTCCATAACTGAAGGTGCGGATCGCGTATCGTTTGTTTCATTCATCTCTCAGCTGACCTCCAAAATCTGGTGCCCATCTTCTACTCGTGTTGAGGGATCGGCCAAGGGCGTGTCACCCAAAATCTTGCGACAGAGATAGGGAACTTATCGGGCTCGATGACGATTCCTGATGAAAAGTCAATAGAGATGGTGTACAGACTGCTTGACGAGGAAGGTCTTTATGTTGGTGCAAGCACAGCATTAAACGTTGTCGCCGCTTACGAGCTAGCGAGAAAGCTAGGCCCAGGTTCGTAATTGCGGTAATATTCGATACCCTTGACCTGATTGTCCAAATTCCCCTTCAGGCAGAACCGTGGTCACCGTCCTATGTGATGGAGCATATAGGTAAGTTCAGGCACTACCGGCATACTTGCCGTTATGGCCATTGCCCTTCCACCAGGGGACATTCTTGTGGGCAGTAATCTGATTGTCTTATTTCAGATATCAAACCCGTCTGTTTTCTCGGAAATGGTTGGAATCCAAAAGTCTGAATATTCCTGACCACTTGCGAAAATACGTTGTACTTCCTTGATATATGTGGGCAAGCACTCTATCTATGGTCTAGCGCAATCCATGGCATGCCGCAAGCGTATGGTCCCCTTGATGCTATGCCGGACCATCAGAATAATCCGCAACACGCATTATCAGCGCGGCCATTCTGCATTTGTATTTCCGGTCAGAACCCACCTTCCTTTCCATGCCTGTGGAATCAATTCTTCATTATTGTGGTAATAGGAAAAACAGGCAGTTCTGTACGCCATTCACTGTCGTTTTTGTTAAGAGTTGCTTCGATACTGTTGCAAAAAGCGCTCAAGAGCCCATGTGGACATTATTGTTTATCCTTTGCTGCTTGCGCGGGGGGCCTGATGCGATTATGTATGACTAAACGAACCCTTCGCTTACATAAAGCACGGTGTGATCCGCACTAGCCTGCTCAGCAACCCCTTGTGACAATCTTGGACCCTTTTGGTCATATTAACACTTGCACCCTAAGCGACTTATCTTGATGAATTTGCTGGAGATCGTCCCTATCGACATTTGGCGTAGGGGCCCCTAAGGCAGGAGCGCCCGTGACGTGTCCGGACGCAACATTTTTGCTTCATTTGGTGGCTCAAGTGCGGCCACGTGGAGGGCCGTGACTGCGTGTGGGAATATTCAACTTGAATAATTCGTCCTGTGACTTTCTCTCACATTCGTCGGTATGGATGTGAATATTCCACTTCATTACCACTATGGAAATATGCCAGAGCATGGGATCCCCTATCCTTATCCACAATCCCGCGCAGCTGCACCAGCCCCATGGTACCCGAATCCGTATCCCTACCAACATGCACCCCACACTGCCGCGTTTCCTTATTCCCCTCAGGCTCCACCCTGGCATGATTCTAATCGACCAATGAATGTCAATGTTTATAACTCCTGCCCAAATCCGATAAGCTCGGGGAATGCGCCACAAAATGAGAAGAAGGGAGGTGGAGGAGATCAGAAGCAAAAGCAAAGTCAGAATCAAGCTGACCAACTCGAGGGGGATGATAAGAGTAATAAACACAATCAGAACACCCAAAGTCAGAAGGGTGGTGGTAAGAAAGGTGCGATTCAAGAGGCGACTTTCATCGTTCGCGCAAATTGACGACAGGATGAAACGCGCACAGGAGGCGACAAAGCAGACCCAAGAAGGGTGGGGTGGCCTTTGACAGTACTAACCGGCTCCGGTAATGATCGTCTCACCTACGACCTTCGCGACGTGCCTTATCGTGCCATACTTCATCGTGCTACTCCTACATTGTCTGCCTCTTACCCTCACCAATTTCAACCAACCAGTACGCTGCTGCCTCAAACCCTGCGCAACGCCGGATTGTTCTCTCCTCCTGTTGACTCCATTTGGATAATATCCCGTCATTTCCCTTGGTGCATTCACGTAACTGGGTCGCCCTATCTAGTGCTGGATAACCTCCTCACTCAGCTTCATGAGGAGTTGTGGAGGTTTGTTCAGGAGAGTGAGTACTGGGCAACAACTGATGAAAAGCGTCTTGAAGTCGCAGCTGCCTGCCGTTCCAACTGTGCATCTGCGGCAAAAATCGCCCCACCCACATTTACATACGGTGCATCATCAGATTCGTTACCTGAATCCTCAACTTCTCTTGTTGCTCGGTCGCTCACATCTCGTCCGCGAGACGTGGTTGATGGAATTAGGCGTATTGACTGGCTGGTTGACCAGACTGTGTTTGTGGGACTCGAAAAAGATGATGAATTCGTAGCGTTACGGGTTCAAGATAAAGAAAGGCATCCTTCGACGTGGGTTTTGACATTAGCCTCAAACGCGGCTTCTCGTTCGCAGATGGACCACAACTCTTTAATCCGGACTTATTCACTTATGCACCATATTCCTAATGACCCGGTCTTACTGCTCCGTGCAAGTTCTGTTTGGTGAATTGGAGATTGAACTGCCAAGTACCATGACGACGAACCCTCCAGATTTTTCATAATGCCTTCTTGTCACGTATCGCTGAAGTTTCGGTTTCTCCGTTGTTCATAACATAAAGCATAGTCCGCCGTAATTTTCTAGACCGCCTTCTCGTCTGATTAACTCTGCTGGCTGATTGTTCCCATTCCCTTCGTCGCCTCCCATTTCCCATATCAGTAGGAACCAGCCTGTCGACCTCATTTATTCTTCTTACGCATCACTAGTTCTGCTCACATGTAATCCCTCACTGGCCTCACGCTCTTATCATGATATCCATGTTGGTCCCATATCTAACCCTTCTCACGTCTGCTTGCGACAAACATGTGTAATTCCAGAGAAGAATTATTATTACAAGATTTTCATCTCCGCCCTTCGGGTTCCAATGGCCCTGTTGTTGATGTGCCGAGATTGCTGCGTGTGGAGCATCATTGCGTGCAAGTCATACGTGGAATTGTTGCGCAAAAGAGTGACATATCCGACAAGAATAAGGCTGAAAATGAATGAAGGGCGGCGCAAAGCGATGATGGAAAACATGCCCCAAAGAGAGAACTGAAGGAACAAGTATAGTATAGGGTATACATCGAGGATATTCATCAAAAGGTCCACTGCCGATGGGGAAAAAGAACGAAATAACCAAATGAACTTGTTTTTCCAATGAAGGAGGGGTATGACGAAAAATGAAAGACGGCAACATAACGTATGATGTCAAATGATTGCGAATGACATAGCAAGAATACCAGCTCAAGACTAAAACGCATCATTTTCCACACCAATTCGGTCGTCCGTTGTTTCGTTTCGCGCACTAGCGAAACTCAAGAAGTTCACCCAAAAAGATTCTTGAACCACTGCAAGAACCGGTCCCAGAAACCACCTTGCCACCCATCCTCTCTCGGCATGGCACTCACCCACATTTGACCGGTACCAACTTTAATGTCAACGCCCACCCTTCCTCTTTCTAGACCTTCCTCCATCGTTCTCTCCGATCCCTTCTGTCGCCCACTCATACTAGTCGTCGGGAACCGACCCGTGCTGCGCTGCACAATGAATCTAGGGAAAAGTTTCATAAAGCTGTGAAGCTCAGGATTCTCGAGCGGAGGGAAAGTCCATGTACGGAGCTGAGGATCATTTAGCATAGAGATTGAATTGAAGGACTGCACAGTCATGCCACTCGGACTGGCACGCATGGACGAAGCCTGAGGGGGCATCGGAGGGGGCACGAGCGGTGTGTCTAAGCCAGTTGGGGATGTTGGCTCGTCTAGCTGTGCGTTAAGGCTGGATTGATTTGATCTGCTTGGATCGAGAAAAGGATTGGAAGGTGCTCTACCGCGTGAAGCAATGGCAGTATGTGTCCCAGGCGATGTGGAAAGCTCCGAAGAGCCAACGAGTGTGGCGCTCTCATCTTCCGGAATAGGTGGACCCCTCGACAAATCAAAACTTGCCAATGAGGGTGATGATTCATTCAGTGATTCGCTGAAGCCGAGCACCTAGAAAAGAGGAAAGAATAAATAAACAGTATTCGGTCAAGTAGTTGGAAATCCTTTGCGAAAATTGCAACCCGACAGGTGGTATGTGGGATTGAAGAGCATGATTCTCACCCCTTTAAGGATATCAACAGCGTCGTGGGTGAATTCCTTCCCAGCGGTTTCAATGAATATAGCCTGTAGACAATTTACCATCAGACAATTGACGTCCACAAGAAAACACGAACGAGTGAAAGCATATTTATTAACTTACGTCGTCAATTTCCCATTGGATGATTTTCCCGCCGGCACCGCCCAGGGTTTCTGGGAGAGTTTGAAGCCTTAAGATGCCGTAAAGACCTTCAAAGAAAGGGTGGGTGCCTGGCACACCCGAAACGCAGTGCGATTGAATAAATTTCTCTACCCTCTCATGTCTTTCTCTCTTTGCCAGCGGGCCGCTTGGTGAAGCACGAGCGGCGAGAGTTAGGGAATTCCCAGGCTGGTCGAGGAGAGAAGAGCTCGGAATTCTGAGATTCGCCGTATGGATTGGTCCGTGTGAAATGAGGATCGCACTGAAGCTTGAAGCCTAGTATAGGTCGCACGATGGGCAGGCGCCGTGTTGGCGAGTGTCTGGGACATCAATCTTCCGGAAAGGTCATCCTGATCGTAGTACCTGGGGGAAAAATCTCTGTTCAATATCCGTACACGCTTCATGTACCGAGATGTGAATCACCATTTCCGACAAAGATCAACGAATGCATCCAAGTCCTCCTGTCTAGGCTCCAAATAATCATTCAAGGACGTCTGGCGAAGTTTAGAATTTTGGAGTTTGGACACCGGGCTAGGAGTGTCGAATGATGCATTGTTGTTGTCTTGGCGGGGATGCAGCACGGTGCCCAGGCTCGTTCGGCGAGCAGTGTCAACGCGAGAGGAAGGGTAAGGAGGTGATCGCGATCGATTCTTGGCGGACAACAATGGTGGGGGACGTGGGGACGTTGAAGGAGGGAGTTCATACAAAAGGGTGGTGGGCGACTGGTTGGATGTCGCTGAGCCGTGCTGGTGCTGTGCTCTATCTGTCCCGGAAGGAGTGCCTACGTGGCCTGGCGCGATCCTGATCGGCGGTGGCGGCGGACCCCTTCCAAGGGCTGGTAAGGGGGTGGAAGAAGAAGTTGTACGGTACCCAGAGGACGCCATGCGAGTCCGTAAAGTGTTTACTGCCCGAGACTAAGTGGAACAGAAAGCAGCAACCAACTTCTGGCTTCGCTGAATTTTACGAGGCTGTGCACGGTCACTGGGTGACGTGACAAATCACCGTCACACGTGTTCCGCGCGACTACAACTCCACGACAATCATGAAAAAGATTGTTTAGTGGATGCTGGAGGTGCCAAATGCACTGGAAAATTATTGCCGGAAGCAATGAAGCGATCATCAGTTGTGATTTCCAAGCGGTCGCTTACATGGTTACTCAATCTTACGAACGGCGATTCGGCACACTGGACATCGCTGAATCACTTTATACAAACGCAGAAGTAACATTGATTCTAAGCAGCTTTTTTGCCAATCCTTCCTCTGTGGGCAGCGATGCACGCCTTCTGTTGTGGTAGTCCTTGTTCCCCGTTCCTCAGCGAGAAATTCATTATATCGGAGCACCACGATCAATTCTTCAATATTAGCATTATCGATCTTGCCTCCACATGGTTTAGGCTCCGCGATATTGGCTAGTTCGCGTTCATATCTAGGCAGTTCATCTCTGTCTCCCCTGGTTCCGTACTCAATCGGATCACATTGGCCTTGTTATGCAATGGAAGTGCCCAAATTGGGCCCTCCATAGGTAACTTTCCACAGAAAGTGAGGAGTTGAAAGCACGGAGTTTAAACCAACAACTCTATTTTTCGCTTGCGTGTTACATATTGCCGGTCGATGGACTCCATCCAAGTATTTATGACTACATATATCATGCACACTGGTACAATGCACGGATCTAGAGGCGACCCGGGGACCGTTTTGGTCATGGTTCAGTTGGAGTTATACGATGTAGTGTGGCTTCGACCAGAAAATCTTAACCGGCGACGATTCCAGATATGGGATACTCGTCTACTCCCTGACCGACCCGAAGATTTCTCCGTATGGGTCCTCAGAGCCTTTTAGGGACCGGTATTGCTTCCATGTATGTTTCTGTCTCCGATCTTTGCTCCTGTATGCATATCGTTCTTCCGCCTACACTATTACCGGCCGGGTGCTTAATGACGAAAGTGCATGTTTGTGGACTGCCTTATTTGTTGCTTTTCTGGGAGATGAACACTAGTTGAATTCTCCATCGCTCCGCCTTGACGCCTATCCCCCAGCACCTCGACCAGCACCTTCCAGCCGCGCCCATGTCCAGCATGCCTTTCATTGGGGCCAGAGGAATTTGGCACCGTGCTTGTCCTCTCATGCTACTGTGCGGCGTTCAGTCCGTTTCTCCGACGGCCCCGGCCTCTTTGCGGCTATGGTGTGGTTGCGAGAAGGCTCATCATTTTTGTTTCGGCCAGAATGCTGGGGTGCTGACGATTTGTTCCTGGGACATGTTGCCATTCCATCGTTGTGCTTGAAGAGAATTGTACCCCACATATCAGTCAACCCATCCTGAACGATTAGTAGAGTCAGCTGAGGGTGCCGGTCTCGGTCACAACTTTCAGGCGTCTGTTTACATTCAGACTGTCGTCACCTTCTTGACCCTGTCGAAGTTCCCAAGGTTGCGGTAGCCGCCAGCCCATGTTATTCCCCTTACCCCTCGTGAAATTCGCGGTGCTCTTTCTCGAAAGATTGGGCCCAGCCACAACTGCGCACTGGAAGAGACTCTCCCACTTCAGGCAACCCAGGACCCGATAGGCTGGTTATGAATATTTTTTTTGCACCCTAACGTAATCATAATATGGCGGAGACACACGGTGCTTGGTTGAGTGACGAATCTTGCCGTGATTGTAATGCAAAAGTCAACGGAGATTCTTAGTCCGATTGTCACGGCAATTTTTTAAGGTTTACTTGTGATCCAACATATGCACTGAGTGTACCACTTATCTAGGCAGGTTACCAGCCTCTATTAGAATCCACTTATCCAGTTAGCTGACTGTGTAAGCTCGTGAGAATCCCGAAGAGGTGGCTGGAAGTGGAAGATGCCGTTTGCCGAACAAACGTGACCTTAGGCAGTCTTATCTTACCAGCTTTAGGATCAATTGTTATTGAGACCCTCCTCCTGTCACGTATCCATTATCACTCTGGGACCTTGGAGTCTTCATCAGCGAGAGTCTGCGCGCGATGTTGGGATCGGTTCACCAAGCGCTACTACTTTTTTCCGCCGTTCAGTATTCTCTTCTTGTCGAGCGCACTGCCTTCGTATGTCGGATATTGCAGTTTTACTCTCTGACATTCCCCGATTAACATTTCACATGCTTGTGGTGTGCTGCAGGGATTTCGGGTACTTTCATACATTATCATCTCCCCCCTTATCATACTTGGGATTTTGGTGTGTATCATGCTCGTCATTATATGTGTCTTTCTCCTTAAATCAGAAAATGGCTACATGACCTTTCAATCTCATGGACAGGACATTGTTGCTTATGTGATCGCACGCACACTGCAAGCATTCGAACACCATCCGCATGTAAAATTTGGAGAATCAAAAAGTGGCATCCTTGCCAGTAAGAAAGAAGCCCTACCGTTCAAGAAATCAGAGGACCCTACTATCGAGAGGCGCCACGCCAACCCTGCTATCCAATTAGAGCAGGTCGCCGAAGAAACTACCGACGGCCCAGGTTCCGGTGATGGTGGAAATAGTGCCAGCAAAGATAGCAGTGGCGGCGGTGGCAGAGGCGCGACGAAATATTTGAGCAAACCTAATAGCAGACCGTCGTGCACTCCCTACGCTGCAAACGAGGAATTGAGCGGGGTTGGACTGTTCAGTCCTGCACCGACCCGGCCCACGACACCAACCTCTCACCGTGAGAGCAAGAACTCGAATCCCACGTCCACATTAGGTTCTTCTTTTCTCATGACGTCTGCCACTCGTTTGGAGGAGTGAGATCGCTATCGAGTGCCAATGCTTCTCATGGCTCTATCTTGGTGTGAAATCTTGGCGATTGAATTTACTTCTTGGGACGCGTGCGGAGGGGGAGCTCGGCATGGCCTGGGTTAGGCTGAATCGCGGTCGCTTTGAGTCCGCGCAGCCATTTCGGTCCCGAGGACGATAGTTATCATGGACGTCATCAGGATTATCGGACCGATGTTGAGCTCCTGCGGTCGTTGCTGGTAGTGCCATGTTTGTCTCCTGTCTGCAGTTTGTGGTATTGCAATACACAATGAAATGCTGCCACCCCATCAGTTCCCTTCTATACAGCTGATCGTACCAGGCTCAGGGTTCAAGAGAAGGCAGCTGCCCAGGAGATGCCCCTTACGGTGATATGCCATTGGGAAGCCAAATACGGGGAGGTGAATAAACAGATAAATAGTGTACACAGGAATTAATATGCCCAAGAACGTAATTGATCTCGGGTGAAGTATGGGGGCTTCCATTGGAGAGCGTTGGGATCAATACGACGTTTGACTTTACGCTGCGTTTTCTCGAAGGCCTCTTTCGCAGCATCAGTTAGACAGAGTATGTGAGTATTCCGTTGACTTTTAATCATCTGCATTGATAGCAGGCTAATGCGATCAGAGGGGAACGCCGTAGCGTTGTGAGTATTGCAATGGATGACGACAGGAATACACGGATATACTTACGTATAGTGTATATCGGCTTGAGTTATTGATGTTTTATGTGCGATTTCGTCGAGGGAAACATCTGTAGGCTCATGCTCTAGCAGGTATTCCATTATCTTCTCTGCCCAAAAGGCTCGGTAACTGATTAACCCCAAATCACTGAGAGGCTTCTCAGGACTACCCGTTTTCCCCTCGCGCTTGCTGAGTTCATAGGAAAATTCGATCAGGAGGCGACCAAAGCCATGCCGCTGATGTTGTGGGAGGGTCAAGATACAGGCTAGGTTGTATCCTTCGGCACTCTCTTTCTCTTTTGAGAAGTATCCGACCGTGTGGCAGCCCGATGAGTCTCGCAGGCACATAATGTAGAACATGAATGGCTGTACATCGTAGTGTAACGTCTTACTGCGGAAGAGTAACTTTGAGATATCGTCGTTAAGATCGGAAAAGCGACGCACTGATCTAGGAAGCACTTCGATAGTAGACTCAGGTTACGGCACCACTGCAATTGCTTTTTCCCATCGATCTCAAAAAAGGAAATGTCTTCGTGCCGATATATCTCATTTCCAGGAGGATGAAGCATCTTGCATTTTTTTCTGTGACGACCGAACATTACAGGGGAAGGGAAATAGGAGAGGCAAAGTTCGCAAATATAGAGGATGGGGAGATGGGCGAACTCAGCGGGGTAAGGGCTAAAGTACCAGGCTTCGACAAGATGCTTCCCGATTTGAAGCTTATTCAGGTTCTTTACTCGAGCAATTTCGTGCACATTCTGAGTCATGGAACCCGATGTACGGAGCTTTTCGATCTCTTGCTCCTTGCTCTGCACCGGAGGCGCCTTCTGTGGATCAGGTAAGTAAGTCGAGCCGTCCACATCGATGTCCATTAGGCTCTCTCCTTCCAATGGCTCGTTCTCTCCTTCAGCATCTTCATCTTCTCCAAAAGCGTCCAGATCCCCAAAAGTAGTATCCTGTGTCTCCTGAAGATCCAACGTCTCAAATGGTTCCATCCCTTGGCTCTCGTCAGGCTCAACGGTACTCGCCATACGTTTCTGTGGCGTAGAGATGGGTACTGGGGTAGCTGAGCCTCGGGTGGATGGGGTTGACTTTGTTTTCTTCGTTGTCTTCCGAGCCCCGACTTTAGTTTTCTGAGCAGCTGTCTCCTTCTTACTCGGTGGAGCTGGAGGAGCTTTGGGTTTGGGCCACTCAAGGTCCTTCGACAATATGACCCATGACCCAGGAATCCAATCGTCTAGACGTTTATTATACCCGACATAGTGGCAATAGAATTCCTTCATGTCTGCAGGATCAACAGGCGCAGGAGCGTAGATGCTTTGGGGCTTGTCACGCAAGCTCAGTATCTCAGCTTGTCGTTCTTCTACGTGCCCTCAGCATGCCTATTAACCCATAATTTGCAGCCTGCTACAATAGTTTCGAGATCCCATTGACCAGCAGGGGTGACTTGAGCTGGCGTATCATCGTGAGGCTGGGGCTGAGAGACCATGAAACCAGGTTGTCAGTGACTCGTTCTGAAGCGCCTCGGCTTACTGCGGACCAAACAACTATCAACAAGGGTCTGGGCCAGTGTTCTTTCTGTCGGTCTGAACGCGTTGTTACGCGGAATCATCTCGTGTTAGGGTGTATGTCTTACAGCTATGGAAACTATAGACGCGTTTCTGCGGGGGGAACGGCTGTGAGTGATGTCCATCGCGTCTTTCGTTCTCAACAGAAGTGCCATTGAGCTCTGATTGTTACTCAGGACCATGACAATCTAGATGGGACCCCCGAGCGTGTAACGTCGCTCCACCTACCGGAAGGGATGTCTGAACTAGACTTGGCTGTTTCGCGTCTGGCTCAGAGAAACTCTCCGCATTTGCGTCAGCCCCGTGACCCTCGGGGGATGGGACAGTACCACTCCTCTCAGCAGAGCCGGAATTCTTATCACTCTGCGAGTACGGCCTCTACTGCAGTAGAGAAGGACAATGGTACCTGAGTCCTAGTTATAAACTAAGTAAAACCCAGGAGTACAATTACACCGGCTCGACGGACCTTCAGTCCAGCGTGGCGACAACTGAGACTGGATCCTCGCACTGGGATGGCGCAACAACGCGAAATGGACCATGGAGTGCGCGCATCCGTCATCCTGTTACTCCACCTGGGACAATGTTATCAAATACTGCGGTCCGCTACCTAGTCTCGCCCTCCAAGACTTTCAACCAAGACCCCGAACAATATGCACCAGATGGCACACCCAACACGTACCATACGCGTCTTGCAAATGAGCAGACCGGTTCGCAGTCATCCACGCCGAGGTCGACGCCTCATCATCAAACTACAATCACGACACCATCCCGACAGCCCATGAGGGATTTGAAATCGACGACTCAGCTATATCCGTCATTCCGAGGTCCTGCACTGGGCACTTCTTCGCCGGGAAAGCCGCTTACCGTGGAATCTTCGACAATGCATTTTGGCGTACCACCTCGCCGACAACAACGGCGGAACCGGGACGTCAAGAAAATGATACCACTCACCCAGTAGGTGCCTTATTCCACCCTGAAGCTGATTCTTAAATGCCTCTAGTGGGCATCTCATGATCGACCTTGAGGTTCCGAACAAGCTGATTATTCCAGAAAGGGGGAGAGAGGAGTCCCTTTATTGCAGGTTCGTCCTACGCGGCGATGCAATCTTGGTTCTGAATCATTGCTTCAGGTACACTGGGGTCACCTGTGACCCAGATGATTTTTCCACCAATAATTATTTTCTTCGCCAAAACATTTCTGGACGTGAAACGGAAATAGCTATTTGCATCACAATGTATAATGTGAGTACTAAGCCCGTTCACTTATCTGAATCGAGGTACTGATTGCATGTAGGAGGATGAGGTTCTGTTATGTCGAACGTTGTACGGAGTGATGTGCAATATACGAGAGCTCTGCGCCGGAAATCAAGTCGTACATGGTAACTGCGGAGCCTTTTTGTGCGTCATATACCGTCTAAGGTCCAGTCATTAGGGGTAAAGATGCTTGGAAGAAAGTTGTGGTTGTCATTGTAGCTGATGGCCGTAGACACATTCATCCTCGGGTTTTGTAAGCGAATATCTGTTGCGAATTGGACCTTGTTTGATGAGTTGCCCGACTTCAGAGACTGTTTAGCCATATTAGGGGTGTATCAACCTGGTTTGTAATCGTGATTCTGGTTTTGGCGACTCGTCTGACGTATGCCCAAGGTCGGCATATGAGCAACACTATTTTGGGCGAACAAGTGACTGCACACCTCTTCGAATGTCAGTCCTTTCCCTCAATTGTTATATTCCCACACTCATTGTCTTCTCAGACACGGCAACTATGGCTCTGGACGCGTCGATACAGTTCCAATTAATGACACCCACCCAGATAGTTTTCTGCATGAAGGAGAAGAACCAGAAAAAAATCAACTCTCACCGCTGGTTCTTCAATGCATTTGCAAAGCTTCTGCAGCCCAAAGTCTGTGTACTAATCGATGTTGGAACGCGACCTGCCTCGAAGAGCATATATCATCTGTGGAAAACGTGCGAGGCAGCGATTGCTGTAAAACTGGTTTGACTCATTTGTCTCTAGATTTGACCTGAATTCCAACGTCGGCGGAGCTTGTGGGGAGGTAGCTGTTTATAAGGGGCCTCAATGGAGAGAATTACTCAATCCACTTGGTTGGTACCCATCTTGATGGACTTGTTCCCAGAAATCTGATGGCCTCATAAGTCGCTGCGCAAAATTTTGAATACAAGGTGTGAGCAAACTAATTGATCCGGCACAAATGACCTAACGCACGCATTGTCATCAGATGAGCAACATTCTTGACAAGCCTCTTGAATCGGTGTGTTTATTCTCGTAGAGTCTCTATGCCTCCTCACTTTTGAATAACAGACTCTAGGGTATATTACCGTGCTGCCAGGAGCCTTCAGTGCCTATCGGTCAGTTTCTCGTGCGCAATCGAATTATCGTGCTGACCCTCGGGCCCGTCAGTTATATTGCGCTCCAGAATGACAACACTGAGCGTGGGCCGCTAGCATCATACTTCAGAGGGGAGGTCGCAGGATTTGGCCACCAACAGGGAATATTCTCGAGCAACATGTGTATGTGTTGTCGTGGACTTCATGTCTCCTCGTTTACTCACCGATGTTGTGTGCACAGACCTCGCCGAAGACGTGAGCCCACATGGTTTTATCTCTTCATTGACTTCCACTAAATCGTCGATCCTAGCGGATTCTATGCTTCGAACTTGTGGCTAAACATGGTCATGATTGGATTCTCCGCTATGTCAAATCCGCTGTCGGCGAAACAGACGTCCCCCACTCTCTTACCGAGTTTATTAGTCAACGACGACGGTGGGTTCCTTGTTTGTGTCTCCCTTATTTTCGTTTCCTGAAGCCCTCTTAGATGGCTCAATGGATCGCTATTTGCCTCGGTGTACGCCCTCGCCCACTTTCCTCAAATCTTACGGTCGGATCATAGCGTCGCGCGGAAAACAGCTCTCATGATCGAAACCGGTTATAATTTCCTCAATTTGTGTTTCTCTTGGTTTGCACTGGCAACTTCTATCTCTTCTTCGTGAGTCTTCAGACTCCTCAAATCTCCGCTGCGCCACATATTGTGACAGGTGATTATCACATCGTCACTTGAAGACATGTCTTTCAACATGCACTGGGCAAAGTATGCCAACGCCGTCGTTCAGGTGCGTCTTCTCGCTTTGAAGTGACCCTTTGCTAATCCTTGTCTCAGTACCTTTTTGGAGGAATGATAGCGGCTTGTTTTCTATTTGCCATGGGAACAAACCAAAGGCTAGCCAGTGGAAGTACAAAGGCGCGGCGATTTCCTTTGCTGCCGTTAGCGCATATATGATTGTTTGTGCCATCTTCTGCGCTATCCAAGTGGCACACTCAGGCAAGACTGGTCCTTATTCCAAGCTAGTCTTATCGATTCTTTGTACCTTTGGGTTGTGGTGTGGAGCCTCCATGCTAGCACTGGATCCTGCACACTTGCTAACATCCGCTATCCCTTACATGCTTCTGTCCCCTACGTATATCATCATTCTAAACACGTAAGTGAAGTCGATTTACGATGGCACACATGGTTGATATCGCCATCCCGAACAGTTTTGCATTCTCCAATCTGGACGATATTTCATGGTAAAGCGTAGTACCTCCCTTAACACGAACGATTGATAACGGAGTTTGATTCTAGGGGTACTAAGGAACAGGTCAGATCCGAGGACGACCTTGGTGTCGTGAAGTCAAAAATACGTGGGACTCAAAACGTTGTGGAAGTAGAACTACCGTCAACAGAAGAGAAGGATGTTGATGCTCTATACGTTGAAGCGCTAGAGAACCTTAAGACCCGTAAACCGAAAGACCCGCCCCCCTTGGACGTTCATGCTGCCCAGATGCAGGAAGCAAAGGATTACTATGCCAACATCAGGACCAATGTGAGTGCACTTGCTGTTTATAAACACGGTCTTTATGACACATTCCATCTACAGGTATTGCTTTTTTGGGTTTTATCGAATGTGTGCCACTTGTTCCACTACGTTCGAGCCGTGTCATTGACCCAATTCCCGTAACAGGCCCTTCTTGTCGTCAGCATCTTGGGGGTAGGGAATGCAACAGCCACCTTCTCTGATGATCCTAGCGGCCAGCGAACACGCGCATATATGACTTGCGTCCTTATTTTCGTTGCAATTTCTAGCGCAATAGTAAGTCAGAATCTCGCCGACTTTTGAGCCTAGTGTTCAACTCATTCCATGGAGCAGCGTTTTTTTGGATCTACGGTGTATCTCGTAACTATGTTGTTCACGGGATAATGCACCCTCGTGTTCCGACATTTCATTACTGTTAAGGATATCTCATGGACCACTGTTTGCACATGTACAGCACGATGATAATGTTATAATACCGCCGAACATCACAGTACAAAAGTAACACCTGCACAACTGCAAAGAGATGAAATTACATACAAGTTCAAGAATATACATACGCCCAAAATGACTCTGGTTTCTTCTTGGTCGCGCCTGGAAGCAATGGGACGCGAGTCGGTCCAGCCATCTCGGACTATAACAAGGGCGACACTTCCTAACTGACGGTGACCGAGAGGGGGATGAATTGGATCGAATGGTACGTCCCCTTGACAATCTCAGACTTGAAAGAGTTGGATGGGAGAGGCGGATGGGTGGCCGACGAGTGCTAAACGAATGACCCTCCTCGAGAGAAAGCTCACTTAACCCTGCATGAATCCCAATAGGTTCACATAGTGATAGAGAGTGTCGTGGAATTTCTGAGTCAGTTGGCTCGATAGCAACAAATGATGTTTCGTCAAGCGACTCCTCGATGGAAGTTTGTTCGCTTGAGTCGGGGACACCTGACGACGGGTGTTCAGAAACTTCGTTGAGACTATCAATGTCCGAGAGTGTCTCGCCAGCACCATGTGCCGAAAAGTCCGAGTCCTGGGAATCAAGAGCCACCGATGATGCAGAATCAAGCTCTGTTGCTGGAGGGGTATCGATCGTCGAGCTGCCCAGTGGATTCCGTCGTGTGACGTAAGGCCTCAGAATATGAGTAAGGCGAGTCGATCCATTAATTCCGGAGGATTTACCTATGTTGATTGTTGTGTCAAAAGACCAAATACGCCTGGTGGTAATGAAACGTACTAAACGAAACAACAGAATGCCAACGACAGACACAATGGACAACATAGCGAGCAAAAGCGTCACTATTTATATCCCATACGAGCTCAGAGGGCGTTCTATTCACTTCTCGTATAGGTCCATCTGGGTCCAAACCCTTCGGACCGTCATGTATGAAACCCCCAGACTCAGAGAATATCACTAAAGTTCCTTTCTCGAGCCACGTACAAATCTCTGGCAGACCAATATCAACTACGAAGAAAGACCAAAATGGTACGAGTATATACCATCTTCGACTTGCCTCACCAAGTGTTCTGCGTAAGGCCCTCCTCGTCTTAGTGACTTCCTGACTCCTTTCAATCCAAACGCAAAGTGACGGGCATTGGAAGAAGCAGCCTTGGGGATGGCAGGTATAGCGGAAGGAATATAGACATTTCTCTCGAGATATCGAGACAACGGCCTGGGAAATTCTCTAGCGGGAGGTTGACGGGTCACGAAATAATCCAGAGGCGTGGGGGGAACAATGTGAGGATTTGATGAAAAACAAGCTTTTACGGATTCACGGGACAAACAGTTTACTTGAATATATCCCCGTGAAAGATATTAGGGACTTGCCATTCTCTCTCCGACGAATGCGTCGTTTCCCTTCCTTATCTCGTTTGTCAGTTTGACGTTTATCGATTTCCTTGGACTGCTCATGACTATCCTCTTGCTGGGGAGCAAGGCGGCTCATCAAGCCCGGGTTCCTAAGGATCACTGGGAACGACAACATGGCCTGGGTAGTGTCTGCCATGGTCAGCGAGTGCGGGCAATCCGGTTCGCGAACGGGATTCGATCTTATGACTCATAGCGGACTTGGCCGAATTAAAATCATATCGTGTGAATATGAGTCACGTTATTCATCCACACATGTATTTTTCGCGATGGACGTCTATCGGCCCCCGGACGCGCCTGCCCCAGCGATCAGTCATCTCAGTTCGAGGTATTTGTAGCATAGCGGTATCATTGGGCCAAGCAATTAAGTGGTTTTGTGCTAGCGTCCTCTTCTCTTCGAAGTCACGCCTACGAAGTTGCACACCGTCAAACCATTGGCATACCTAGCTACCCTAATGAGCAGAATAGCGTTGATAGGGAGAGATACAATGAAGGGGGCTGGCCCTCGTCTGACCTTTCAAGAAAGAATGGACAGAGCTTCGCACCATCCCGGACCCCGCCTCCTCGCGATGTTAAAGTTTGGAACGCGAGGATCAGAGGTGCCGCAGAGAAAGACATGATAACTATGGTCCGCGCTATAATTTATGAAATGATTGAATACGAAATCCATCCCGACACCGAAACATATTCCCTTATTCTCCAACTATTCGCTAAAGGTGGATATTATGACGAGGCTTGGGCGCTACTGGGCGACATGGAAGCTGTAGGGATCAACCCAGATAAGAGTTGTCTCGATTCGATGCTCAGTGTAAACCCTTATTTTCTGATGTTGTTCCTTCAAGTACTGATGCATATTCTCAGTGCGCTGAAAACGTACCTGAAGGGATCCATCCCGTCTTACAAACCATGCATTCGTTAGGGATCACCCTTGACGCTGTTTCTTACCATCACATAATTTCTCATCATGCTAACTTCCTCAATATCCCTATGTGCCTGCGAGTCTTGGAGGAGATGCAGAATCAAGGCATCGTACCGAAGATTGAAACCGCGGACATCATTGTCTCCGCTGCATCGAAAGCGAAGATGCCGAAGCTTGCGTTAGATGTTGCTCTTTTGTTTGAGAAGCAATCTACAAGGAAGTTGGAAGGGCGGACATGGATGAAAGTCCTGATTGCTTCTGCCGATATGTTCTACGTAAGTACAAGTTCCTACGAAGGACAATCATTCTCACCGCCGTGCTGTGGATCAGATCGAAGGAGTTCAGATTGCTTGGGAACGCGCAGTGGTCGAAGGGCGTTTCCTCCCAGATGAGGGCACGATGAATAATGTCCTCAACACTGCTGCTCGACATGGTCTCCCCCAATTAGCGAGAGACGTCATTACACACCTTCAAGGCATCGAGGTACCCGTGCAGGAGCACCACGTCGCCGCAATGGTTGATTCATTGGTCGCCGCAGGCGAAATCAAACACGCCTTCGAAGCTGTTCATAAGTACGACCCTGACACTCTCGTCTCAACATCAAGAACGATGCATTCCCTTTTCCGTGCAGTAAGTAAAGATGTCGAGTCTGTGGATCGAGCATATGGATACCTCGAGGAAATGGCAAACGACCCCGAAAGTAAGGTCAATGTGCTAGGACTGAATGTGGTGATCGCCGCTGCCGTAGCTCTCGAAGACATGCAGCGCGCAATGGGGATTTACAAGGCTGCTTCCGACTTTTCCGTCAAGCCTAATGTTGACACCATCAACACACTTCTATCAGGTTGCATTCTGCTATCGCATCGAAGCCTCGGTGACCGCATTATGACAGAGGCAAGGGACGATAACATCAAACCAGATACAGGAACGTACGAGCGCTATATCATTCTGTGCCTCACACAACCCACATATGAAGACGCGTTCTTCTATTTAGAGGAGATGAAAGGGGCTGGGTTCAAACCTACAGCCAAAGTCTACGATTCTATCATCCGACGTACCCTAAGAGCGCACGACTCAAGATGGAAGTTGGCAATGGCAGAATTACTGGAGGCCAAATATCGGTTGTCACCCGATCTGAAGGCATTGATAGACAAGCATGAATTGACCGAGACATAAGTTATTTAGCCTAGATGTATCTCATCTCACATCTAATATAACGAGCAAGCAGATGGGTAGACGTTATCATGACTGCCATGAGATGCAGCGGGTATAAATCTTCAATAGCCTGCAGCGACACCGTTCTTTCGGGAATCGCTAGCGGCTGGAAAAGGGAATGAGCTGACCAGGCTAGAAATTCCTGGGGTCAAGAAAAAGGAACCTCACCATGCAACAAGCCCTCTTCAGCAGCATGAATGGCCTGGACCTCCGCCACTCCAGTACGAATATCGATAACTTGAAGAAGTGGAACCCTCAGTCAACCCCTCACAGTCCGGAAACAAATCAAAGGCTTACAATCAATACGGTGACCCGCTGCCTCCAATGCCAACACCTCTTCATCATTTATCGTCGTCTCCACGCTGACATTCCTTGGGAACAGCTGATCATGTACACGTGCCTGCTCGACAGCAGCACTGACGTCCATCCCCCAATCCACATTAAGAATCGTCTGAACGATAGACCCAAATATTCGACTGCCCCCCGAACCACCTGCCACGAGATGGAAATAACCATTTGGCTTCTCCATGATAATTGGGGCGATGGACGAAAGAGGACGTTTTCCTGGTTCAGGATAATTATCTATTCATCATACCCACGAAGTAGTACGATTCAGTTATCATAAAAAAAAGACAGAACCCAATATCACGCACAAGGAGAAGGCCACAGCCCAAAGGCATTAGGGGTACCAGGTACAGAAAAGTCATCCATCTCATCGTTGAGTATGATGCCAGTATGTGGGTCTAGAACTCGAGAGCCGAAGACGAGGTTAATCGAAGATGTGATGCCCACAACCAAGCCATCTGAGTCAACGACGGACGTGTGTGTCTGAATATTAAGTGAAGCATCGAACGAATGATAAAACGCCCGGTTCTGCTTACAGTGCCATGGTCTTCTTTGACATCGTACTTGGGATGATAATAATCAGGGTCATGCGTAATGTCCTGCAGAAGGGATGATGATATTCATCAATCTACAATCTACAACAACACTGTGCACCGTGCTTAAAACTCACATCCGTCAAGTTCGCCGCAATGACGCGTCCAAATTCTTTGGTAGCCAACTTTGCGATTTCACGTGTGTCCACCATAAACTGCGGATCGGCAATCCTTGTTCTGGATTAAGATAAGAATGGAGAGATGTCAGCTGAAAGCAACTCAAGATAGTGATTCCAGCGACCCTACCTTCCGGCGAAACCAACTAATTGGAGCCAGAAAGCCAACAGTAGGATATGACGTATCACAATTCAGCCGGCTCAGCCCACGATGCTTGCAAGCCGAGAAGAGGGTTCACGTACATTTCAGAGCCTCTGTCAACCGATGAACATTCTTCCCCGTCCGTCCCTCTCCGACTAGATCGAATGTTTCCAGAATGTTCAAGATATGCAACAAAGCAGGACCACTTGAAGGAGCGCGAGTCGTGTATATTTTTCGCCCCCTGTAGGATCCTTCAAGCGCAGGCATGATGATAGGTTTGTATGAAGCGAGATCTTCAGCTGTCATAATCCCGCCTTTGGAGGCAATCTTGCGCAATATGGAATCACCGATAGCGCCCTGTGTGGTTGAATTTAATTGAATTGGGGAGGAGGGTTGCGAGGGATGGAAGCAACGCACCGTATAGAAAGGCTCAACACCGTCAGCGATTGACTCTAGCGTTTTAGCGAACGCTGGCCTGCGTAAGACGTCCCCTTCCTCCAAGAACTTCCCGTTGGGTGCAAACGTCGTAGCCCAATCGGGGTCATCAAGTATGAAGGCTCCAAAACGCTAACCCAGAAAAAACACCCATGAAAGAGCGCCCCCGAATTCCTGAGTCAACAACCTTTCACCTCAGTTCCGACTAATGTAACTCATACCTTCAATCTTCGACTTAGCTCCGTCCGTACTTTCCAACTCCTAGCCATCGTTATACTGGGCTCCACTAGCCTCCTCCACTTCAGTTTCCCCCACCTCGAGTGTATGTCCCATAACCCCCTCAATTCTCCCGGAACACCAACTGCTAATCCACCAAAACGGGACTTATCCGTACCAGGTGGATACATGGTTTTACTAGAAAGCGAGGGGCGGTCTCCCGAAAGTCTATAGTGAAAGCTTCGGAAGGGCCTGGAGTTGCAGTGTCGGAGTTGCCTGCCGAAGTAGAACGTGAATGGAGAGGGTGCGAAGGGGGGATACGAATTATGGCGAATCCCCCTCTATTGATTCGAAGAGTGGCACGCAAGAGTGAATAGAATGAGGGGAAAGTGAGCAAAACTGTACGTGGTACACAGCGAGGCTTGAACTTACCCTCCTATACCGAAGAGAACACGTTTAAGGTGCCAACTGACATGATATGTTAAAACGATCAGTTTGGTCGGAATGGGTTGATAGTAAGTCCTTACCGCATAAGCTGCGAGTGAGAAAAGGCATAGTATCAGATCCTCACAGCAACATAAAATGCAGGGAAAAACTCACTTTGCAGCAACAGCAGCGTCAACAGCATTCCCTCCTTCCTGCTCAGGTGGCGGAGTCAATCAGCGGGTGAAATGATGATGACACGAAGGAGACATACTTTGAGGATGTCCACACCAACATTCGAACAATCAACATGTTCCGAAGCGACAGCTCCACGTTTAGCTTTAATGAGATAGGGTCGGTTTCTTGGCTGGTCGCTAGGTACAGGTGGGTAAGCTGCGCAGGGTGTAACGAATGGTGTGGCGGTCTCGGGATAGGCAGTGAACGGTATTCTGGATAAAAATGCAAGACCAAGCGTCAGTATACAACTCAATGAATATCGATTTAGCGCCGAAAGGCCATATCTAGAAGCACGCACCTCCATTGCTGACCACTGTGGCAAGGAATAAAACCCCAACGATAACCAATACACTCGCAAGAACACTCATAACGCCCTTCACATCCAGTTTCATATCATCTTCATCCTCCATCCAATACCGATCACCATTCGAATTACGCAAAGAGCCGTCCGTTCGTGAACCTTCCTGCATTTTCCAGCTTCCAAGTCATCATCATCATCGTCCAGAACGACAGGACGATGATCATGTTTGTCAAGACTATCCCTATGAGCAAACTGAACACGCATTGGCCTGTTCGCTCCCATGCTCCCGGTTTTGGACGCCTCAACGGTTGCTGCCGACGGATGGTGATGGTGGACCTAAGAAGAGGGCTACCCTGTTGCCTCATCGCTGGGGCATTGGAGAACATCTTTTTCTCGCCTCCTTGCGCTGAGGGGCGGAAGGAGAGACAGGAGTCTCCGACAACTCAGAAGAGGGCAAAAAGAACGCGGCGATGTAGCCAATGGTCGTTGTTGCAAAGGGAAATCAAATGGTGCAATTTTGGGTCGGACTATATTGCCGGTCACCCAGATCTAATCCAATTCATAAACTGGCGTTATCTAATAATGCCGACTTAATTCAATGATATTGTGGATCCTGACGATTTAGGGTATGCGGCGTTCCGGGTCCAGTGGTGATGATCGACGGACAGGTAGGGATCGAACATGCACGGACAAGACCATCCTGACCAAGAGTGTAAAGGTAGATATATTGTACAAGCAACCGCAGGGTCAAGTAGTTGACCCCAAGGTGCATCAGAGAAGCGCAAAGCAAGAGAGTAAGCGAAATTCGCGAAATTAAAAGCGCACATGAATAGGTGGGTGAGACAATGCGTTGATGTGATAAGGAATATCGAACGCGAGATAACAATCCGCAAGATCGAAGCATCGATCACACACACACCCATACATAGTACAAAAAGAGTGCTTGAACTTGCCAGTACGGCACCCTCACACCCGGGCTCCTCTACTTGGAGCCAAGAGCCAAGGACCATGTATACTCGCGGGCAGCCCTGTCAGGGATACGCTTCTGAATGAACACGTCATCCTTCTCGAGACCTTTCACAATATACTGGTCGAGGAGCCAGTCAACCCTTGAGAATTTGGCAATATGTCAGCATTTAAACATTAATGAACGCCAGAGCGAAATATAACACGTGCCTCCTCACACCCTCACTCCTATGTCGGGGCTTCTCGAGTTCGCCTCGATGGCGGCTGGAACTTGAGGCGGCTGCGTCACAATTCTTTTCATACTGCCTCGCGACTCTGTAACGTGTCCCCGTAAGTACCAAATCGACAACATCGATGAGTCCAAGTCGACTTACCTGTTTCGAGTTTCCTCCGTTACAATCCACCATTCAGAGGAGGCGATATGCTTATCGAGTGTCTAATAAATCACGCCCATCGATGAGCTTCTGTATTGAAAGAAACCCGCTCCTAGATCAAAGATCGGTTGATCTACTCCGCTCACCTCATGAATGGCAGTAATCACATCTTCGACAGTAATGGGCTCGCCAGGTCCATTGGACTCTACATCAATCTCCCAAGGGAAGGCCTTGCTAACGATCTTGAGTCTCGCGAACGGAGGATTCGTCACCGTGGCCCTCAAAAGTTGTGAGCTTAACGTGCTCAATTGACTGCCAGTCAACACGCTTGCTCTGGAGGGATAGTCGCGGACGTCATAATATAGGCGAGGGGAAGAGGTTCTACCGCCCCAAGATGTGCCGCTACCAGCGTTGAGGACATCTAGCAATACTGGCGCGCCAAGTTGTACTGGGCCTCGATTAGGAGAAGGGAGCTGAACTGCCACACGACCAGGACTATATCCTGCCACCATCGGAGCTGCAGAAACCTGGGGGAGGAACACAGGCTGAGGAGCGGGCGAAGGTTGGCCTGGCAAGAGTACTGGTGCTCCATAGGGAGAGTTAGGAGCGGAACGTTGATAAACTATCTGTCCGCCAGCACCGTATGTAGGCACAAGACCGGTTGGTGCGGCCAAATTCTGGTTGCCCGATGCGGCATTTGGATCATACCATTGGTAAGCCATCTTCAGAGGGTAGAATTGCCAAAGGGCCGTCATGGTCGTTGAGGTATATGTGTTTTGATGATACAGCGAGCAGATCGAACGCGATCGCGAGGTGTAAGAACGAGATAGTTGGGAGGCGTGTTACGTTTAGCGCTAAACTAGGGGGACTGGCCATTATAAGGGGCGCAGCTTACCTCAGGGGTATTCCTTAGTCAACTGTTAGTCTAAGGAGCTTAGAGACAAAGGACTACGAGATGATCGTAAGAAAGGATGATGATGGTGGAAAGCAAGACGAGGGATTGTGAAGATGCCACAAAAATGCCATTTCGATCACTGTATGAGTGGATCAAGAGCAATAGATAATGAGGCTGTGCCAAAAGGGTGCTGTGCATTGAATTGGATCCTAGTATGCTGTGAGCGCCTAATTTGGAAATGAGGGTTAAAGTGAGGGCAAACTACCCCCTAAACGCGGTGCCGTAGCGGTCGGGTCTCACCGCGTTAATGGCATCCGTGTCGTCCGCGCTTGGAAACGCTCCAGCTGCATGCTAATCGTTCATCTCGTGGATGCGTTGGGATGAACCTTGCACAGCATACCGAAACGTTCAATAAACCCACAGCATGCGACCGGTGCAACGGATTAATAATTACAGGTCGAGGAGGGATATGCTCCGGGAAATGGGCTGAACTGAAGTTATCAGCGGTGGGCCGAGTGTCTGGGTACGATATCGTAGTTCGTCAGATATCGTGCTTCAGGCATCGATCCTCAGCTCGCTTATATTCATCTATGAGCGGTATCGCGCCACATGCGGCATCATAACAAACAAAAAGTAATGAGATTATGAAACGATTTTGTGCAGCTCAGGGCCGCCACGTCGGCAATAGGGTGCTTAGTGGTCCGCCACCCGCAACATCGATTACTACACCAACGAATCTAGCGTAACCTGTCACGGCCACCAGCTAAGCCCATTGACTAATGATCAGGGTCGTACTCCAAGGGCTCACAAAGGGAGCACCTTCTACACGTGGAAAAAGGAGATGCGGTGCAGACGAGTCATGCCGAGATGGAGAATGGAGTCATAACCGTGTGGCGGGTCCTGCGTAATCAGAGTCACAAAAGTAATTTATAAGGTGCTGAGCGCGGCAGAAGGCAACAGAAAATTGGAACGGGTGGCTGACACACAGTGTTAACTAACATAAATTCGAGGCCATCAATGAAGGCAATCACCACTTGGGGCGGAATTGCCAATACTGCGGATTCAAGGACCACGACAAACCGGAGTAGATTAGAGATCAGTGGCACTGTCGCTGTTGGGGGTGGAGCCATCCACGCACCTGAGTCCCAGACCAATGCAACACCCAAGGTACCAGGAACTTCGTGATGAAACGCGGCAACGGAGGAAATTCAATGCCAGGAGCAGTGTGGTACACCGCATACACGAACGCTGGTTGAAGCGGTATCTTCTTAATCATCTCTTGCGTATCTTTGCCCATCTGTTTTATCTTTTCCTCCGTCATTCCAGCTGCCTTGATCGACTCGGGCGCAAAGTATCCGATTTCGGCTTGGAGCTGATGGCGATATTACCTCAACGCGTCAATGGCCGAAGAATTGCTTTATGCAGGTACTAGGCTCACATGAGTTGTCAATGGTCCAGCGAATGCGTCAACAAGGGTCCTTAGATGTGCGCCGTCAAATGTTGTCGCTTGTGACTGAGCCCGAGATGGATCTTCCGCAACAACTTCTCCAAAAAATCCCCATTTCGTCCCTAAAGGTAGGCAACCCAAGAGGTACGACTTTATGTGTTCAATCCCATCATGGAAAATCTGGTGCTCTGAAAGGATATCTGCCTTGTGCTCGAAAGCCTCGGGGTAATGATGGAGGAAATGTTCTTCTTCGAAGTTGTGGTGAAGTTGAATGAGCTGCCAGTTGCGTTGGGCGCGTGAATAGGCCGCGAAATGTAAAGGGAACGAAACGCGACCCACGGAGACCCATAGTAGACAATATCCCGCAAAATCAATTTTCTTGTCTTCTGGTACACTGGGAGCCAGCTAGGGGAAAGACATAGGTGTTGATGCTTAATAAATGATGCGCTTCCCTCACCTCATATAAATTTTTGAGACCAGTCAGGATACCTGCATGCGCAGCGCTCATTTCCCAACGAGGATGCTCAAAAAGATCAGTTGGCACAGGTCCCTTTGCATATCGAAATTGCACATCCAAGGCCGTTTGAATCAAATCCAGAGTATTCTGTGAATCCATCCCCAAGAACTCAGCACAGAAGCTGCAGCGAGTATAACCAAAGGCCGAGATATAAGCATTTCTCGGCCGCCTTCACCACGGGCAGCCTGTGCACCTCGTAGGCATAGCCTTGCCATAAGATCTACATAAGATCAGAGTTGACTTCTGAAGATGCCATGCCAACACCCTGTCGCACGGCGATCAACGACAAGCGCACATAGCAATACATAAAGAGCTAGGGACGCAAGGCCCAAGTTACTTAGTGATGCAGCGATCAGTATTCAATAGTGAAACGTGAATTGAGATCTACTCCTTGACAGCAGCGCAATCGAATTTCGCGATGCATGGGTGCACCAGTTGCAGCGTGGGTGTGTTTCATACTGAGCACCCCCTGTGGAGGTCTTGCGAGCAGCCCACAGCTTGTACGCTGAACGTCCAGAATTGACAACTGCGCCCGTTGGACCGTCCAGATTTTCGTGTTCGAGGACTGACACGATTTCCCACGGTGCAGATTGAATCTTGAGGCTCTCCTGGTAGGACAGAGGCAATGATCCAATCGTTCAAGTCTGATTTACTCATGTAAAGATGTGACATTTTGCGGAGTTACACAGGCTGGAGTGAGGCCTAATTTTTGGGAAGGGCAGCGATTGTAAACACGCAACGTCCACCTCTCGCTACGATGGTGCGAGTCTGGGCCAGAGCTATTAATAGAAAGGGAGAAAGGCCGAAAGTTCGGCCTTCGGTCGACCGCTTCCTGGAACATTCCAAAGGCTGCTCTAGGGAATGCCGATGATAGTTCCCACGGTGAAGAACGTGACCCAGGGTTTCATCATGTTGGAGAACAGACTTTCACGCTTGCGTGCCGTCTGGAGTCATAACACACATCTGGTTTTATGCTCCAGACTGATTCCCCCTTCACGGAGAGGGAATGTCCTGGCATCAACTGCCGTTCTTTCTGCCGAGAAAAAGAAGCAGTATATCTCCCCAAGGATTCGGGCTCGCAATGTTCTTCGCTCCCTTGATCAGTTATATCCTCGAGTAGTCGACTGCTCCGAACCCAGCAATTCTTTATGGAGGAGCCGCATATATGATGCTTTAGAGGTCATCTGCGATGACCCCGGGACTTCGAAATCACAACTGAGAAGCGTTGCTGGTGGGTGTAACAGGCTTGAGTGCCAATGGAATTGGTCTTTGGTCAACTGATGAGCCTAAACTTGCCACATAATTAAGTGTGGGGACCGAAGCATGCGAATTCTTCAGAATTGGTGTTGGCTTTGGTTGAAAATACTTCACCCTCAGAAGCGCGAGTTGTATACAAACGTCACGCTGGTGCCAAGGAACCCCTGCTGGGCAGCACGAATCAGCTGGGACACATACATGTGAGAAGCATCAATACTCAGACGCCCGACAAATCCCCTGAAATCGCGCCACGGCATCATTAGTGGTGGAATCCTGCAATCCAAGGGCTGAATGGACTCCGTGCGGACCTCGCGGAATATGAAGGTAAGGATGCGGCCATGTCAGTTGTAAAAAGTCCTAAGTATTTTCAATTAGGTGCTGAGGTCGACGCAGCTGTCTCGGGTATGCTTTCGAAGGACGTCATTGTCATCGTTTTACCTTCGATCAGCGCCTTGACAACCCCCTCTCAGACGGCGATGATGCCTAAAGGTTGTGAGGGCATTGATTCCATCCTTGTCAACATCTTTCCCCTTGCACATCGTGGTCTCGCACGAAATCTTTGGTCACGAACCAACAAGAAAGCTGTACCAATCTATCATGGCAGCCCAATTTCCGCATGCATTCTCAGTTGATGATAAATTATACCCAAAAATACACCTTTTAGATGTTAAAGCAGCTAGAAGTGCACAATCATTTTTCTCGGATAACGCGAGCGCAACCCCATCTCCCAGCGAGCACCAACGCCTCATTGAGGCATCAAACTTCACCCAATTCTCACATGCTTTGAACCGTACGATTGCGGACCTGCCACGATTGTCAGCTCAACTCTCAATGCTATCTTCCCTGCGCCTAATTGAACTGATAACGTCACAATGTGAACGGAGGCTTCACGAAGCTTCCCGCAATGCAGAAGTTGCCCTAGGGGAAGTCAAACTCCTGCGTTCGGGTGCAAGGAATGCCTCTCGAAAAGCGATGGATTCCATTGCTAATGTTCGTGGGAATGACGTTGCGGAGCAGTCTGTTCAACTTTACCTCAACGATCTACCTTGGTGGAAGCTTCCTTGGCGGGCGGATAACATATACCCCGAGATCAGTGCCATCCTCGGTGAGACATATGGCCACCAATTGGAAACTGCAGTACGTATACTCATTATTTTATCAATCTACCGTTGAATAACGCCAATATTTCCTGTTCTTTGCGTTATGTAGCTTAGTTTTGAGGCCGGTAGATTCGCTGCCCTCCAGAGCGATCAGAACAGCGCTATCAATGCCGTTCTTGTGAAACTCACTCACACTGCTCCTGCACCGTCTGATTCTGTGGCGACTTCATCCCTTGTAACACCTGTTCTCCGCAACTCCCTTGAACAGATCTCCCAATCGATATCGACGCGAATAACGCCATCTGACCTCACACGCCCTATCGAGAAGCGTTTAACTCATCTTCGGAGCCATTCTCCACGAGTCAGTACATTCCATGGTAGCAGTGCATTAACTCATCTGCATCGCCGTGCACAAAATGTTCTTCTACAATCCTATGCGTTCTCATTCGGTGGCTCGTTCGCTGCATGGGCCGTATCTACTTCGTCCCCTTCGTGGCCATGGCTGGAGTTGCATTTGATTGGAGGTGATGTCGCATTAGGGTCGGAGCGCTTTGCGTTGTCGGAAGTATGAGGTGGGCGGCAGGACGGTGGGAGAAAGCGAAGGCGAAATGGTGGGGAGCCTGGAGGAGAGTCGACGAAGGTTTAGACAGGGATATCGAGGTAAGTGGGTCGCGTTCTATCGTGAAGCCCGTTCTTCATGCAACTTGGTATCAGGCAAGCACAGGAAGCGTCTTGGAGCGGAAGGTCTTTGCGAAGACGACAAGGGCTTGTGAAGCTCTGGAGGAACTGGCTGCAAAGCGAATATCGGACATCGGGTGCTTGCGCGCTGAGCTGAAGGAACTCAAAGCCGAAGCTGATGCTCTCCGAAATTGTACATTAAATGACAACAACTAACCGGAAGCTCTACGCGTGGATTTTTATTAGCGAAACGTCGTTAGTACTCGTTCAGGGATCTTAACTCTGATCGGAAGACGCCCGAGAAACATCTATCTATTAATTTCTTTACCGATATGTGCTGGCCGAGATATGTAAGATGCTCAAATGAACACATGCTTCGCAAAACCCCCGTCCCAGTGGAAATGAAACCGGCTCTCGCATTTTGTGCTCTTACAAGGCTTTCTCACTTCTCAGTTCGACTATAACAGCCTAAGACTTGATCTGCGATTCATACTTGTTCGGAACCGGCCAAGGTTTGGGCCATGAACAAATGCAAGGCACGCTGGCCTTCATTATAACAAGCGTGGGAAGCTGGGACTACAAAATCAAAACTACAGTCCATTTGGTTCCTTATTATACATCATACAGTCTCAATGATTGGAACAATCACAAAATCGGGTAAAACGAGTCCACGTTTTCACCCCTATATGATTGAAAGCGGATCTCAGCTCCACACGCTACGCCCTTGGTCATAGGGAGATGAACGTACCGAGAATCCCGAAAGCCATTCATCCCAAGAATTGGCACACTCAGCCTCCACAATCTCTGCTTTCTGTGCGTCCGAGAGGGAATTGTAAGTCGTCTCTCTGTAAGGCTGATCTCTTGTGGTTGTTGTTCCGACGAGGGTGAGATAACTCTTGTCATCTTTCGTCGTTGGACCTAAATCGAGAAGAATCGATTTCAATAAAATTGAGCACACTCTCGCGAAGAGGGAAGGGGAAGGGGAGGCTCTCACCAGAGACAGTAACCGTTTCACCCGGTTGCCAGGTCGTGGAAGGGAATTGAACCACAAAGATTCTTGGTTGGGCTGCGACGATACCACCGTCGAGCCAGTAAAGGATTATGGAACACAAGCCCGAGACATCGGTGGCGGATTTCCCGGGCCAAACGGCCTTTGCGGGCCCAATCAGCTTGATGTGAGCCGGAATGTCGGTGGAGAACGTAACGGTGTTGTCGTTGAAGTCACTGCTAGGGATGACGATGTTGGCTGCCATGATGATGATGGTGATTATATCGAGATGGATTGAGGGGGGCAGAACGTATGATACCCTGCCTTTTTATAGACGCGATTACAGTAATGCAGTGCCCAGTTAATGCCGTGCGGAAGAGAGGGGACTTCCAACTAACCACGTTGGTCAGCAGAGTATCCCATTAAGGAGAATCCCCACCGTTAAACATGAATATTATCAATATCGCACCGCAGTACACTCTCCACCGAACGGTTCAGCCGCCCTAAACACGGGGTCGATCTTACGTGTGGTAATGCATAAGGTCCGTGGTTGAACTGGTGGCTGACAGTCGGCGAGGGAAGGCCGTGAACGCCGCTGCACTTTGGGGCTAACTTAGGCGCTCGTCAACGGCTGCCAGCTAACAAGCGCAAGCGCACACGTGTCCAGAAGCCGGGAATATTGAGAATGTATGCCCAATTAGTGTCAACGGTCAGGGAGTCCATGAAACATTGAGAGAGGGACAAGTACCACGACGAGAATGTTATTTCAAAATGTCGCCAGGTTGACAGCGGCATGCGTTGCCGTGCGATATTGTGACACCGCACGATGACTAAGTACAAGTAAATTTAAACATTCGGCCACAGCAAGTCATCGTACGGGCCGTTACGGACCGCAGGAAAGCGACCCCACTTGATTAGGGGACCCGGATCGATCCCATTACCGCCAGCGGCTGTGCTTCGCCTGCGGCGCAGGCGATACGGTAACTCGTGCAATTTGTTCACTGCAAGGACTGCATTTCGCTACATACTAGAGGCTGGTCGCCTACCTAGCATCCGCCCCTGTGGCAGTCATTGGATCGATTATCCATATTCCGGAGACGCCGCTGGAGCTGCTTGTGGATGAGGGTTCACCAGACCCGCAAGTCGCTCCAATTTTCATGACGCGCTCATGAACCAATGATTCTAAAATCATGCGCTCACGTACGTCTATTCAGATCACAACTAGGAACAACCTTGTACCAAACATAGAACGAGAGCGTTCTAATTTGGTAGTCCTGTTAACGTCATGACCCAACCCCTAGCTATGGGTACATTGCATTCTTACGCCTTTTCCATAACCCCCAACGCACTCTCGATCACGTCCACAGCAAAATCAATCTCTTCCAAGTTTACATTCAAACTTGGTACAAATCTAACGGCATCCTGGCCAGCCGTAAGCAGAAGAACGCCTCTTTCACGAGCCATCTTTGTCAATACACCAGGGTGACTCTCGTTTTTGAAAGGTAACCCGAGGATGAGACCTTTACCCCTGACGTACGGATGAAGGAGGGTGGGGAAATAGGTGGGTAACCGCGAGAGACGTCCTGAAAGATGAGATGCCGATCTGTTTACGGAGGAAATGAAGGAAGGGTCCGAGAGGCGCGAGAGGACGTGATGCGCTAGACGGGCTGCGATAGGAGAACCTCCGAATGTTGTTCCGTGCGAACCTTAAAAGGGGGTCGTACGTAAATGAGGAAAGCTGTGTGTCAGTGGCAAAGGGGCGGCATACCGATTGTCATTGATTCCGCTATGGCATCACGAGTAAGGATGGCTCCTAACGGGAAACCGTTTGCAATGGGTTTGGCCATGGTGACGATGTCAGGATGGCAGTCGATTGGTAAAAGGGAGTGAGCCCATAGAGTTCCCGAACGATACAGCCCACACTGACAAAATAGCAAGCGGTTGAGCCAGGGTCAATATTTAAGTTAGGTAGCAGAGTCGACTGACTTGAATCTCATCGAAAATGAGGACTGCATCAACTGCATCACACCTCTTTCTCAAAGCACGGAGAAAGTCCGTGCTCGCAGTATGTACGCCGCCTTCGCCCTGCACAGGTTCAACAATGACACCGCACGTGTCCTCCGTGATCAATCGTTCCAACGCCTCAATGTCATTATACGCTCCGATTTCCACACCTGGTATCAAGGGTGCAAACGGAGCCTGATATTTCGGATTAGACGTGACACTTAAAGATCCCATTGACCGTCCATGAAATGCATTGTCAAATGCGACGATTTTGGTTTTAGGCGAAGAAAGGTAGGCAGGATTCGTATAATCCGCGGGACTGATCCCGTTCGCTTTAGCCCAACGATCCTTCCCTACTTTCCTGGCAAACTTTAGAGCGCCTTCATTCGCCTCCGTACCAGAGTTTGCAAGAAAAACTTTTGCGCCTGAAGTAGGTTCTGATGATGAAGACACTTGGGTTCCTGAAGCCCATCCAAGACCACCATCTCGTTTTGTTAAATTAATAACTAGTTCGGCAAGTTCACCTGCCCATTCGTTATGAAAAACGTTACTAGAATGAATAAGCTTCGAGGCCTGCTCATTCATAATCTTCACAAGTTGTTCGTCCCCATGACCAAGAGCGTTCACAGCGATACCTGATGAAAAATCGAGGTATTTCCTGTGGGAGGTATCGTAGATCCAAGATCCCTTTCCGTGAGAGAGGATTATAGGCGGACGAGCGTAAGTATTGAGCACATGTTTGGAGTGGCGAGCGAGTGTGTTGGAGATGTCCTTTGGAACGGACGAGGTATCCTCGGGGTGTGTTACGGCCGTGTACTGCGTAGATACGTGATTAATTGGCCAGTTAAGTGATGGCACCACCACATGAAATCGTACCGCCAAGACTAACCTTTGATGAAGTCGAGTTGAATCTAACGGACAATCTTGCCGCTGAGTGCCAAGGGTGGACATGAACGATGGTTCTCACTCTGTACATGCTAGCGGGTGGACTTTTGTTGTGTTCTCTTCTGCTGGTATCGATCGCTCTATAAAATAGTTCGCGCTGGGCGAAAATTTTTCAGGAAGGGATTGGAAGGTCAGTTGACCTGTCGCAACACTTTCTCACGCTAGGAGTCACGAGGTGGTTCAGGCTTCGATTCTTACAATTGACGTTTAGACCCCTAGTCTAATCTTCCTCTGGTTTTTCCTCCATCCTTTCGGAGTCCTGATTCGACGCACCCTTTTCTGAAATCGCTCTGTTTTGGATCTACCATGTCCACCCCATCCCAAGACTCGATCTCTCCTCAGCTCGCTTCGTTTTCGTCTTGCGAAATATCCGATGCACTAGTGAAGTTGGGCGTGAAGTCAGGAGGGCATATTCCCGACATCGAGATGTACTCTCCGCACTCTGTGCGAGTCCCCGACGCTGAAGGAGTGAAGATATGTGGACCGGCGTTCACTGTGAAGATGGTCGAAGCCAGCGATAAAACTTCGCCTACTCCAAGCGACCATTTTGTGGATGCTGCACCTAGGGGACATGTTGTGGTTATCTCTGCACCTCGTCGTATGTGAACTTCATACTGAAGTTATGCGAAAAAAGCAAAGTTACCGAAATGCTGTTTTGCTCACACTCATCTCACCGTCTTATGAAACGGTCTTCATTACCATGATTAAATCAACCTTCACATCCAATCATTGTTAATTTTGGTATTTTTGATCCAACTCGTGGGTACTACAACTTTCTTTGCAGATTTGAAGTCGGCTGTTTGGGGTGGGCTAATGTCGGCTGGTGCTAAAGCACATGGCGTTCTTGGTGTGGTCCTCGATGGACGTTGTCGAGATATCTCCGAGCACCGATCCCTTTCGTTCCCCGTTTTTGCGAGGGGTCACTCGACGCTAGGTCAAGGGACGTTCTCACGTCCTTCAGAACTGAACGTTCCCCTTACGATTGAACCGAGATGGGAGGGAGAGGGGTTTTCGTTTGCTGCCACTGAGGTACATCCAGGGGATGTGGTAGTGGCGGATTTGGATGGGGTTGTGTGCGTGCCAAGAAGGCTGGTAGGAGATGTTGTGGCGAGGTGTGGGAAAGGTAGGGAGGTGGATGAGAGATGCATGGAAGATATAAGGGCAGGGAGACCGATTAAGGAAACGTTTGCCAAGTGGCGAGGTTGACGAACGTATAATGGATCGAGAAAGGCGGAACAAGAATAAAATTCATCCCGACGTCCCGATTGCCGAATCCCAAGTGACGCTAACTTTGCAAGCCACCATCAGCTTCTATTTAGCTCTTCCTCAGCTACACCATTCTGGCCGGCCCATTTGTGGCTATCTATAGCCCTACTCTAGACATTCGTCCGTATTCGCTGCATATCTATGGAGGTGCCCTGTTTGGGGCAGCACTCTCGAGATGCTATAGAACCGTGGGCTTGTTCAGTCACAAGCTAGCTGAATCATACAAATAGGCAGTAAACCAATTTCTTGAATGACGGGACCATGCGAAGGCTGTGGCATTGGCATGATCCCAAGTCCGGAGCTCGGTCGGCGGAGCAGTGCTTACGCTACAGACGGCTTTCGAGAAAGGAAAGATTTCAACTTGAGCCACCCAAAAAGAGTCGTTGAAGGGTTGGCATCGACCAATGAACAACGGATCATTATGAGATGAGAGCTCGGACCCTTTTGCACAAAGCGAATTTGTACATCGAACGATAAACGTTTGGGGTAAATGCTCAATTTCATATTTCGCGAGATCTCACCCGGTGAATATGAAGTACGTAAATAATGTTCCGACCGCTCGCTAGTTATAAAAGACGAGAAAATCCGAAGGTTGTGAGAAGTTGAGCCTTCTCCCCAACGAATCGAAACTCTCCCATTGGTAGGTTTCCCCCGGTCCAAACAACCGACTCTTTCATCACCTTGTTGGAGACTCATTGAACATCTTGCAAGCTACTCATCACGACAACATCCAACGCAATGGACAAGCTTCCCGCATCTATCGCTAAATTCAGGCCTATGTGCCCTTACCTCTCAGCGAGAAAGATGAAAACTCTCAGAACGATGTCCACCACCCCTTCCACCAAATTTCCGTCCGTCTCTCGGCTCATGGTGAAAGCTACCGAATGCCCCACTATGCGCCCTGCGCTTCTCCTTCGTTCTCATGAGCAAGTCGCGGGATACGCTTCTCTTACTGAAGGGGTTACTCCCCCCCCAATGGAGAAGGGAGACAGCTACTCCAACGTGAAAACCCCTTCTCCCGGCGTTTGTCCTGTTGCTCATGCTGCTACTACGGCCCCTGACGCCAAGGCTGCACATGTCAATCCAGCCAGTCAACTCGCCGAAGGGAAAAGTAACCCAGCGTCTACATCTCCCGTTGCTCGCCTTACTGCGGACATGGATGGGACGACTTCGGCTATTCCTCAACCACATCATCACGCGAACATCGACCCCACTCATTTTGATTATGCAGCCTTCTACGAAGGCGAGCTCGAGAAGAAACACAAAGATAAAAGTTATAGGTACTTCAACAATATTAACCGCATCGCGAATAAGTTTCCCGTTGCACATACGGCGAGTCCTGCAGATGAAGTGGATGTATGGTGTAGCAATGATTATCTTGGGATGGGTCGTAACCCCGTCGTGTTGGATACGATGCAGTAAGTTATTTTTTGACTCTGCATGAATTGTCTCCAAATTAGGTCGCTTCATTACTTTCTTCTCACCGCTGACTCATTTCAACTATCAAATTAGTCGCACGCTGAACCGCTACGGTGCAGGGGCCGGTGGTACCCGCAACATTGCCGGCAACGGCGCCATCCATCTCTCGCTCGAGAAAGAACTAGCGAACCTCCATCGCAAAGAGGCGGCACTCGTTTTCTCCTCTTGCTATGTTGCGAACGACGCCACGCTTTCAACGCTCGGAGCCAAACTCCCGGAATGTGTCATTTTCTCCGATAGTCTGAATCATGCGTCCATGATAAACGGGATTCGTCACTCCCGTGCTAGGAAGGAAATCTTCAAGCATAACGATTTAGCGGATCTAGAAGCCAAATTGCAGAAGTATCCCAAAGAGACTCCGAAGATCGTGGCGTTCGAGAGCGTTTATTCAATGTGCGGAAGCGTCAGTCCTATCCATGAAATTTGCGACCTCGCAAAGAAGTATGGCGCCATTACCTTCAATGATGAAGTTCATGCTGTCGGGATGTACGGTCCTCGGGGTGCGGGTGTTGCGGAACACCTTGATTTTGAAGCTCACGGCGTGCTGGGACAAAGCGGTGAACCTGTCAAAGGAGGCGCAATGGATAAATGCGATATCATCACCGGTACACTTGGGAAGGCATTTGGCGTCGTTGGAGGCTACATCGCTGGATCCGCACATCTTGTTGACATGATTCGGTCTTATGCTCCCGGGTTCATCTTCACCACTTCGTTGCCCCCGCATACAGTTGCTGGAGCTCAAGCGAGCATTGCCTACCAGAAAGAGCATGTCAATGACCGACGTCTTCAACAACTCAATGTCCGGACGCTTAAAGCTCGCTATGAAGCTATGGACATTCCCATGGTTCCTAACCCATCTCATATCGTCCCTGTTCTAGTCGGAGATGCCGCACTCGCGAAAGAAGCATCCGACATGCTTCTGAGGGATCACAGGATTTATGTGCAGAGTATCAATTATCCTACCGTTCCAGTCGGGGAAGAGCGACTTCGGATTACGCCCACGCCTGGACACACCTTCGAACAAATGGAGCGGCTTGTGAGTTCTACGGATCATGTATTCAACAAGTTGGGTATTAAGAGGAAGAGTGAATGGTTGGCTTTGGCTGAGAGTACGGTGGCAAAGTTGCTCTTGAAAAGAGAGAGTGAGCGTGCGGAGCCCCTTTGGACTGATAGGCAACTTGGATTGAAGGATGGTACGGCTCCCAAGCAACTTGTTGACGGGAAGAGCAGGAGTGTTCTGGGAGTTGAGGCAAGTCAGCATGCGAGGATGAGGTTGGCGCATTTGTTGGATGTGGAAGGAGTGATGCATGAAGGGGTGTACCCTCCTGTTCATGCGATCCCTGGTGCGCCTGGAAGGCGAGCCAAGCTGTTCGGCCCAAGGGCTGTCCCTGCCAGCGCTTGATTTTGCTGTTTCCGGTTCGCGAACCTTCCCGCCCATTGTGGTGGTGCAGAATTGGTCTTAACTATTCCCCTTGATCAAAGACTCGTTGATTGTTTGCTTGGAATAGATAGTTCCCACTTGTCTTTTCTTGGCTACTACAAAAAGGATGATCATTATCGAACGCGTCTCTCCGGTGTACACTCTGATTTATTGTCGTGAGTCGTCCTCTTGCTGCTGGTGCAAGCCACGGGTCGAGACTATAAAGGCTGCAATGCGGAACAGGCGGTGTGGCCACCAAAAGGAGGAATATCCCTTGCCGTTATGGTGATGGGGCTATACTCGATTAACGGTTATGATTTTCGATCGTTGGGAACGAGGTTATGACTACCATTGGGTAATAACGCAAGGAGGCGATGGTGTTAAACCACAAATGCGATGCCACGCGTGTGCACAGCGTGCGAGCACCGGGTGTCACGGTTTGTCGATCGATCTATCCAACAACTGGTAGTAGTTGTCTATTCTGGATATTTAACTTGCAGGCTTTAGGCTATTCGTGGAAGCATCAGGCAAGGGTAGGGGTCTTCGGAATAAGTACATGAAAATAAGGTGAAAAAATACAGGGATAAGTCCGATTTGAGCATGCTTGTCCACCTTGCATGGTCCAAGTGATCCTACTCCATTGTCAGGTCTTCACATGCAGTTACCGGACATTGGTAGTTTGCTAATAGCGTCATCTTTCGCGACGGTTCCTGCCTACTCTCTGTGTTCTGGGAACACCAATCCGTGGCCTGAATTTCTACACGGTGAACGAGTGTTCTTCGGATATGGTGAATGCGAAGAGGGAGGTGTGCCCTCCCCCTTTGAGTCGATTAGTTGGATTTTATACCTTGCGAATACCAACCCCTGTACCAGGGGCATTCAGAAGTGGAGCGAGGACCCGCTGCGGACTGGTGGGAATGTGACCACACCACCACCAGTTGATAGTGCTAGTGCACCGTTCCACCCAGTTCAGTGTTATATGAGTGCCTTTGCGTCTGCTGGATGGGGCGGCCTGACTCCTTTTACGAGCTTGGCACCGAGCTTATCTCCATGATCCTTACCTAATACTGTGCCATCTATACCCTACCCATATTGCACGAGTGGGCGAGGCCGCTGAGGTCCCTCCTGGCCATTACACTGGTAGTACATCCCATGATGCGGCAAATGAGACTCCCGCATGAAGGTCTATCTAATATAGAGGCTGGGTCCTGCCTAGCATGAAGGTATTTGGCGTCGACCACGACTGAGATGGTCGCCTCATTAAAGAGGATGATCCTGAGCTTTGGCTTGACACATTGGAAATCCAAACACCAGTCAGTTCAAGACTGAGCGCTCTGTTAGAGTTCAACGAGACCATAGCGTCTTCAAATACACTTGCACACCCAATGGCTTGGTAGGCTCCTTGGACGCCTGCAACGAGTTCTTTAATAAGGCCGTCAATATTAAACACTTGAAATCACATCCCATGACCAATCCATCACCGCGACGCTGCCGACACTCACCAGAGCTTGGTTCTTCTTTTCACAAGTATTTCATCTGTTAACTTCCCCACCTCTCCGTTCGAATGGATCACCGTTTTTTTCCCACCAGATACCATGCCTGCCGCGATGGTAACTGGATGGGGCCGGATCACCCAGATATTTGATAAGTCATTCTACAAGACAAGTTGTGGACATTGACTCACCAGGAAATAGCTTCCAATGGTGTTGTCACGGCGATGTAAATGTTATTACAGCAGTTTTAGCCACAGCAGTGTCACGATGTTGACCAAGGACAAAACGGATCGCGATCTTAAATCGACGCGCCTGCGCGCGACTTACTTTTCCCACGCACCGCGCTGTTTGCGGCAGTTCCCACCCACTCTCCCAACGTTGCAGTTGTGATTCGTGAATCAATCCGTGGTCCCCACGAGTGGGAATGCATTGTGCAACGCACCGTTCCAGTGTCTAGCCGAAATATGAGCACCTTTGCGTCTGCTAGGTGTGGCGCCCTAACTCGTCATTTCCCTCTACAAACTTGGCGCCGGGCATGGTTTTTCCCTCCTACAGGACTCCATCCTCTCCGCTGTGCCACCGGTACCCTACCTATGTGGCACGACTGGCTGCTCCTTCCCATCGCACATCCAGTGGACTTCGTAATGCGGCGATCGAGACTCCTGCATTGTGGTCTCGGGTTTTCATCACGCCAAGCGACGGTGATAAAGCGAGTTGCCTCAATTTACTTAATATCGCCAAGCGAATGTCTTTAAGAGAGGAAGATAACTATCTCCATTTGTTTTCATCCTTCATCCTGGGGGATTCCTGTATCCACGTTCCAGGAAGCTATTGGTCTTGCATCAGAGATATGTGGATATTCACGTCAACACAAGAACGCATGAACGATATTTTCCCACTTCCGGAATTGAAGAAGCTGAAGGTGTTTGGCGCGAACCACGGTTGGAATGGTCGTCTCTTACAAGAGGATGATCCTGTGGTTTCAGCTTGACACATTGAGTGCTCTGTCAGAGTTCAACGAGTCCATGACGTCTTCAATTCACACTTGCACACTCAATGGCCTGGGAGACGCCTTGGATGCCTGTAACGAATTCTTCAATAAGGTCATCAATATGAAACACTCAATCACATTGCATTACCAATTGCAGCCAGTTCTTTGTGACACTGCCAGAACTCACCAGTGCCGAGCTTGGTTCTTTGAGCGTCTATCTTGCTGTTCGCTTCGCATGGTCTTATGACCATCGTCTCTGCTGCCACAATCCTCGTTGCATGCACCAAAATGTTGCAATGACAGACAACTTGCGGGACCCTCAAGAGATTACTTGAGTTTATTGGATGTTTCTTCGTTTCATGTGACAGTGAAGGGGCAGAGACTATCGCACTTCTGTATCAGATATGATGGCACGTCGCTTAGAAACTCAACTGCGGTGACAGCGAACTGGATTGAACGCTTCTTGGCTTACCAACCCAACTTACGGGTAGATTATTACAACAGGCTTGTGTCAGATGCCCTTTGTGGGAGACTTCCTTCCCCGGCCGTTTCAGGCGCGCGTACCCATGCACTGGACGGTCTTAGTGTAGAAAGTCCGGAGGAATTGTACGAGGATTCTCCAGCGACAAAGGAAAGCTGAAGATGTTGAGCTATATGAGCAATATCAGATATTTGATGAGTAAAACAAGTGGCGGGCGAAAGGATGCATTGGCCTCACCAGGAAATAGCTTCTAATGGCGATGTCAATAGTATTAAAGCACAACTATGTCACGATGTTGACCGAGGACAAAACGAATCACGATCTTAAATCGACGCGCCCGCGCTTGTCGTGTTTTCCCCACGGACTCCCTGTGCAGCTCCAGGCACAATTGAACCACAATGTGTTAGTTCCCACCCTGTGTGCACCGAAAGCGTGTGGGGAGGGGAAAGTTTCGTTTGGTCCTAATCCTTGCGATCGGCTGTTGAAGGACCACTTCGCGTATCAGTATTGCGAAATTACGTCCGAGATTACAGGTCGGGCGAAAGACTGACGGCGGTCAACAGCCGTCAACGATTGAGATTCGAGTCAGATCTCGGATGACTCGGTAATTTGGTTGCAGCGAACAGGGTTACATCGGGCCAAGTAGTAGTATACAGACAAGGACTAGGCGAACAACAAGTGTATTACATAGCTGTCCCACTGCCAAGGACTAGCATAATGTAAGAATAGAACGGACACGACGAATAGAATCGATATATGGAAACAGAGTCGAAGCTGAGGTGGCGTCAACGGTAAGAGTCGTGGGACTGACACTTGCGCGACTCGATCCCACCTGAGTGGAACGCTTGTTTGGCATGCAAGCTGGTAGTCTGAGCTATGAGGGGTCAGGTGGACCAGAAGGCAACTATCTGAGACATTAAGGGACGGGCCGTACTTGCTGAACAGCAAGAGGCCAATAGTTGCTCAAGGGGCTTGTCGGACCAGCTCCAAGGAGCAATTTGGCGTTCAATTGCCTTCAAAATGTCAATATCCTTCCTCAACCAGTGGTACGGGGGACAATCAAAGAGAATCTTTGTGACCCGACGCTGAGTTCGAATCAACATGATCTTGAGCATCCTTACTCACTTGTATACACGTACACCCAAAAGCGTAGACGTCGCTCTGTGCGGTGGGAGGCAAATCTTCCTCAGAGAACCCTAATAATTCTGGTGCTAGGAATCGGGGTGTTCCTCCTTGGATAGAAGTTGTTTGTCCCGTCGGAAGGCCGTCAAGGATTCGAGATAATCCAAAATCACACAGCTGTGCATGTCCCGCGTCGTTGATTAGGATGTTGAGCTAGTCAATTCTCGTCAGGAGCGCTTGCCTGAGTACTTTCTCAGCCAGGGACGGACCGGTTTCAGATCTCCATGAATGATAATGGGATTGTGACTGTGGAGGTATAGCAGCCCCTGAGCTACGTCGAATACCTGTATTCATGCGCAGGGATCGACCAAACCACGAAGTCGGTTCTATACAAGTGCTCACCAGCATCTCACGATCTACCGCAGGATTCTGCTGTAGGTACATGACAACATTGCCGTTCGCACACCATTGCGACACTAGGGCAGTAGTAACTCCAAAATCTCCCTGCTCTATCGCATAACCAATAAATCCAACGATGTTAGGGTGCTCGAGATCTTTCCAAACCCTCATTTCTCTTCTTAGATGCTGGAAAAACAGTGACACGGCTCATGCATCACGACTTGAAGATGTAGATGGGCCTCACCTTCACAGCTTTCCTAGTGTGTTGGATTGCTGCCGAGAGCGTACTAATAGGCGGACGAAGCACTTTATAGCATACCTACGAGAAGTCATGAATTGGATTTACCGGGAACGATCACAACGACGTACAGGGATTAGATCGACTCCGGCGCGAGGCCTCCAGTAATTGCAAAACACTTCTGAGTACCCTCCTCTAGCAATGAGATTATGGTCCTTCTGTGGAAATTGGCCACTAAGATCCCGGACATCGAACTCCCGCCTAAGTTCCTCGATGAGGACAGATGCAGTGTCTACTTGTTGCACGGACACAAGATGCCAAGATGAGCTGGACGATTTGGGCTCAAAGATAACCGGTGAGAGGGTATGGGAATGGCGTGTTTGCACCAGCGAGTCCATAAGACTGTGCGAAGGAAAGGAAACTGGAGTTGGGTGGGTTGAAGTTGATCTTAACTCCGCTTCGGAGGGAACAGCGATAGGGTTCTTTGGGGATCTGGGTGGCATAGCAGGGGATATGAGAGTGCCATCGACACCAACGGCATCAGGCTGGATAGTTATTTTACCTGTCTGCTCCTTCGTTTCAGGGGGTTTGGGAGCTACCTCCGGCAACAGCGGCCCCTCCACAGAGATACCATCTTGAGCCCCAGGTGAAGTGGCAGCAGGCACTACTTCCTCATCAACCTCAATTGTCTTCAAACTCATGCGGTCCCCATCTTGTGTAAGGAATGGATCCGTCGGGTCGCCGCTGAGGAGTGGAGGCAATTGTGGAACCGAATCGAGGCGCGTGGTACGTGCGGCGAGGTCGGACCTGACTCGCTTGATCTGGTGTTCAACTCTTGTTGACTGAAAATCTTCAGCACGGTCGCGCGCGAACCGTCTCCATGGCCTCGACGTCCGAAACGTCGGGTGGTTCGCTAGTGTAGTGAGGTATTCAAGGAGAGCGTTCACGTTCCCATCAGAGCTAAGGTCAGTCAAGGGGTCGGGTTCTTCTTTAGTAGGGGTGATTGAGCCCAGGTCCTTATCCTTGTGACGCCCGAACCGACTCAAAGTCTGAAATGATTCCCGGCGCTTGGTGCGGATGGCCTCAGGAAGAGGGGGCAATGGTATGCTTGGGTATGCTTCGTGCAGCTGACCACGGTAAGAGGTCAACTGTGTGTCCCAACACAGGATTTTCCGGTAACACGTACTTTTGCGTGAAGATCACTGATTTCTTCCGTGGTGCGGGTGAGAGTAAAGTGATGAGTAGGAGCTATGAGCAATCCACAAAATTAGCATGCGTTCAAAATGCACATGAGACGTTTGCATACAACATACTTTTCACGTAAATGTTGAAAGAATAATCATCATTTCCGGCGACACGGACAATCCAGGAGCCATCGTCGGTTAACCTGACGGGTAAATCGATTGCCATATTTCTAATGGACTGGGCGCCGAAGCCACCGAGGCGGTTGGGAGAGCTCAACGCCCTTCTCCTCGAGGGATAGCCGGATCCAGCAGGCCAGCCAGTCCCGAAGAAGCCATCCTGAATTTCCCTGTAGTGGTCCGGAGTCCCAGTGTACAGACCTGGTCCCATATGATCCCAAAGACCGAAGTCCGTGGGTCTGACGGTCACAAGTCGATCTCCCCCACGGTCCGTGTAAGTCCGGGGAATCCCGATATTCAAGCATCCTCGGTGCTGCTTCATAGGATATTATGGAGTAGGTGATGCAATGACTATTTACTGGCATGCAAGAGACGCGATATAGCCAAGAGTAATTCCACTGCAGCTTGTTACACAATTGTGACTTTGCCACCCTGATTTGCCATGTTTCGCGTTGGGATTTTCGAAAACTTCCAAGCACTTCTACCTCCTCAACCTCCCCTGGCTCACCATGGATGTCCTATGTGGGAATACCCCACCAACCTGACAGGTTTAAATAATAAAAGCCACCGAGTTGCAAAGTGCAAGGGATGCGTGGTTTGGCATGCAAGCTAGGAGGTTGGAGGCAAGGATTCCGAGGGCATCTTAGTTGGAAGCATTACACAAAGACGCTCGGCAGAAGAACTACATGGTATGCATCAATTTGACTCAAGAAGTGCTCATCAGCATGGTGGCTAAACCCCATGTATTTCGCAGGGTGACGAGCCAGCTTTTTTACTGTGCCTTGAATATCAGGAGCTCCATGCTTCCGCAGAGGGGTGTGCTGAAGGACGGGCATATCACACTCACCAACAATCCATCATCAACTCACAGCCATGCTTCTCCCTCTGTAACGCTACTTGTCCCTCCAGCTCATATTCCCCACCATCAAAGCACCCCACCCACAACTCCCACACTTCTAAATGAAAAACAAGTAGCACTTGAACCCAGCCTTCAGAATTCCAAATCAGAACAAGGGATGGATCCTAACCACAGAGTTTGATCGACGACAGGAGGAATTGACTCAGTTGATGAAGGGTTGGTCAATGGATGCAGAATAAATTTTGCGTGGAGTCTATGGTAACACGTCGAGCGCTTGTAGCTAAATTGGTTATAACTCCGTCGGTTCAGACAGTCCCAAGTCCCCGCAACTACGAGTGATCTGTCAACTCGGTCTTTATGCACCGAATTTATTCGTCTATTCGTCTATTTGTGCAACACTGCCGGCGGGCCCTGGACTGGTGGAGACGAAGGAGAGCTTTGCATATTGTGTCATTACCAACAGACAGAGGCAGAGGGGTTGAGTGTGCGTACTCGAAGGACTCCTCCGAGTTTCCGTTTTTTTATATACCAAAGCAAGAGTAATCGGAGAGCGAGTGAGGTCTATCAGCGACGAGTGGTCGTTGGTACTTATGAAGTAAGTGTTCTATATTATTACGAAGTCATAGAGGCTGGAGTCCCGCCTAAGTAAGTGTGGGGATTTCGAGTGACAGCACCAATGACAGCGCTGCCTCCGCGAGGGATGGTTCCCTATCTGTTCGACCCCGCCTCATGCGTTATTGGGTTCAGCCGCCGAGCGCTTCCGGCAGCCGTACATGTGGTGCCAGCGGCCGCGACCCCGCTTTCGCCAAAGTTGGCGCCGAATCACGTGTTCTTGGGCGCTGAAGTTGAAATGCGGGGGTTGTTGTTTGAAACTCGCAACATCGTCAGCATCTTTTGAGCGTCGTCCTAGATAACGCCTGACCAGCTCTTAAAAGACGCTGCCTGGCCACGCCGATATCTCTCGACGCAGTTTGTTTTTCTTCGTTCCGTTTACTTACCGCATTAGGCAGTTGCTTCCTCGTCCATCACATAAGCCGTCTCGACCCCCTGAATTCAAACGCAAACCTCCCTCTCTTAACCTTCGTCATTTGTTTTTTTTTAAACTTTTTGTAACTTCAAATCCGCTTGCCACTTTCGGAACGGGAGATGGGTGTAACATTATCCAGTTTATGGACCTCTTTGAGCAGTCTTGCGTCTTGGGGGAAGAATCAGGACGTACGGATATTGATGCTCGGATTGGACTCGGCGGGAAAGACGACGATTCTGTATAGGCTACAGGTGCGTTGTTTTTCTTTTGGCTTCCTGCGCCCGGGGGCAAAAGGGGGAATGTTGATTCCCGCTGTTTTGTCGATGCCCTGGGCGGGTCCCGCTGTCGTGGTCCGGTAGATAGGAGAGGTGGTAGCGACTATACCGAGTGAGTTTGTGGCCACTGTTGACTTGCAGTTGAGTTCTTGTTTGTTGACACGTAGTTTCCTCGGGATATTAGCAATTGGGTTCAACGTCGAGACAGTTCAATTTAAGAACATCAAGTTTCAGGTGTGGGATCTTGGAGGTGAATCCTCGGTTATCTTCTATGGCCTTTCGTGATAAATGATGAGCTGACGTTGGTTTTGGTAGGTCAATCGAGTATTCGGTTTGTGAACTTCCCTCTTTGATTTTGCAAGATTTTTGATACGTGATTGCCAACCCTCTCAGGCCATACTGGCGGTGTTACTTTGCGAACACGAAAGCTATCATATACGTAATTGACAGCTCAGACCATGCCCGATTGCCGACGTCTCGGGCGGAGCTTCTCACTCTTCTGTCAGAAGAGGAGCTTAAAGGAGTACCATTGCTGATCTTTTCCAACAAGCAGGTATGATTCGTCGTTTTGTAACCATGATCCTAGTTCCCCTGTCAACTCTTGAATTAGGATATGGAGGGTGCCTTGACACCCGGAAAGATGAGTGACGCCCTTGGTTTGGATGGTGAGAAGGGGAGGGAATGGAGCATAAGGGGGAGCTGTGCGATAAAGGGAGATGGTCTGGAGGAGGGACTTGACTGGTATGTTTGGCGTTGCGGCAATTTGTCCTTTGTTCTAGATCTTTCACACTCCGGCGTCTTCTACAGGCTCGTCACTACCATCCAGAAGAAATGATCGGAAACTTTGTTACCCTTCGTGCATCTCCCCATAATATTCACTCTTTGCGGGTCTCACCATACAATCGTCGAAGCCCTTCTTGCATCGCATCGATATACGTCATCTTTTTTACCATCGGTGATATTTCATCCTCATGCTTACCGACCGCTCAACCACATCAACATGTACTTTTGATCCGTTTTTGGTTATGATGTTATCGAAGACAAGCGTCTCCTGTTTCATTGATGTTGGGCAACCGACAGATTGTTGCGGCCAGGACCACTCCGCCTATGTAGCTAATCGTCCTTCTAATTCTCCCTCAACCCTGAGACTTGGCGCCCTGTACGCTATTATCTCCAAGATTTTCATTGTGCCGAGCGTACCCATCAATCGTGGCACCGGCTGTGTCTTGAGTCTGCGGGCGCATCTCTTCCCATAAGGTCATCAAGGAAATTAATTTCTTCTAGCAAAAAAAAGATATTGATCACCGTATTTGACACAGAATAATTGTGGCCGTTACTGCGTGATTAGAACTTTTGATACGAGGCCCTGCGTTTATCTTGACACTGCGCGTACAGCTTGAGGAGGGATTGAACCGATGACATGGATTTGAGTCAGTTTGCGCGGGAACTTGGAATACTCCTGCACAACCGTCTAACTCAGGATTGCTTATGAGCGTGGGTGGAATGAGGGTGAGTGCACGGTTTGCGTCATACCCTCACGCTGACATCATGGGAAACACAGCCTACCAAGTTCTACATCGATGCTTGAGGATCACAGAGTGCTTATGCGAGTAAGACTAGGTGTATTACTTAGGAAGTCATAGAGCGCGCTCGCTTGGAGAAGGGGCATCACTCCGCGCTGCGACCCTGACGGAAAATATTCATTCAGCACAATTGCCCTAGATGCGAAGAGCTGAATGCAAAAAGTCGGGGGAATGATGAATGAATGCACCGCTTGATCGGGGAATTTTTGACAGACCGACTTGACCTTGAAGTTTTTCTTTTTTTTCCCCGCAATAACTTGCGAAATGTTTCGAAAAATGGTGAAACCAATATGCGCGGTGTGGCAGGAAGGTGTCTAAGTGCCTGGGTGGGTCGTTGTGACAAATACCCTTTTCGACGTTCTCGATCATGGGGAGGTTCGAGCTGGCTTGTCAAGTTTTGTGTCGTCGGTGTTCTTTCTAAACATTGGGTAATTGGCCGGTCGCTTTACGGTTGTCTTAGCAAACGTCAAGACCGTTGCCGCTTCTACATACACCGAACCCCGAACGCTATTACAACGCCTTGGCAATATTGTGAGTGAAAATCCCAGCCATCGATCACACTGTCATGACTGCGCCCCGTGCCCACGCACGGATTCATGGGGTCGATCATGACGTTGTTGGCTATATGAAATTACGTAGGGGCTTTGCACCAGCGAAGCTCGAGCGAGTTCATGTTGCCTGGAAATCTGAATGAAACCAATTGAGGCATTATTTACGGAATCTGCACACAGGTTTCACTGCCTTTTGGATTTCCTAATCGCCTTATGCATGCTTCTTTTGCGTTATTTTTTCCTTGATTGCGAGTAATTTGATTTCTCAAGGCCGTGTACGTTTGGAGGTCGCACGCAACAACCACCTCACAACTGCACCCAAGTAAAAACACTCACCCATCCAATTAGTCAGTCTCTTCGGGGCATAAGGAATGTTACAGATGCAGCGGCGTTTTGTTTGCGGTCCTGGGTACTTCATCTCTGGGTCATCAGTAATAAGTAATGGTACCTGAAAGTGTCGGCATTCTAATCCTGGCGAAGGCTACTAAACCAAGTCCGCATTGAATAAACTTTGCGGACATGTGACCTGTCGACAGTTTCTGTCATCAAAGCGGGAGCGATGACCTCCTGCCCGCTCGCTTCTTCGAGAGCCACTTTTGCTTATGAGATCTTCAAGTTGAGATCGATGCAATGTTCGTGAACGACTTGTACATGTAGTTCTCTTATCCTAGTTTAGCTTGAGCCCCAACCAACCAACCGTCGGTAACTTTGCTCGCACGGTATTCATGGCGGAAAACAAAAGGCTCGGGGTTAATGCGTGAAGGGAATGGAACTTCCAAGCGCTTGTTCCCTGAACTTCGGGGGATCACTCCGCTCTTGAGACCCATTGACCTCAGTTGCTTGGTCGACCCCTTTTCCTCGCTCGCGAAACATCGTGTTGGCATTGGCGTTTCCGCTTGGGTATCTTTTGGCTATCGTACTCAATCGCTTCTTTTTTTTTTTGTATTCCCGCGGTCGGCGACCACTCCTTTTCCCACTTCCCTGATTCTGTAAGAGAGGATATATACAAAGGGGTTTCGCAGTTTGCACAGGTAACCCTTTTGAACATTTTCGGAGGTAAGGGATCCGGGGAGTACCATTTTGGGATAACACCAGTGGCAAATTATCGGGGGCGCCGCATCGTTTATAATGTCACCTAGCCGTGCTCTGTGCTTCCTTCCCATTAGCCCCCCGTAATCGATCCAACGGTTTATACTCCTCCCACTCTTCCACCATCCCATTTCAGCATACAGTAGGAGTTGTTGGGTGACTCTATCCCACTAGTTGGACGAGCTTTGTTACCATGGCTTCTTGTTCGAGCCCAAAATACATCACATCCAGCGCCTTCCCCACCCCTGATTCCTGCTGCTACTTGCAGCGTGCTACCCAGTTCTTGAAACGTGCCCGGGAGGTTTTCCCTGACGATGGCCCAAAGGAGGAATCCTTCAGTCACTTTGGACAGCTTATGTTACCATTCCATGGCGCTATCATTCGCGAGCTGTCGAATCGAGAGAAAGGGAGATCATCCGAACCTGCACCAACTTCAGGTGGAGATCGACCGTGGGTACTTAGCTGCGTCAAACCTGAGGTATGTTCCCCAGCAACTGTCGCAGAAGGCCCGGTTAACCTGTATTGACGCAGGAGTACGAAGCAATGGCGTCCCTGCTGTCAAAACATGATCTTCTGGACGCTTTGCCTCAGTACCTCGAGGACGTTAGAAACACCATGATTGCGATGCAAAAATTCGAGCGGAAGATGCTCTCAGAGCCAAGACAATTGTTCAACCGTAGCCAGTTCATTCTCTGCCGATACCGTTATGGACAGCAGAGTCTTGAAGATGTGAGTGCTCTTCAGGGTCATATTGCGATTTGCAGCGATGTAAGAAGAGTGAAACCGTTTATGCTAATTCCACTTTTTTGGTTTTTCAAACAGACTCATTCGCAGCTGAAATCTCTCTTCCAGGATCGGGTCGACCTCCTGGGTGCTGTTGAAGAGGTACTTGGAATGTCGTGTGGAGGAGAATCCGCATCCGTTCCTTCTTCCCCACCATCGTTATCGCCAAGCAACGAGTCAGACAGCCCCCGTCCGGATCTGGCCGATCCTTCGGAAGCGTGAGGATGACCGGCGGCAAGGACGAGGATTGCTGTTGGAAAAGGACAGCCCGTTGATGGACCATTGACTTTCTCTCTCTCTCTCTCTCTCTCTCTCTCTTTTTTTTTTTTCTTTTTGCTTTGGGACTCCTCATCGTTTTCACCCTGGACCACGTCCACATCATCGCTTTGTTGCCTTGCATTGTACCATAGTGTCTGAGCATCTAGTTCCACATATACAGTTCCTGCTCTGTGCGATAAACTTCGGACTTGATCTCCCCCCCCCTCCAGAGTGATGTCATCGTTTGTTCGCTAACTGGAAAAAAAAAAAAAAAGCCCCTGGGCGAATTGCTTTTATCGAGAAGGGCGGATGTTGGTGTAAAATGAAATTAATTACATGCCCTTGATTGATTTGAGCACAGGGCTGCCCAACCCTGGAACAGATGACCATATGTGCCAGCCACCCGTCCATGTGGCTACCCGAGCGGAATTCATGTAAACACAGTCATTTACCAGTTAGATCCTGTCTATAATGAGTTGTTCACGGGAGCAGCGATATCACCATGCGCCCGCGGTCATATAAGGCAGGAATATGACGTGTTAATTCTTTTTTAAACACAAAAGCGTAGTGCGGGTGCATGGACCGTACGTCGTGTGAGGACTCCACTCTCACTGCCTCGGGCATGCTATGGAAATCCGTCGAGTGAGATAGGGGTCGGAGCTAGGGAGGGAAAAAAATAAATAAAAAAATAATCATAACCAACACAGATCAATCAAGCTCGCACCCAAATCCCACCAACTGACGTCAGAAGGAAGATCTAACAACAAGAAAGGAAAGCTTCAGGAACCCGCGTTAAGTAAGTAGTAGGGGGACTGGAGATTAATTATGTGAATGTTCAAGAGCCGGCAACTTAGAAAAAAAAAAAAATAATGAGTCGCGCGACCCGTTTAGGTTCTGACTTGGTCCGTCCGTCGTTAAAGCGCTATCCATTCTTTAGCCGGTCAGGGTTATCTGGTTGTTCTCTTGAGTCCTTCTTTGATGTCTTTGCATGGTGTGCGGGTGGCTCTGTATATTTTTCTTTTCTTTCTCTTCGGTCAACGAGGCCGGTCTGGCTGTTTTAGTTTTATGTCCTTTTAGCTGTCATTGTCTCCATATATTGCTAGTTGAGAACTACAAACTAACCCGAATTGAAGACAGACATCAGAATTAATGGCAGCGGGAGTTCGTTCCACGGAAACGGTCCAAACCGGAAAATACCGACGTAAACTTTACCTCCGCTTACTGAGTCGAGCCCGCCGCCTGTTACTCACACCTGCTTGATGTCGTCAACAAATTGAAAGCTGTCGGCGTATTTGGAAACAGCCAGCATACCAAAACAAACAGGGCGAGGGCTTTCCCCCCATTCATAGTTACCCACGGCAATTACCTTCTCTCTGACTCTCTCTCTCTCCATGCGGTCCAGCGCTTCCTTCTGATCTCATCATCGTGGGGTTACGAATGGGAGTCATTGATCTTGTGGTTTAGCTTCGGACCGAAGATTATTATGTAGCTCAGCGCTGTGAATATCAATACCCCGGATGTTCACAAAGTGCTGGCAGGACTTTTCTTCTCCCAAACGGCCCAACTGCCCGACGTGGAATCGGGTCATTACGTGCATTCGTGGGGCTTCACTCCCATCCACGCGCTTCTGCGCCAAGGAAACTGAATTTCTCATCTGATGCACTCCTCCAGCCTGGACGATTATCACAGGCCGTTTGATTTGACGCTTCTAAACTTTCGTATCCGCTTTCCATCTTTGCGTGCCTGGTGTCGATGGTCAAACGAATTGATGTATCTTGAGTTTGACGTTAAGTCTCAAGTATCGTGCCGCATGTGCCGCCCTACCGTAGTTACGCTGATGGACGATAGAGGCATTCCCTCATCCCTTCCCGCTTTATCCCACCCTTCCCACCCACAACATCCCGATATCCCATCACGAAGCCTCAATTTCAGCACGGACTAATCATGTTCTGGAACATGGCTCCTAGAGACGCTCTTCCCCAGTATCTTAACTGGGATGTAAAGTTTAACGAAAGATTTTCTCGGAACCAATTGCTCACCCGTACTAGTGGGTCCATTTCATGTCGACATTTCGGACAGTGGGTTCTTGAGGATGTGAGTGTCATCAGAGATCTAAGTGAACAAACCCACTCTCGGCCGGGCAACAGATTCATTCGTAAATCTATCTTATAGGATCGGGTCAATCTCGTGGATGTCGTGCGGAGGAGGATATGAGTCTATTCTTTCGCTTTGTCAAGCAACGAGCTCGTTCGGATCTGACTAGTCCTTCGGGGTGAGGATGAATTGCGAGGATTGCTGTTGGAAGGATAACCTGTTAGCGGACCATTCTTCATTTTTTTTTACTTACGGAACCATTCATTGTTACTGCCCTGCCATGGATTACGTCCGTACCATCCGTTTTGTTGCCTGGCACATTGTACCATAAATGGTTTAGTGCATATGTCCAAATCTTATTTTGTGACCAACTTCGGATCCTCCCCAGCGCGATGCTATCATCTGTTCACTAATCGGAAAAAACAACCCAGATGAATTGCTGGAGAACAAATGTTGATTTGCACTTGTGAAATAAATTTACATGTTGTTTCGATTTCGAGCGCGCACACATTCGGTTCGCATATAGTCATTTCCGTTAGGCCCTGTAATGAGTGGTTCATGGGAGCAGCGATGACGTGTTAGTGTAAAAAAACGTAGATCAAAATAAGGGGAAGGAAACACATATTACAGTTTGGGAAAAATAAATAATATATATATAAAAGAAACACAGATCAATCAGGTTCGCAACTAATCCCACCGGCTGACGTCAGAAGGAAGAAAGGAAGCCAAGGAATAGCCCAACTAGAGATTAGTATGTGGATGTTCAGACCGGTAACTTAAGAGTCGTGCGACCCTTGCACTGGACGAGAATCTGACCTCTAAGTACTGGGCAGTGTCCCAATAGTCTGATGACATCATTAGAATACTAATGCAGCGTAAGGGAAGCCTCAGTCGGTCAGCTGGAAACAGTACTGTATCAAGTCGGGCCGCACAGGTTGTCCGGCGCGGGAAAACTCATCCTCGGCCTGGAAAGCTATACGCCTGAAGAAGGTCGCAGATCCCGTAAAAGAAACCAATTGGGTGGCTCCCTCGCAAGATCAGTCAGCTGAATCACTTTACCCGTCTTCTCATTCTTTCCAAACGAGGAAAGGAAGATTTGTCTCCCGGTTACATAAAGAAAGCTGGAATAGCCGGTTTGCAAGGGGGATGTCGCAAGAGGCTCAAGCAGCGACTATACAATAGCTTTATCGTTATACCGGGATTTCACCCAGACAAGTGCCTCAATGACCCAATCATCAAGGAGAAATGCCCGTTATTGGCTCAGTGCTACATGAGTCCCCCGATCAGTCGTCCAAAGCGGATGTGTCCATATCGCTATCGAGCTGGGATGTTGCGCATCGTAAAATCGTCGACCATGTAGTATGGTCAACGGGGCATGCTCCCTTGCGGTTTGACTGAGCTTTTTTTCCTGTTCAGCTAGGTTCTGGCTTACCAATAAGTCAGAATGGGCCTCCACAGGTGGCATCCCTCTGGGTAATGGAGTTCCACAAGAAGAAAATGGAAGCGCCTTGTGAACGAGGTTCACTCAGGCTTCACCCTTGTAGAAAACTGTCTTGACAGTCTAACAGTCAGGGAGGAATTCCCGTGATAGGGTCACCACGGCGTTGGAAGGTCCCCATTGGTCAGTCAACGATGTGTGACGCGGATGTGTCCATTATGGTACCACTCTGAATTGGAGGCACTGAGATTGTCGAGTGGCCCGACGAAGGCACTTATCTACCACTTCGATGGAGGCTGGCAACCTGCCTAGATGGGAAGGCTACGATGAGTTGCATGCTGGTGAGCTTGGTGAACGCGGGACGTCATGTTTGTTTTGACGAAGTGCCTTTTGCAGATCCTCAGATGTAGTAGGCATCAGATATTGCGTCTCGAAATCACTTTAAGACACCTTCGTGATGTTGTGTCAAACAGCTTTTTCCCACGCCCATTGCCCAGTTTGGTCATTATTAATGAGTTCATCGAGCATGTTTCGCACGTGTTCATTTGCTCCTTTTCTTGTGTAATTTAATTCCGACTTCACAGCCTGTAACTACCTCGTGGACCGCAAACTGTCGCGACTGCGCGCGAGAACAAAGAGCTTGTAAGGCTGTCCAGCTAGCCTTTATGTCTACTGTAGATAGGCCTCTGGTGCTCCACATAAGCGCTTTGAGCCCCGATGAGTACGGTCTATTTACATCTGTTTTGCGTGAACTTGCTGGCCCTGGGCAAGACGACGATTCTTGGGATCGCCCTGTAGACGTTATGGAGGCTCGAGGGTGGATAAGGGGTCGTTATGGACTTGACGCTGCTCTTGTAGACAAGGTATGTTGTGAACGATTGGTTGTTGTCCAAGTGACGGCATGGATGCTTATTGTCTGAAGTGCTTGCGCTAATCCCCTGCTTTGTTCTGAGCAGATACTGAGATATTTCCCGATTACTCCTGAAATGTCGGACACGCTCTCCGCCGGTCAATTCTTTGCTGTGATGCGACTGGTGGCACACGCACAATCAGGAAGAGACCCCGCCAAGACCCTTGTCTTTGTGCAAGGTGAAGTACAGATACTTCCATTATACATATTATTAATTCCCTCAATACTTGCGGTTTCCAGCGAGCGTACCCCCTCCACTTGAGGGACACTCCTCAGGCGCCCCAAGGAAACATAGTTTCAATGCGCAAAAATTCTCACCATCAAAACCCACCCACACCCCAGCCCAACCCCCTCCCGTCAGGTCGAGAGGCCCATCGGATGCCACCATTCACCCTAATGAAGGGAAACCCCCAAATCAGCCTAAGAATGGGAATCCTTTCAGGCGATCGGCTTCGGTTGCCTCCGCACCCTCCGCCTCAACAATCATACCTCCTACTCCCGATGAACCACTACCGGCACCACCCATGCATCCGCTTTCGCGGTTATCAGCTGCAGCCATCGAGACGATGAGTGTATCGCGGTCAGACCCATCTGAAGCTAATCATGCCACCCAATTTGGACAACGGCACACAGTGGGTACTAAAGCATCCGCGTCATCACCTTACAATATCCCTCCCATCCCACCTCTTCCTCCTCGCAAGCCGCCAAACCTTCCTCCACGTACTTCTGGTGACTCGTTATTTGTCGTGAGCCCTTCACTTCCGCCTCGTCCACCCAAAGTATCCCCGAAGCCCCAAAATCTCGCTGCGCCGCCTATCGCAACTTCACAGCTTATGAAGGAGTCGTTAAAAGCGGCGAAAGGCGGCCAGATACAGAAAGCTAACGAAGCACTGTTGGGGAAAACACTAAATTTGGAAGTTATTGGAAGGAGCAGTGCGAAAGAGTCTGCAGGCAGCATTTCACCCTTTGCTTCCGCCTTGGCTTCATCCTCGTCTTCGTCAACGAATGTTCCATTCAAAGGGGTTTTGCGGAGGAGTCCTTCACCTCCAGCGAAGAGGAGAACGGTGCCTACGCCACCTGAATCTGTGACCTCATTTGAGAACATTGCAGTCGCACGCGTGTCAAATGCACGATCCCCGCCGAATGGGCTTGAAATCAAGAATGGGGCTACATCCTCGAAATCAAGCTCTCCGCATTCAAGCTTGTCTGTATCGCCGAGTCGCCGCGTTCATCTATTGCCTCCTCTGTATCAGTATTCTTCTGCCGACCCAGATCCCACGAATGAACCAAGCACAGACGTGGACGTCCCCATTTCCCATACGAATAAAATGTCACCAACGTTGGTGGGACGTTCCAAATCATTACATGGCACTCCATCACCCAAAACTCCTCTTCCGCCTCCTCCTCGCCGCCGTCCAGAGAGTGTGCAAGTACTGGGCGTGGGAACAAGTCCGTTCTCTGCCGCTCCGTCAAATATAGCCTCTCCCGTGCCGACATCAATCACTCGACGTGCATCGCTTCAATCACACTCTCCATCCTCACGAGCACCCATTTCGCAGTCACCTCCTTTACCTCCATCCCAACCAGCTGATGCCTTCCAAAGCTTGTACGAGAGTGTCAGAAAGAAGACAGATCCGATACAGCACTCTATTACTGATGGATTCGATATCGTGCGAAAGAAAGCGGAGAGTAAGCTAGTTCCTGGAGGGTTTATGCGTCGAGGAGCGGGAACGGAAGGTAGGGGATTATTTGATGACCCGGAGAGTGATGCGCAGGAAAGTAGCGCAGATGAGCGAACCAGGAGTCTGAGCGTAGATAGTTTAAGTATTGACCAGCCCAGCATGGACGATGACGAATGGGGGGAGCGGGGGAGTGGTAGGGAGCAGAATGCTACGGCTAATGGTTGGAGGAGATTATAGGGTTCATCTTGGATTGGGCATGGACGGCTGTACCTATGATCGCTCCTGGATCTGTATTTTTTTTACCTCTATTCTCACATTTTTCGGACCTTTGCATCATAATGGCCCCCCTTTGCTACATCATGACAGCTGTATTAGAAATGTAGCCTAGCGATGTTCTCGCTCAGTCCGCTATGCGTAAACTACAGTATATAAGATATATTAAAGTAATTACCTAGCGATGTTCTCGCTGATATGCATAAATAAATGAGTAGACGATAAAGGACACAATAAAAGGAAGGGAAAACCTCTGACTCACCTCAGTCCGCTATATACTTATGCGTGAACTGATGAGAAGCTGAGTGGTCAAAAATTGGTGTTTTATAGTCGAATGTTTGGCAGCGGGTATTCCAAAAAAGGAAACAAGAGTAGATCATGAGACTCAACATCAACAAACGTGAGTTGGCCTCAGCGTACGCTGTGATCTAATAAGCTGTCTGGCTGTGGTCAGAGCCTGGCTTATCCTGCTTGCGACCACCACGCAGTCAGTGGCGATGTGGGCTCCCAATCGAGGAGGGTGGGAATATATGGGGCGCTTCAACTGATGCTATTATTTGAGGGGTTCTTAGGCATCTCCAAAGAGAGAGGCTTGTCACCTGCCCAGGTGTTTCCATCAGACGGCACATAATAATGCCATCTTTTATGCACGGAGAATGAGATTTCCTGGACTGAAATAGATGACCCGAGATCTCCTTTTTCACATTGGGGCTCGACATTCCGGTTGACCACTTTGTTCCAGGTAAGTTTGGCCATGTCCAAAGGCTTATGGCCTTATTTATCTCTTGCAGTTATGTCACTTTGTGGCATCGTGCTTTCCAACACATCTTCTATATTGGTCTCCACTGTTGAATCATTCCCCAAAAGCAGCAAACATCATGTTGCACGGGTTGGACTCATACCGGTAATGTCTCCTAAATGGACGCCCGAGGAACTTTCGCACGACATCATTCTATCATTCTTGGCTTAGTCTGTTCACGCCCGACGAACGAGCAGAGTCAACTGCACCTTCTACATTTCGATCGAATGATTCCGGCATGGATTCCTCGGACCCAATGTATGGTGCCCGGCTAAAAGAGAAATTATCCCCGAACACAGTCTCCTGTGGTAATTCTTGCCTGTCCCCGCTCATTATCTCTTCAGTGGCCCTGCCAACAATAAACAGACTATGTAACGGCGGAAAAATGAAGACCAAGGCCGGTTCATTCCCCATCGCCTAAGCCTAATGTTTCAGCAGTTAAAAGGGTGTCTTCACGTAGGTTCCAGCAGTCGATTTCTTAGCAAACTACCAAGAAATATGGTTATACTGCACGCAAGTGCGCATTATGGAATTGGATGCCACCTCTCCGATTTCATATAAAAGGATCGGGAATCAATGAAGACTTTCCATACGAAGCAAACTCAAGCTTCATGCAGCTGCTTTTTAAAGAACACGAGGATGTCACCAGGTATGACGAATTTGTTTACTGTTTATTGTTTGTGCCGAAGCGCTCAGCCTAATGCCGCGTCCGGATGCATTTTGCGGGAGGCCAAAACAGACGGGTTATCGCATACCCTTCTGCTCCGTTTGCACCCTATCTGGTCTATCGCATTTGACAGGTTCCTCGATGAGCTTGAGTCCGGTGGTCGACAAACATGCCAAATCTCTATCAGCGCGTTATGCCAGCGACTCCGAAGCGCCCGCACTTTGTCTCCCATCTACCCCGCGACGAAACCCCGCGCTTTCAATAGCTAGCCTCATTACTCGTACTCGCTCCTCGAGCATTGATTCTCTCCCTGCCCTTTCTTCACCTACATCTTCATACTCTTTGTATCCTTCCTCTCCTCTATCCCTCACTCCCCCTGATTCTCCAGTCAGCCTCAGCTTCCTTCCTTTCTCGCGAAAACCTGTTCTGCAGCCTAAAGCTGACGAAGGACTGTTCCTGCTGTTGGCTGCTGTAGAATCGGTCGAGCCTGTATCTGTTTCCTGTGGCTCTGACGTCGGCCCATGTGACGTCCCGTCCGTTCGCACTCCCCCCGTCGCCGAGTCCGATCCTATAGTCAAGATTGAAGACGAGCTGGAGACGGATATTACATTTGATTCGTAAGCTTCCTTTGACCCGTCGTGTATGGCTGATGATGACCTGCCGCCTCCAACTTTCACTAAGAGATGTGTTTGATAACGAAACACCCGTGATCAGTTCAGCGCATGATAACTCCAAGGACTCGGCTCTGGCATATTCGCCCAGCCACAACACCGGGCTGTCGAGATCAACAGTATCCCAGAGCCATTACGGCGAGGGGTCCTCACAAATTCTTCCCGATGCGTCTTTACCTGAGGACAACGATCAGATCAACACCTCACTCCCTGCAAACGGGCATGATCCGCTTCTGGTTCTGGATCCGTCCGAGAACGTGCTACACTCCCAGTCTGAGGCTGATCTTATCCATTTGCGATCTCCAACCACCGAATGTACGCCGGAAAGTGAAACGCGGATGAGCGCAGGGGCTGTCGAGATTGAAGTTGTAGTAGAAGACCCAAAGCCACGAGATGCCGAATCAACGTCTGCTCCCTATCCACCTCCAGTATCAAACCAAATTGAGGAACCAAACGACCCCTCTCCATGTTCTTTATCTCCGCACCAAGCTGATCACTCGCGTTCCGATTCACTCCCTGATCCACCATTACTGAGATCCAATGCGATCCGAGGTAATTCCATCCCTTCACTCCCCACACCAAACCTGGTCGAGGTTCCGACAACATCAGTATCTGACCGCGCAAGAAAACGGAAACGCCGTACATCAGATCCTGAGATCATCGATATCACTTCCGATCATGCCAGTGTACTATCGCCTTCGGTAACCGATGACGATGATGCAGTCAACGGGCCACGTTCTACTGTCAGGCGACCTCGGAAGGGAGGTCGGAAGCGGAACAACGTACTGCCTCTGGCTTCTCTTACAGCTGATAGTAACACGGAGGGTACGCCCTCGTACGAAGGAGATCCTTGTGAAGGTGTCGATATGTGTGCATTACTTATCGATGCTCTGGTCTTTGGGAGAGTAGCTTTCCAGAGTGCCTCAGAGCTCGTGAGGTGTGTGTTGCGAGACCAACCGCATTTGCTTGAGCGACAAGATGGCCTGAAGTGGCTTGAGATGGCGCGGAAGGTCCTTGTGGAGAACGCATGTTTTGGGCGGATCGCGCGGCGAGGGAAGGATGCAGATGGGAACAAACTCGAGGATACTTGGTATTATGAGCCATCGATGGATCCCGACCATGCGCGCGCAGAAACCCTATCTGAGGTGGCGCCCTCCACGAAGAGGCGTAAGGCCAAAATGGGTGATCGCACGTATTTTTACGCACCGATCGATATGAATCGATGGGTTGTGGCTGCTGAGCTCGGCGATGATGCCTAGCTCTCAGTGTTCATGGGGGTGATGCAATAGGTTCATGGGCCACCCCCCTCACTCCACGCTGAATCTTAATCAAACAATCCCTATATTCTCTCCCTGATCCAATTATTCTATTGTCGATTCTTCGCTTTTTGCCTTGTTGCTTTCCTTGTGCAACTCAATTACAGTTGAGTCTTAGTCGTTGATTCCTTCGTCTTCACCGATGTTTGTGATTTTATTTGATAGCTTTATCTCCCTGATGAACATTCTTTCACCTTGACGAAATAAATTATTCCTGTTCGCTACGATTATTGGCAGTCCTGCCCTACATATTTTCGGGATCCGTTCAAGAGGTCCTCTCAAATTGCAAATAACCGGGTCCTCGAGATCCTTGTCACTTTCAACAAGACTTCTATCATCCCCAAGGGCCAAAGGTCCCTCCGCCTGAATACCTTCCAAACTCAGCTCAACCTACGTAAATTACATGGCTTTCACCTTGCAGCTTCCTCAGAGCACTTACACTATTCGGTGTTCTAACTCGCAGTGATGTCGTCATTCTTCAATGCATCATCGCTTCCTTCGTCGCTCGAGCTCCCCCCCCCCCCCCCGTTTCCAGGTCTCCCCACAGGGGAAAAGCACACCATGGACTATATACCTTCTTTGTTCACTTGTAACCTGTAGATTCGAAGACCCAAATAATAAACAATCCCAAACCCCCAGAGTAGTGGGCACTTAGGTGATCAATGTCCACCAGTTAGTGATCCAAGGTAATTCAGCGGTCAAGAAGATGGCCACATATCTACAAAGTACTAGTACAGCGTATCGCACCAAAGGCTCGCACTGTCAAGGATCCCCGAGGCTGAAAAGCCTCAGGTGGTGTATGTCGACAATGACATGTATATCCGTACCCCTAGTACAGGGAGTCCTGGAGTACAGGGCAGCCATTTGGCTACCGATGCCGGCAGCGCCTGCGGGAAAGCTGTCACGTGTCATCCGGCGTTCTGGTAAAAACACTCCCCGGGAAACTCTAAGTGGTCTGCATTTTTAGAGTTCTCCTGCTATGTCTCTCCCCGCACTCATTAGCGGGGCTGATTGTGGTCCCGGGAACCCCTTGCAAGGGCTATCGAAGCAGTTTGACAGAGATCGGAGCATTCAACAAGTGAGTGTCCCTTCAGGGGCTATCATTTTTTTGGTTGGGAAGCCTAGGACACTTGCTAAGGTATGACTACTGCTTGGATAGGATCACTTTGCGAGCAGCAGTCGAGCAGGACCATCTAGACAGGTGTGTGTCACCTGCGGTGCTCACGGATCATTTCCGAATACCCACTTCAACTCGCCCAGACGTTCCGAACCCAACATACTGAATCATCGCAATCTGCAGCTCTCGCACATGATGCTAACCAGTTTTTCTCGCGGCAAACGACCATACCGTCTGCAATGTCCACACCTTTCGATTTATCATCTTTAAGTCATGCACTACCCAATGAAATCTCAAGTTCCGGTTCTGTGCCGCATTTTAGACCCCAAGGTGCCCGTACACCTGTACCAGCATGGGCGTTAGATTTTACGACGAGCCCGACGTCATCTACGCCAATCCACCAATCCGGTGAGTTCAGACTTACAAAAAGCATGGGTCCTGGATTGATCTCGAATGAAGCTTGGAAAGCTGAGTTTGGGACAGCGTTTGAACAGACTGGTCCATCATCCGCTGGATTAAACCAAGCAGATCAAGTGGCACACGCTCTGCCTCCATTGGCAAGAATGGGTATGCAACCACAGTACATGGGTGTGTCGCAAGCCCTGTCTTTTTCATTGAGGAAGACTTAATCTTAATCTCCGTCAATTTGTTTCATGTATGCGATCATTAGGTCATAGTTCCATGCATCGTCAAATGATAGCGACGAGTTCCCCACTTCTACAACAACAAACACACACAACGGAAACCGACTGGGCGACGCATTTTGCTAGCATAGAAGAGGAAACCCTTCCGGCTCCAATTCATGCACCGGCGGAGTCCCAAGCTCAAGCTACAATTGATGATTCCCAACAAGCTGCTGTTGAGGCAGATGACCTCGCAGGCGTTGCTGGCCTCTTGATTGATTCGATGAAGAACGAAACAAATCCTAGATTCAAACAGAGTCAATTCATGGGCCTTATGCATCGAATACGCGGACGAGAAGTTATCGTTGAAGGAAACGACATGGTCGAGAAGGACACCCGCACTTCGTACCTAGGTGAAAATGGGAGCTCGGGTTGGGCAGATGAATTTTCGGGTTCGACGACAACACCTCTATCCTCCGCGTCCGTATCGGGGCAGAAGCAAGAGCCGTGGCGTCAAACGACAAAGGCAAAGGGAGAGGGATTCAAGAAGGTAGTCCTGTCCTCGTCGGCTCTGCACCCCCGCTCCACGCTTATGCTCCGACAACGCTTACCCAACCGCAACATTACAGCTCCCCAATGAATGAGTACGATACGAAGAATCCGTTAGGTGAATACTATCGTATGGCCATGCAACTTGATCAGCGTCGTCATCAGCATGTAGATTCATTATCTCAAGAATCCATCTCGCTAAGCAAGGAAGAGCCTGAATCACCAGTCATGTTAGGCAGAGATTATCTGCTACGCGACCAATCTACAAATGGATCTCATATTATGGAAGAGTGGGGGAGGCTGCAGGCCAGTTGGGATGAATTGGACACGACAGCTTCGGGACTGGTGTACAATGGTGAACAGCAACTGTCGGGAAGTGAAGATCAGACGAAGTACGTCTTCCAGACGACCAATCCGTATTTGCAGACAACGAGAAATCATATGATGCACACGGGTCAGGAGCTACCACACCAGGTAGGCACATTCTCTATGGTTAAACGAGTGAGTTCTGAGTTCATCCCCCGGTTCACGGCTACGTACCGCCCCCGGAACTTCACAGAGTGTCCTTCAAACTGAGGCAGCCGTACAACAAGAACCACACAATGCGGAACGCTGGTTTGAGCTGGGCGTCAAGCAACAAGAAAATGAACGTGAAGAACAAGCCATCCAAGCACTCCACCAAGCTGTTCACATAGATCCAAAACATCTTCCATCATTGCTCGCACTAGCCGTTTCGCACACGAATGAGAATGATCGTGAAGCCTCCCTTGATGCGATTCAGCATTGGATCGATGCAAATGATGCATATGCCGAGGTGGTTAGCGGGTGGAGGAAATTGAATGATTTGTCAATTGAGAAGAATGCGGGTAGCGGTAGGGGATCATTGAAGGAGAGGCAGAAAGAACTCTTGGAGTGTTTGATGATGATGGCGAGGATGTCCCCTGATGGTCAAATCGATCCTGATGTGCAGATTGCGTTGGGTGTATTGCTGAATACGAGCGAGGTTGGGGAGGGATCCTTTTTGATCAACGAGGCTACCAAATACTGACAGACTTTCCCTTCACCTTAGGAATACTCAAAGGCACAGGATTGTTTCCAAGCCGCGCTTACCGTACGGCCCAACGATTGGCTATTATACAATAGGGTCGGTGCTACCCTTGCCAATAGCGGACGCCCTGCTGAGGCTGTAGGATATTACTTCCGAGCCCTGGAACTGAATCCATCTTACATCCGAGCAAGGCAGGTCCTTAGTTCAATGCATGTATGCAGAGCTGAGGAATAATTGCTCGTCTCCATTTAATAGATTCAACCTCGGCATTTCTTGCATCAATCTAAGGGTAAGTCTCCATCATGTGTCAATACACAGTATTCATTTTCCCGCATAGATGTTTGATGAAGCAGCCCGGCATATTCTAGACGCATTGGTTCTCCAGGAACAAGACGATTCTCCGGAAAAGGGGGTTGAGCATGGGCTCCCAAATTCGACGCTGTGGGAATCTCTTCAAACAGCATGTATCCACCTCCAACGGAATGATCTTATTGAGCTTTGTGAACGCAAGGACCTTAACGGTACTAGACTTTATCCGTGTACCCCGTACCTAATACTGATGGTAACCGTTTTCTTCAACAGGCTTCCGTGAGGCGTTCACCGCCTCAAAGAGTGGCCAAGAACTGCAGGATTTTGAGACGCCTTTCCCAGGATAAACTATCTCCTTGGCACTTCTGTCGCCGTGCTTGATCCATGCGCATGTTCATAAGTATACATCACTTAAAATGCTATCTGCCCCTACCCATGTATGGAATTGCTAAAATTGGATGGGTGGCTGTACTGAGTGCGATCCCATCTCCTCAATGCCGATCCAATCCCAGCTTGTTATCTTCGACTTTGACTGGTACATCATCCTCTGAAAAGTCGAAGGGTGATAACGCTCAGATCTCGTATTCAAACATAGGTCTCTAGTAGATCAGGACACAGATCGATATGTCTTTGAAGTTCTAGCCCCCGATATCCGTCGAAAAATCAAAACACGCCAGGCAGAGGTTCAGTGGACTGACCTAATGTGAGTCCGTGCATTTGAGAGCCAGTCGCTGGAGCACGATATGCAGACGCTTTATTCGTAAGAGCGATGTCCTTGTTGGAGCTCCATGGACGTGGCAGGACGCGAAAACAGATCGAAGATGCACTCAGGGTTCTACCATTCGTTCGTTTGAGTATTCTTTTGTGGAGTCTCAGTATCTCATGAATTACTGGGCTAGCACCCTGCCATGCAACGAGGTGCGAGAAACATTAAGGAGAACCTTCGCATCCCAACTACGCTCATTTGCCTGTCAAACGCGAATTTGGTATTTATCGAGACAATTTTGAAGGTTCATGATAATTAGCCACGTCAAATAATACCCTGCCTCACGAATTTCTTAGGATAAGGCGTTCGAAGATATTTTCGAAGAAATCATCACTAATCCTGCAGAATGGAGGGACGACGGAGCGCTCATTGTGAAGCGTCGCGTTTCACCGGACGGACCACAACATTCTTGCACGACTGGTTGCAGTGCTAACATGTGCAAAGGTAGGTCCGAAAGCCCTCTCAAGTGTTAGGCGTTGCTTCAAAAAAGTAATCCCAGGTGAGGAGTTGGAGAATTACCTTGTACGGTGCAACAAGACATTCGACAGAATGATTTATGTCGGGGATGGAAGCAACGATTTTTGTCCAATCTTGCGTTTCAAGAGGCAAGGGTTCCATGTTGGCTTCTCTGAACCGTATCTCAACTTCTTTCTAGAGAAACCGATATCGCCTGTGTCCGACGATACCGTGGACTAGAAAGAGAATCGCAAATGAAGGCGAGAAAGCTGGCCTAAAGGCCAGCATTCGGTACTGGGCGGGAGCTTGGGAAGTAGAAGAGATCTTCAATACGCTCACCACGCCTTAACCCGCCGCGATCATGTGTCATGAACCTTGATGTCTGAGCTGAACTGAACTATTGTCTGAGCATACAGGGAACGAAGATTGCCAAAGTGAGTGATGTAGAAATGGCTGCATCAATGATTAGATTCTGAGCGGGAAAATATTGAGGGCTACATGTATACTTCCGTTTAGTGGCTCGCGAAAGCAGCATTCGTTGCGTAGGCGGGCAGTGTGGGTGGCGTGAGGGCGACACCGTGACAAGTTGATGTGGATGCGTACAAGATTTCCAGCCCGGAGTGCCGAGGGTCACGGCACATAATTATACACTTTTCGCATCATCCATTGATTAAGGGCGTTCGGAGATGGGCCAGCGCATCTCAATGCTCAAGTACACGGTGACGCAGGCTCACCGTGACCACATGTCAACTTGATGAGCTTGAGGCGGGGGGTTCAAGGGACCTTGCTGGCTTTGCTGTGATGGTTGTCCGTAAACCGGTTGCTGCTGATTTGATACGCCTACTCGGCCGCCGTAGAATGACGAGGCAGCGGCGGCAAGTGAATTGCCGTTACTGTTACTGGAGCTCGTCGACAGGGATTGCTGCCCTTGATTTGTAAGTACATTCGGCTGCAAAGGAGCGTAAAGGGTCCCCATCCCATCACGATGGTCATAGGAGTCATATGGATTGCTCTGTGACTGCGACGACGGATAAGAGGTCGAATTAGACGCATAACGTCCAGATGTTGAACTGCTGTTGTACACTTGTGGGGGTGCATTGGGGAGCGCAGCGTGATGGTGGGAATTAGCTCCGTAGGCGTCACTCACAGCCGTTGTTCCTGTTGACGATAGAGTGATATCCCTCAAAGGCCCGGTATTCTTCTCTAGCAGATGCCGTGAAGAGTCGGAGACAACTGCAGAAGGTGGGGACTGGAATTGCAGCGATGATGGCTGATGGGGTGCATATCGACGAGAATGACTGGCTGGTGAAGTGGTCCAGTTCCCCGATGCCAGCTCCGCCTGCTGCTGTAGATATTCCAGCTGAGGGTATGATGCTTGGGGCGGAGCATGCCCAGCTCGCCGCCGTTCCCATTCCCTTATTGCTTCTTCGCGGTTCAATACCGGAGTGAGAGTATTCCTTTTGATCCCAGCAACATCCATTCCGAGACTGGCGATGCGTGCGAGCTGGGGAGGAACAGCAGTGTCCATCTGGTTGATAGTATTCGCCCGAGCCCGTGTCGGTGGGTAAAAAGAGGATGGGGGGTTGCTCATATCATTGGACGAACCATAGCCCTGCTGCTGATTCTGCGTTTGGGGCTGTTGTGAAGCTGATTGATAGGCTATACAATTCAAAATTGAGTGCCAAACAACACGTGAATATGGTCCGAAAGACGTACATTGCGGCGCTTGGCTAGTGCTGATGTTAGATGAATAACCAGGTCGTTCATAGGATTGCCCCTGCACAACAGGTTGTTGGTGATCCTGCATGTATGGGTTGCGGATCTGCTGCTGGGCAGCCTGGCTAGCGGCTTGAGCGGTATACGCTTGGTGCTGTGCGAGGTGCTGATTGTACGAAGCAGCATCTTGATACGCTCGAGTGCCTTTAGGCTGAGAGGGGACCAAGCCGCCGTAGGGTCTCTTCGGATCGACGGACGGCGGGAGAGAGCCAGGAGATTGCGATTGAGTTCGGCCTGCCAAATCCCCGGGCTGCGAAGGTTCTCAATTAGTCGAAATTGGTCTGGGAAATGCGCAACCGCCTTACCACGAAAGGCCGAATAAACTTTTCGCCCGTAATGAAAGGATGCTTACGGGCTTGCTGTGGAGTCCACCTGAGTAATGGGTCTATTTGCAATAGCCCTTGAACGAAGTCCGTGAATGCTGCTCGGTTCTGCGCTTCTGCACCACGGCCCGATTCAGCAAAGATTAGTCCACCGGAGGACCCACTAACCTTTCTCCAAATCAGCAGGCTTAGTAGCAGATTTCGGCTGAGGGGCTGTCCGAATAATCTCCGGCAGTGTATTTGCTGTGAAGTACTTCTTCCCAGGTTGCTCTGGTGTACCGTGCTCCCGCGAATATTGCTCAAGTGACTTCAACCGATGCTTCTTCCTGCCATACTCGTCCGAGTACGGTGAAAAAAATTGGCTGGTCTGCTTTCCCATCTCAAGCATATACTGTGGCGGCATTCTGACCAACAAGAGCTAAGCAACCCAGAGTCTAAGGTAAGTCGGGAGTGCTTACCCAAGCATGTCAATTATTCGAGTAATCTGGTTGTACTCGCTGGTTCCAGGGAACAGTGGCAATCCAAGAAATAGCTCGACAGCGATACACCCCAGTGACCACATATCGATCGCGGAGGTATATGGTAAACCCAACAGGACCTCAGGTGACCTGTAGAAGCGCGACTGAATGTACGTGTAAACTGTTTGCCGCTCGTGACATGCTGATCCGAAGTCTATAATTTTAATTTGTGGAGTTTGAAGGCTATGAAGGAATCGTATGAGCCCTTGTAACAACGAGATGGAAGATGGACGTACGAGACAAGAAGGATATTCTCTGGTTTGAGATCACAGTGTATCAGCTTCGCCTCATTAAGGATGGACAACGAATCCAGCAGCTGCTGTGTAAACACTTTTACAAGCTGGGTGCTGAGCCCGCCAAACGAGTTTTGCTTAATGAGCTCATAAAGGTTTGAAGAAAGAAGTTCAAACACCAGACAAAGATGGTTCTTGTGGATGAAAGTATCGCGCAATCGAAGGATGTGGTGCTCATCGTGCGGGTCCCACGTGTTATTGAGCTGTAGTCGAGCCACACATAAGCATATAAGGAGCATACAATAGAGCCGCAAACGCTTACAAGCTCTAATATAGTAACTTCCATCATACTCTGATTGAAGTAAGCCGGCTTATTCTTGACGACTTTTACGGCCACAATCTCATGGGTCTTCATATTCTGGCACTTGACAACCTGACCGAAAGTACCTTGACCTAAAACGTCTAGGATCAAATATCTGCTGTGGATAATGTTAGTACGGGCCCAAGATTTCTGGAGAAATGCTCTCACTTCCCGCTATCCTCCGCACCAAGACAGTCATTCACATAGAGAATATAATCATAATCCTCATTATCGTAACCATCGTTGTGAACTGGTTTGCTAGGTTTCGTTAAGACCCGTCGAGGATTGTGTGTGCTCTCGTAGCGAAACTGGGGATTGCAAATATTATACGTCTGGGCCAAGTTCGTAGTCAAACTTCTCAACGGCTGTGTATGAAGGGTTGTCAATGACCGCTGCCGATCACAGAATTTACGTTAATGAAAGGCAACTCACGCTCAAATACACGCCACCTCCGCTGTAGTCTGCGCGTCTCCCTGAAGGCTGGGAATTGACTTTCGGTCTTAGATCCCGCGTGTCTCGAATCCGTCGAAACCCGACCTGCTGCGGCAGCGGTGGTCGTGTTGATGAATCTATTGTCATGGGCTGTACGGCCGAATCCTCATCGCGCTGGTAGTACATCTGTGGTGATTGATGCCGAGAAGGATAACCAACCATGGGCGAGACAGGTGTCGAGGAGGAACCGTGTCTTGAGGTGCTCAAGTTGTACGGGGACGGAATGGTGGACGCGGAGGTGGGCTGCAGCTGTTGTGCTAACTCATGTGTCGAAGCGGATCTTTGAAAAGTGGATGAGATGCTATGGTGGTACGGTTGAAGGTTCGGGGACTGTTGTGGGGTAAGGGATGCAGGATGTCGAAGAGGGGAAGTGGGTGATTTCATGTTTTGTAAAGGAGTGTTCAGAACTGGAGCAGGGTCCCCATTCTTCGCATATGGATCGGAATAAACAGGAGACGACGAATAACCCGCTTCCATGTTGTACGGACCTATGTAAAGGTTGGAGTAGCATGCATCCCGACGGGTATTAACCACTGAAAAATTACACGTAAAAATAAGCACATACCTGACTGGGGATGCACAATATGGGTAAGTGATCTTCTAGGAGTATACGCCGGCCCCTCGTGCGCCTGAGAGTTGGGATCAACTGTTGACGCGGCACCACTGCCGTACACAACGGAGGACGGGTACAAGGAATTGGTGGCAGGATGCTGCTGAGGCTGCCGACTGACGCTTGCATCAGAATATGCCCGTTCGATATCATCCTGGGGATGATTTCCCGGTCTCTGTCGACCACTCATTGAAGCACTTCGAACAAGGTTGGCCGCTCCGCTGAGCATGTCCGAATCAATGATCTGTGGCAATCTAGTTGGGTGTTGAGGCTGCCGGCCAGATAACGACAACGAATGGACCGCTTGAGGTGGACCAGGGTACACGATGGAATTGCTGTACGGATTGAGTGGTGCACCGAGTGATTTACTCGTGCTACCATAGGGATTGGGTCTTGCTTCATGCACTGCAAATCGGGGAAGATCGAATTCATCATCTCCACGTCGGTAAGTGTCTGAGCTGTCGAAATCGGGCATGGCTGAACGACGAATCGGTGCCTGTTGAGCTACTGGGTGATATGCGCCAATACTTTCGGTAGAGCGCTGAATAGGTGTGACCGTAATCGGAAGCCGTCGCGCGCCTCAGTAAAGAGGTTAGGTATGGTGGATGCGCTGGGGTAACTCTTTGCGAGCCTAGAATCCCACTGACGGCAAACAGAATGACTGTTGCGCTTGCAAGCGTAGTTGTAAAGCTGAAAGGCACATTCCGATCCCTGTGCCAAGTTTGTACACCAACGCTGAAAACCACTCAAAAATTCACAGGATATTCCTTGAGCATCATAGCGATACAAGAAGTCAGTAATACACGGTATTGATGTAGGGAGGGCATCAATAATGGCAGTCATCATAGTCAATCGTCCAACACCAAGCGACTTCCAAATTGAAGTCCGCATAATATTAATTGCCTGTGCTACCACCCAATTGGGACTCGGCCTGGCGACGCCATTGTTTTAATGCTTCGATTTCGGTTTGTAAGGTTTCCACCTGTCCTCGAAGCAATCGAAGTTCGAGGGTGTACGAGGAAAAGGCCTCCTTTACCCCCTCTTTCACCGCCTGAGCAATGCAAGCCTCGATCATCGCCATGTCTACTGAGTTCGCTCGAGGCTGAGAAGGTCTCGTAAGGAATGGGTTGTTCTGCAACAATCGAATGATGACACACGACCATCAGTAGTGCCGTGCTCGGCGCGAAAGGCATCACGTACCTCAGCATCGTCCATATCGATCCGACGCTTCTTTGGAGACAAATTTCCTCCTGCCGTAGCACCAGCAATCACTGGCGTCCGACTGGGGGTGGCTAAACCGGACATATCGTCCTTGTGCTTGGGAGCTGGGTTTGTAGAAGTCCGCGACTCCTGATCCTTATCAGCTTTGAGGTCGACTGAATTGGAGCTTGTAAGGGGAACTTCCCCTTCGTTTGGCTTCTCGTCCACAGCACGGAGGGTGCTCACCACAATCGACTGTCCGGGTTGAGGTTCTGAGTCGAAAGCGGCTGTAGGTGTTGTGGCCATCGTCATTCTACAAAAGTCAAATCAAGCAATTTCATGTATTGCGCACCCCGAATGAGAGCGAGTCGGCGCTGTGAAGCACCTGTGTCGCGTGGCTTTGACTGAGGTGTGCGCGGAGCGCTGCTGGCAGGTGTCATACCGCTACCCCGCATAACGGATGTAGTGAGGGCCGGAGAACCCAAGTTGGATTTAGGGTTCGGCCTCAATGGAGTCTTAGGGATTTGGGTTGTTGGGACACCGGGCCCTGACAATTCATCTGCCCATTCTACAGTGCGTGTATAAGATTTCGCCAAATGTTGGGCATAAAAATGTGGGTTGCTTACTGAAAAACCTGCAATTTGAAGGATCTGTCGAGTACTTTGGGCACGCAAAAAAATTTCTGCCCGTATTCTGCCGCATAAGATAACTCAGTTCGGTAAATTAGCCCTAGAATGAGGGTGCACCTTCTTGCCTGGGCCAGTAGTTCGAAGGACCGCTGCGGCTCTCATTAATTCCTTGATGATGCGCCAGAAAAAGTAACGAACCCTCCAGTCGGCAATTGCACCGAATCTGTCCAACTAGTTCGTCGTAATTCCTCTCTTCTGTAGTCACGCTGCTCGCATTACGAGACATAACTCCAGAGACGGTGAGTCAAACAGGGAAAGGACGCTGTGTGCATGCAATATAAACTTGAGATTTGCGGAGCCGAGTTGTGACGGCATCACCGTCACTGTCACATTACCGTGGACGTTGAGGGCTTGAGGCTACGAGTGGAGGGAGAGATGATCGTGACGAAGATATTTGTGTTCGAAAAAACACCGGCTTCCCCATGCATCCTCCTCCAAGTGACAGAGCTCGTCGAATCGTACATAATCTGGGTCGGCATCAGCGACACCCCTGTAACATCATCTGAGCCTCAGGACATTCTTGAACAAAGAATATCTCAGGGATGTTTAGCTACTGATTGGGGATGTGGTGTTCCGCCTTTAAAAGTGGGCGTGATACACAATTTTTACGAATATTGTTTACAGTAACGCTTATCAGGACGGAACATTCTCGATCAGTACACCTTTATTCCGATCCTCAAGCAACGATAATTCTCTCTCTATGTCATTGCGATTAGGTATCTATCCTAAGCCTTCTCATTGTCGCAAAGAATAACATATCACACCCCACGTCTCGTTAGCCCGTCGGTTCAAGAAACAAATCTTCCTCTCAATAGACGCCACCTTCTCGTTAGGAAACCCAGTTAATCACTCGCATATTCTGCTGCAGATTGAAAGGAACTTAATCTCAGCACTCAAGTCACTGGAGACACATGCCATATGATATATTCTTTCTATTATAACACATCCCGAAGACACCAAACCGCTATTAAAATTTATGGCTTACATACTGACAATGATGATATCTGAGGGTGCCCAAATTACAAGTGCCGAGAGTTGAACGGAAAACGGAATGATGTAAAATATTGTCTGTAAGATGAATGTACGAATGCATAGCGTCACCCAAACGGTGGCGGGTTCACTTTGGTTGTCCCGCCCCCGGAGGCGAATGAGCTACATTCATACAAAGTAATGAGAACAAGGAGATGCAATGCACCAGCATACGCGGCGAAAGCCATTCGTGCTCTCCGGTTACCCAATATTGTTCGCGTCACTAGGAATACCGCTCTTTCTATTGGATCGAGTGCTTGTTCCGCTCTTGCAGCCTCCTACATCCGTCGTTAACAATGTCCAATAGAATGGTAAGGAATCGACCACATACTCTTCCTCGAAACGCCTCGAATGGATTTATACGTTCCTCGTACATGTTCTTGTATTTGTTCATCTCGTCGGGGCGTATCTGAATGCCGTTTTGCGGCCCAGGAACAAAAGAGGATGGGCCACCTGCTGAATCGTCACGGTATGTCTGCATATATCGAACTTTCTCGTAAAGTTTGAGGTTGTCTTGTTGTAAATTCTTGATGTCGTTGCGCAAGTCAGTTATAACCTCAAACTGACGTTTTAATTCCTGAAGAAGGTTCAATTTGGGCGACCGGCAAATCCGACGAATGGAGTAACTCACCTCTTCCAGTTCCGCGTTCCGCTGACGGAAACGGTCTCGTTGATTCGTTACAATGGGAAGGATGGATTTGTCGGCAGATGACGAAAACGGTGTTTTATCCTCGCTCTATGAGATAACGGCCAAAGTGAGTCATAACAGCTTGAGCCCAAGCAAGACTCACAGATAAGCTGGGAGCAAGCATCAAATCATCCAGAACCGTTCTCGTGACTTCGGTGACTGTGGTCGTGGCTGGTGAAGGGGATCTGGCAGAACCATTGGGCGGCGACACATGTGTATTCAGCTGCAGGAGGTCATTCTCCAACCGCTCATTAAGATCGCGTTGTTTCTGCAATTCGGTAATGTTATACTCAAGTCCCGCTTTCGTTGTCTCTAGCGCCATCTCCAGATCTGTTCGAGCAATCTGTAGCCAGGGGGTTGGATTTTAATGGACAGAAGCAGGAAGAAACGTTCACATACACGTAATTTGGCGAGTTCATCTAGGATACGTTTGTTCTTTGCTAGAACCAACGCTTCCAGAGATTTTGCCGGTTGTATATTCGCCTTCTGAGCATTCGGATCAGGCAACTTAACGGTTTCATCATCGTCTTCCCCGTAGCCAGCGCCGCCAAATTCAACATACTGAAAAATAGCATAAGCAGGAGAATGACGAGTATCTAACTCATAACAGATACCTTCATGATCTCGAGTTCACGTTTGATCTCGTCGTAATCACTGAAATGTCGCAATCGTGCTCTTAAGGATTCATTATCTCCTTCCTAATCCCAGGCTTAGAAAGCATAGGTCCATCGAGCCTTATAACTTACCTTAACGGCGACCTCGCGAAGACCATCATCGATGCGTTTCCGCAATGCCAGCTCTTTAGCAGAAAAGGCGGTCTTCTGATCATCCAGTGTCCGAAGAAGTCTTGAGGTTTCTTGTTCCATGTCGGCCAAGTCTGTCTCCAGGGACTTGATCCTGGACAAACAAGCATCGAGCATTGAATTGACGTTAAGGGTACTCGACTCACTTAGCCTCAGACTCGCTGCCACTGCGAACCGATTCTATCTCCGCTCGTAAAAGCTCCTATGGCGGCAAGATGACGACATGTTTACTGCTCGCAATTAAGCACGCTCTCACATTCCGTCGCTCCACAGCTGCCACCCGGGCATTGGCCCGCTCTAGGTCTGCAACGATCATATCGATTTCAGCAAGGCGCGCCACCACTTCCTGGTCTGGAATGAGCCGTCATTCGAAGCTCGTTGTGCTGGACGTGATTCCGTACCTTGACGCTCGCTCTGATTCAAAAGCTTGGCTTGATTTGTCTCATTCGATATTCGAAGATCTCTTAGCTGTTGCTGCGTTAGTGACAGCTGTCGGTGTAGATCTTTCTCTCTAAATATGGAGGATGAGTCATGCGCGAGTTGGATCGCGACCAGTATGCTCACCGCTCTTCATAGTTCATTAGTTTTTCATCGTATGTCGCATTTAACTCATTCTCTTTCTGTCTCACTTTCTCTTGCACAAGGGTATCCATCTATTTACAACAGTTAATGGTACACGTGTAGAACGCTTCGAAATGGGGGTCATACCTTCTCCTCGAGAACTTCTGCCCTGGCCTCTGCCTTTCGAACGTTAGCCTCCATCGTTGATAGTCCACCGATTTGACGTTTCAATTCAGCAGTTTCAGCTTGAACAACACTAAGCTCTTTCTGGAGCTCCTCAGCTTCTGCGACCTTTACGGTCTGGTCCTAGTAGAGTGTGAGATCAGAAAAAGAGAGGCATAAACATGGACAAGAGCACGCACCACGGCGGCTTCCAGAAAGGGATAAGGGTCTGGCGCGTCGGCTAAGAGCTTATACACTCCAAGAAACGCGTTCTCCGAGGTCTTACATCGTTTGGTGAGATTATCAATTTCACTGTTGGGAAAATGAATTCCGCAGAATACAAGGCCATTCAGTGACAAACATTTGATAGGCTACATGTGGGGAATAAGCCGTTGAGACATGATGGGGGTTATGAACGACGCACCTTTCAGCAACGACTTGAACGCGTTTGCCTTCTCCTCATCAGGGATTTTCTTAAACTCTACCATTGCCGAGCTCAAGTAAGTGCTGGATGCCTACCAAAGAACCTACCCTTCGTCTTATCCGCCAGAGACTTCCGACTGACCACGCTCTCTTTCTGATTCTCTACGAGTTCAATACCCTGCGCATCGAGCTGCTTTTGCAGCTCTGTCAAGTTGATATCTAGACAAAGGCAATCATTAATGCACTAGAAGTCTCTATGGCATGGCGAGTCACCTTTCCACGTCGATAGAGCCCCACTGAAATTGCTTGCAGCGTTGTCCATGGTTGACACACTCCCAGGGTCAACACGTGATCTTCCCTTCCAACTGTTCCGAGCAACCCCCAAGAGGTTGCTTTTGAAATGCCTGATGACCATGCTCTCTCTTACGTTGACACTGTAAACTCGAATCTGGTAAGAGTATCCTAAGCCATTAATCCCACTCAATGAATGACAAGACATTGTGGTATAGATATGCTCCATTTGCCAGTAATGCACCTCCTTGTTGGGCTCTTGGTTTCTACTACTTACTGTAGACGAATAGGCTACCGTTCACCCTACCTACAGTGACCATAACGTGCTCTCACACTTTCTGCCAAAGTTGTATACGTACTGCGCTTGCATACCGTGAAGAATGTCCTGTGGACCGATCCTCTCTCACACTCAATGATCTCCAGCCAGCTAACACTATCATTCGAAATGTATGCACTGTCGTCTTCGACTCTCAGCTCCAAGACCCTATTTCTAAGGGAATCTTTTTCTAGCTTGTTGATGAACTTCTTGTGCACTGCCCGAACTCATCACTCGGTTGTACCCACATATGTCAAAGGCAGCTAATGCGAACTCATTTGACGCACGATTGTCTTTACGTCGCAACACGGTGCTGCGAGGACGATTGCAACACCAGGATACTGCGGAAAGACGCCGACAAGCATGCCCAGACTTGCCCTCATCGCATTGTAACCTGTGACGCTTGCGAAACCCGCATCAAGTTCACGGACCTCCAGGTACATTCTCTTTAGATCCGTTAGAGTGTGGCTGGTTTGAAAATATTCCCTTTAGATTCATAATGCTGAGTGTCCTGCTGCGGAGTGGATATGCACCTATTGTCAAACTATTACAGCACGCTCAGACCGGGAAACACATTTATCCAGCTGCGAGCTTGTCACAGTGGATTGTGAGCATGCCCAATACGGCTGCTCATGGAGGGGGAAACGGAATGAACTCTCTGCACACATAACGACATGTGCCTATGAAGGCCTGAAGGGCTTTTTCGCAATGCATACCTCCCGAGTCCTTAGTCTCGAAGCAGAGAATGCAGCGTTGCGAAGTCAGCTAGAAGAACTACGAATAAATCAAGATGCAATGCGTCGTGATGTTCAATCCGCGCGAAGCAGTCTGGGACCATGGCTCAGATCTGCCGATTCGCAACCCCCTCCACAGGCTCCTACCCAAAGTCGGCCAGAGCGTGTGATTCAGCGCCGCCGCATGTCTGTACCACTCAGTACTGCTTCTTTTGGACATCCCTTCGATCCCGTTGAAGACTCCGACACAGGTATTCGTGTTCACAGCACCACTACCGTCGATGAACGGAGCTTCCCTTCGGACAATGATTGGCCCAGCTCAACGATTTCCGACTTTAGTCCTAGCCAGAACGACACGACACATCAACCTCGTCGTGCCCTGTCGCCTGACATGCCTTACCCTCGCATCTCATCATATTCTCATGCGCAGACATGGGTTGCCCCTATTGATTTGACCACTTCGTTGGAGGGGTGTCTAACATCCCTGCGGAACTCAATCGTGAATATTGCAACTGCGTTGGATTCCCAGGAGCGAAGGCAAGATATTGCGTTAGCGACGGAAACGCTTCGAATGCATGAGGAAGTGGCATCGCTGCGAGCGATTGTGCAAGGGCTTCGCATGCAGGTACATTTCGATTTAAAACCCCATTAGTGGGGAATCGGACGCTGAAATTCAGCTCTACCCAATCCAGGTCCACTCAATCATGATGGATCGTAACTGGCTGACACTGAATCGTTTTGTTGCTCCCACAAATGGTGGAGATGCCTCAGCCACGCACGAGAATACTGCATCTACCGTTGAAGCCATTGCGTCTAGTTCTGCAGCAAGTCTCTCACTACGTCCCTCAAACGTCTCCCCCATTCAGACCGGGACCGGACGTCGGAACAATGGGATGGAAAATAAACTATGAGAACCACGTGAATTCCCTCGGGGATGACTTCACTCTTGCTTTAGCTGGACGCCGATGGACTTCATTTTTAACTGGAATCGTCTAGCATCAGAAAATAATGTGTAATTTAGTGTACAAGAGCTACAAGTTCGCGAAAAACATTATGTCCGGTATGGACGAAGATGTGTATGCAACATTGGAAAACACGTTAGACTCGAAGAATAAACAACTGTGCTGAAAGTCAAGAAGAAAATTGAGAATAATGATAACGCGAGCATGTTATTGAAAGTACAGAGCCTGCACATCGCTGTCTTGAAATTTCATGTTACAGGCTGGGCATTTCCTTTGTCGGGTCGTAAGACGAGCATCAATGCAGCTGGAATGGACATGTCAGCCTGCACAGATACTATGAGTGAACACCAAGAAGTACCTTTTGCAAAATGCTGGAGTGAAAGAACAGATCAGGTTCTATCGCGTTGTGAGGAATCTGACGAACATACTGTGCATGCATTTGAGTAGGACATGCGACTTGAAGTCTTGGTTGCAGGTCGAGCATCTCAGAATTGACTAAGTAACCAGTCATCAGCGAATGGGCGGCAGCAATCCCAGTCAGGGCTGCATACCATGAGACCCGCCACCTCATTCTTGAGTTCTTCTTCTCGCTGAGTTGTAGCGCTGGACACACTGGAAGCCTGTTTTAGCCTCGCAATCTCCTGAGAGGTGGATTGCTGAAGCTGAGCCAGCTCATCTTCAAACTTCCGAGAGCGTTGGAGATTTGCTTCGGTCTCACGCTCCGCCGCATTCAAGGCGCTCTCCAACTGGCCATTCTGTTAATTCTAGCATATTGCAATGTCAAGCGTGACGACGTACTCCCTGGATCTGTTTCTGCAGTAATTCTAAGCTGACAGTTTTTTGGTGGAGAGCGCTTTCTTTGGCAGAAAGTCGACCTTCATAGAAGTCACGTTGCTGTTGGTAACCAGCAATTGCCAGCCGCATTGGTGCCTAAGGGAAAACAGTCAGTTGTACGCCTTTGATAGGCAACAGACAGCTGACCGCCGCGTCTCGAAGTAGCTTCTCCTGTTCAGTGAATTTGGCAATGATAGCAGCATCCTTGGTGGCATTCTTTAAGACGGCTTTCCGCTCGGCATCAATGGCCTCTTTCTCCCGCATCGCTGCGAAAAATTTCTGCTCCGCTTTCGCTTTCTGCACTCCACGAAGATCAGTGCTGGTTCGGGCTCAACTGGGAACAAATGATGACGGACCTCAACGGAAAGTTTGTTCACTTTCGATTCCCAGGTCGCCGTCTCATCTTGCCGCGTTTTACTTTCTCTATCAAGAATCTCCCAGGCGCTAGACATCCGTGCTAATTCGTCGTACAGGTCGTTCGACACCTGTTCCCAGGTAAGGAAGAATGACCCTATTTGCAGTTGCAGAAGACCTACCGCAGCTTCTTGCTGTTGGGCCAACCTCATTGACTTGATTGTCTGTTCCTTTTCCTTAACGATGGCAGAAAGCTTGGCAACATCCGCCGTAGCTTGTTCACCAAATAAGCTCTGGAACTCCGCAAGTCGCCTCCGCAGTTGAACACATTCCTGCCGAGCTGCAGCCTCTGCCCGCATGTGCATTGCGACATCAGAAGCCGAGTCTTCCAGCTTAGAAAAAGCGCTCTCCAACGCCGAAACTCTGGTTTGCGCCATGCTACGCATGAAGTGTCAGAGGCTGGCCCACTCACTGCTATGCAGCAACATACCTCAGCTTCGATCTAAGATCATCAATAAGACTGACAGATTCGTCCGGTTTCGACAGCATAAACGACAAGTAGTCGTCCTGGCCATACTGGGCTCCAAGTTGTAACTTGAGGCGCTTGGTCTCGAGGAGCAATGACGCAATGCGATCCTATTGCCGTGATTCAGTAAGTAATCAATCGTAATCAAAGAACATTGACCTCAAGCGAGACCATTCTGGTCTCCATTTTTTCACGTAAGCTGCTCCTCGATGCTTCTCCAGCCTTTGCTATTGCTAAGTCTTTAAGCGCTGCCTCTCGCTGATCCTTGGCTTTGGCAATTTGCTGATTCTTGGCTTTGATGCGTTCATCATGTTCCCTTGTTAGAGTGTCAAAAAGGGCCTGGTAACGCGCTTATTAGCAGTGGATCTAGGATGTTAAGTCTGGCTTACACGCTGCTCATCAATGAGTGATTGAAGCTCTTTTAGCCTCTGCTCGCTTGACTGTTGAGCGGCTTTCTGGGCCCTCTGCAGAGCTTCTGAAGTTTCTCGTAGTGAGCTCACTTCCTCTAGCAAGGCTTTATACGTTGGGTGCACCCAAATATATTCTTCAGAGAAACTGTCAATCTGCGGAGCGAGTGAGCAAAGATCGTCCATGCCTATTGGCAACAAGGAACACACTTTCGCATTCTTCGCGCACAGCTCAGCGGATATCTCCGCCTTTTGTTCAGCGAGTCGCGTAATTTCTTCTTCACGCTTTTCTGCCTGAGAGCGAAGCAATGCAATCTCAGCTGAGTAGTCTTCGGAAGTTCCATTAATATGCGGGGTTGATTGCACGAGCTGTACAGAGGAAGCGGGTCACGCTGCAAATTAGATCGTTAAGGGACAAGCACTCACTGGCTCAGGTGTCTGATGAGACGAGCCACCTTCCGCCTTGATTTCCTCATGTCGCATACTCTTATCTTCTTTCCGCTTCAGGGATTCGAAGCGCGCGCCATCGCCTTGAGTTTCTGCCCGAGCGAGTAGCTCCTTGTACCGATCCAACTGGTCACGGACATCGGTATAATCGGCACAAACGGCGTGCAGCTGACTCCGCAAGGAGGTCGCCTGATGAGCTCATATCAGGCTATCCAAATCCATTATTAAACCTCAGTATGAACTGACCTCAGCGGTAACTAGTTGAAGTCGTTGTGCCATCTCCTGCGCGTCTGGAGTGGGTCGCGGGGGAACCATCGCCACGAACGCAGAAACAAGGTTCTGAGTTTTAACACCATCTGCTCGCAACGCGTCACGAAACTCATTCTTCGGCATGCCAGTGGCCTTCGAGGCCTCCCGCTCGATGAGTGCCCGCAAATCTTCGTTACAAATCCATAAATTCTGGTACTAGAACACCAATTTCCCAGCTTACCTATAATGTCGGATGGTATATGTTGCTGTAGGCTATCTACTTTAGCAATGGTTTGTAATTGGTCAACCGTCTGATTAAGATCGGTCAGCAACGTGAGACAAGAAGATACTCCGCACTACATACATGATTCCAGCAATTTTCGATGGCGCTCAAGGACGCTTGAAGCGTCCTTTTTCGTTGTTCCAACTCAGCGACCCTGCCCTCGGCTCGTTTGCGCTCTCTTTCATGTTGTCGCATTCGTTTGAATAGTGCTTGCTTGCGGAAGGTCTAACACCACATGTTTATAACCCATATAAACGGCAAGATCACCAGCAGTTATACCAAAGACGAGCTACCTCAAGAGTCTCTGCTTGGGGGTCGCGTTCATTTTCATCCGGTAGCTCCGCATTTGGGGGGGTTGAAGGCGAACCAGATACGGAGTTCAGTGCACGTTTCTTCGCAGTCGGTGCCTCCGTGGCGACCGGTGACGCAGGTCGCTTTCGGGATACGGTATCCATCCCTCTGGATGACTGGAAGCAGGTCAGAGTCAGGAAACCCTGGGACGGCGGCATCTGCCGCGGGATTTCCCGGGTTGGCATTTCTCTGACCTCAGGAAATCAGACTCACAAGCGGCGCGAGAAGTTCGGTGCCATATTGGAATTGGGGGCAATTGGAGTGCCTGAACACGAGACGGAAATCGGTTCATTTGGCACAATGCGTAAACCTTACGTTTGTCTTTCGACTCACACACCTGGCCATTCCCAGAATCTATAAGTCGGATGATGAAAACTCCACTCACGTCGTTCTTGCTTTCATTTTTGCGCACATCAGCCCCTACACACTCGTGGCCCACTAATCGGGCTGACCAGACAATCCTGGCTCTATCCTATGCGTTCTTCTGCGACATATATAGACAAAGCGACGGTGCTCTGACACCCCTCAATTTGAAGAACTAGGACTTTGCAGCAATGTGCGCCGCATTGACACCAGACTTTGGTAGCCCAAACCCGAATCGCCTCAGCGTTTTCATAGGGAATTTGGATCTGCATGTAGAACAAACAGGGACAGGGGAGCAAAATACTGGGGAAAGTGTGCCCGTCAATGCACGGATGAAAATGACGTGGCGGTAAAAACTTACTAGAGAGGCATACAGAGCAAACATAGCCAATATCCACAATGTTCTTATGGCAGAAGCAGGCAGCACGAAGGTCTATGCGGTCCTGAGTTGGGATGTTAATGATTTCCCGAACGGAGGAGGGTGCTGAGAAGCACATCTTCAACCAAGAATGATATGTTAACCCTCTCGTTCGTTCCCATTGGATTTACGCACCATAAGGTATTGAAGGAGACTATCCTGCTTCCGAAGTGTAACGTACGACCCCCCTGTCAGATGTGCCGCTTGTTGTAGAAAGACTGTGTCTTCACCGAACACTTTGCAAACGTCGATTTTTACTTTCTGAAGGTCTGGAGGTGAGGAAAATTGCTGTTTTGCAACCAGGCATGTACTCACAAGCTTCTGAGCTGCGAAAATGAAGTTCATGATGGGGATATAGGATGTGGAGATGTCGGGGGAAACGGAAAGGATGAGAATCGTGGCATCTAAGGTCATTCGTGATGATTCCCCAGTCGCCGTCCCTGTGGAACCGTATAGCATCCTGTTGATATCTTTTCACTTGCTACAGAAGGCAAGCGGAGGATTGATGAAAAATGCATACGGCATAATCCCTTCGTCAGAGCACCAACAAGGCCACTGGCTATGATGATGTAAGGCATACAATGAAGCCGAACAAGAGCGACCACACGGCTTACGGGCCTCTCGATCCTCGTGAATAGAAGCTAGCCCATGTTGGATTTTTGCAATGACTTCAGAATCAACAATTTTGAAAGTGTGATACGTATTTGCCCCCTGCGGAGCAGCATCGGTTATTGAACTGGACGTAAATAACAATGCACTGCAACAATCTTGTTATAGCATGTCGTAAGCACCCTATAATTACTCGGCGCACCTCTTCGAAGGGAATGCTCCAAGGACAGTTATTCCATTTTCTTCCCGAGCACCGAGATGACTGTTCACGAACGCCAAAACATGGGACAAGAAGGAACTAAGAGGCATAAGAGGTTCATTTGGACCATGATTTGGAGGGGCGCCCCATAGCGTTGGCGGCAGATCGAGGATGAGGGTAAGATGAGTGGGCGGCTCCATTATAAGTCGAGTTTGCTCCCGGTCAGCCGGCGCTTAAAGTCCCGCTAAGAGAACCAGAGGCAAGGATATATTCCGATGATCAGCCTTCGCGTGTCATCTGAGGTTAGGACCTGGTCTAACAAGGTTGTTGTTGCCACTGCTTTGATCCTTCCCAACCCTCCAGGCGATGCTGCGCGCATTCACAAGATCCCGCCCGCGAATTTCCGGACTTTCTAGCCCATACCCGAAATTGTGGCATCACGAGTTCGCAGCACTTATCGGGCATGACATCATTACTTAACGATTTTTTGCGCACATCAGCACCTGCATCCAACGTTTCTTGCACTTGAAGATGCCCCGTCCCGAAGGAACACAGAATTTCAAGGTGTCTATCGTTTCGCTGCTTGACAACGTTTCCCAAACTTACCCACATTGTGCAGTTTAATCACACTGTGCGAATGCAGTCAGTCTTTTGGACGATACATGTGTAACCATCCTCACCTGCGATAGATGCTTCGTGTTAAGGACCCCAAGGCATCCATTCAGTTCTACACCGAGGTCTGCTGTGCTTTATCGCAATCTGCTTGCCAACCAAAACACCCACCCTTCGTTAGGTCCTCGGAATGGAATTTCTAGCTAAGCACGATGGTGGAGATTTCACGCTCTACTTCTTGGCGTTCGATGACGGGAAGGGCCTTACTGAGGAGGAAAAGGCACAGGGACGCTTTGCTAGGGAAGGTAATATGCCTCCCAAACCGCGACTGCCCACGTCTTTCACTGTCACCGAATTCCTCCGCTCACATCAGGTGTTCTTGAACTGACACACAACCACGGCACTGAGTCCGATCCTGACTTCAAAGGCTACGCATCAGGGAATACGGAGCCAGGGCGTGGTTTCGGCCATATTGCTATCAGTGTCGATGACATAGCCGCCGCTTGCGATCGATTCGAAAAGTCTGGAGTGCAGTTCAAAAAGCGGTTGACTGATGGGAAAATGAAGAATATTGCATTCATTTTGTGAGTCACCCCTGCTATTCGTTTATCTATCTAATCACTGGACTCCTCACTTGTAGAGATCCTGATGGATATTGGATCGAGGTGAATAGTTGTTGTTAAACATGTCAAATATTTGTCATAGTTTTGAATTCTCTTAGGTTGTTCCGGGCGATCTTCGACTCTAGGAGCTGCGATGTAACGAGTTTTCATTGTAACAAGCTGTCAATCAATCCAATTATCGCTATGTAAACCCTCTTGCCCGCCGGGGCCGAGAGTGTACTGAACATGGCGAACCTTTTTTCCGGGAGACCTCCCAGTAATTACCCGCACCATCCTGTTCAGTATGCCATATCGCACTCCCAGAGGGTTGGATTTGAATGCTATTACGACCCCGCTATACAGACATCCGGGTTCGGCTAGCGTTTCGTTGAGCGCGCGGACACCTGCAAGAGAAAAAAATCTGGTATTTGGATAGTATCACTGAGTAGAGCTCGTAAGTTTAATTATTGCAAAGATAAGTCAGCGAACCCGTAGCCGTCCAAGCCAACTCTACTGCGCCGAATATCTCAGCATCGCCTTGCTGACAGAAGGTAAGCAGGGGTCGTCGTCACAGTTCGTTATCCTGATATCCAAGGCTCAGCGGAAATGCACAGGAACAACTTGTGCAGGGAGACTACGAGACTTCTTCAGCTCGTTGCGCCATTTCACCATTTTCACCGCCATCTTGAGGTCTTACGCCGATGAATACGACCCTAATTCCCGCATCCCTGGAACTTACCTCCCTCATTCGGTCAGGAACTCGCCGGTTCCATGCAGCCAACAGCCAACCTTGATCTCGCAATCGCATCCAATGACTCTACGGACACCTGTCCCCGCGAAAAGCCACACGCACAATTTATCTACAGGCATCGCCGCCTGAATGCGTGGCCCAACGAGTGAAATCCCCGGCGGCAGCTGTGCAAAGGCTAGTTCAAATGCAATCTTAGACGTCTCGCACTTTTCTGCAGCAGCGTTTGGTGTTTATCACTATGTGTTCAGGAACAAAAGAGGCGCATGTCGTGGTTATCCGCTGTTACGCACATCCTGCAGGAAATGGCAAAAGCATTTATACTGAACAACAGGAGAACTGAAGAATACCAGGGTATGACGATCCCTAAGCGGGGGTTCTTGAACATGCCGATTGGATGAGACAAGGACAAGAGGACGTCATCTAGCCAAGACACCACATGTAGAGGGGAAACTGGAGTCCTCAACATACGTGCGGAATCAACTCGAAGGACAGAAGCTTGAGTTATTGTGGTAAATGAAAAGCCATGGCAACAACTACCGTTCAAAGCCTCAAGGCCCCCGTAGTTCCTCAATGGTAGATACTGCCTCGGTCAGGGGTATCAGTCCGGGTAATCGGGAGCTAACGTAACGATCGGGGTCGCCTACTGGGCGCTCGCACGGGGGGCGTTACAGACGCAATTCGCGTGAGTGGGAACGATCGCATCCTCAGCACTGCAATAGGCGCATGGATATCGTGTTACCACAGTTCCCGCAGTTTAATTCGTAAGGCGCTGCGAGCACACAAGAAGAAGCATCTCCCTTTCCTAACACAGGAGGCGGTATAGTATACCCCGCGCGTCTAACACGCACTCCTGCTCGACCGCGTCTAGGCCTCGCCGTAAATTTCCTGCCCCCTTCCCAACGATGTAGAGAGAGGAGCCTCGCTATGATGCAGTCCCTGGGTGTTCGTCGTTTGTCGATAAATGGCATTGTTTCGTTTCATCCGGGAGGAAAGCCCATCAGAATTGAGATGCGATGTATCAACTGGTCCCCTCTTGTCACTGATCCACGGAGAAACACTGCTAAGAGATCTAGACAGATTTCGATCCAAAGCTCGTCGCGGATCCAAGGCCGTGGCGCTGATCAGATGCACTTCAATCCACAGCCCCAACTTGGCTGATCGGCCGTGTCTTTGTGAAGTCCGGGGCACTCCCATCAACCTACACAAGCGCAGGGGGCACGAAATTGGACATTCTTCCGGGAAAGTAGGCGGCTCGCACATTATAGAAATTGATAGAATAGGTGAGTAGTTCATAAAACGCTGCGTGGAGCCGTCCATCCCGTCAGCCATTTCCACATGAATGATAACCTCGTGCCACATAACCAGGTTTCCAATCGGATGTGATCCACGACCGCCTCATTATTAATTAGTCAAGAGTATAGAGCTTCGTGAAAGGTTCGTAGCGGTCGCAGCAGGAAACCAAAGATCGATTCCTTACATAATCATCCCACAACTGTAACTTTGTTGCATCGCACAGATGTTTACTTCATAAAAGTATAAAAGCATCACTGTTACACGATGTTCCCGTTTCTTCAGACCACACTCACGCAGGATACATTCACAGTTGATTGCAAAAAGTTGGTCGAGGACTGTAATTATCCTCATCTACAAACACCAATCGATGAAACCAGCTTCACTGTCTTTATCCGAGAACATGCTCGTTACCTTCTCATGGTGGAGTAGGTGAGCTCGATGACAGATCCGTTCTGGACTTTTCCTTCGGGTTAAGCTCATTACTGGGGACAGTTGAGGTGCTTCTGATGGTGTCTTTTCTTTTCCCTTCTTTTTGTTTGCACCATCCCTCTGTGGTGTTATTTTTGGTCTTTGTTGTAATGATGATATATATATAATGATAAATGCTTTTTTCTGTGGTGTTATTATTGTGGGCGTTCATGTCTGTCATGTAATGTTTGGAGTGCATTCGGGTTTTGTTTTTGGGTGGGTGGACATTGGTAGCAGTGGGGTACAATACTACAGGTACTTGGCGTAGTTGAAAGAATGATAACAATGAAAAGTCCCAGTTATCATAATAGAGAAAGCAGACAGTGGTGCGGTGTTCCACAGCAACCCCGCAAAGAGAGTACAGTCAGGATATCTAAGAGAGGTCATCATACCTACAGGACACGAAAGCAAAGCTGAGAGATTCAGGTAAGACTCGTTCGTTCATATTGAACGGGGTTTAGGTTGTAAATAACAGAAATATAGACCGAAACCGAAAGGAGCACCAAGGACTGAAATATGACCGAGTAGAGGTATGAAGGAGCACAGGTGAAATAAGTTCAATATTCAAGTAACGTATTGACAAATACTCAGATTCGAAAAACAGAGGAAGCAAGGGGAAAGTGGAGGTTGCCGAGTTGCCATTTCACACAGGAGGTGCAGGAGGCGTCCCTTGCGAGGGAAACTCGTGATCAATGATGAGTCCATTCGGGGGCGGGGGGGGAGGTGGAACGTGCTCGTCTGGGTGAGGATTGATGGGCACGAGTGCGTGGCCAGCCACCGCCGCCACAGCTGCCGCAGCCGCGGCGGCAGCAGCAACAGCTGCAGCCGCGGTAGATGATCCTCGAGCCTCCGTGCCACTGCCACCCCCGTTGTTACGTTGTGCGGCGGCGGCAGCTCTCTTGCATGCTGCTCCCCCTTCAGAGCGCACTAGAGTGAAATAAAAGGCGTCGAATCATTGTCAGAACAAATACGTTACAAATGGAAAAAGTAATCGAGAGAGAGAACGCACGGTGTCGATTAAGAGCATCCGTCCGGGAGAACGACTTGCCACAGCCACCGCACGTATGCTGGGCACCCTGGGCAGAGTGGAGGCTTTGATGACGATTGCAATCGTGTTTCCTCGCAAATGATTTACCGCATCCAGGCCATTCGCACACGAAAGGTCGCTCCTCGGTATGCGATCGTAGGTGACCTAAGAGCCAGAGATATCGCAACTTCAGTCATAATGCTCGTTCGATAATGAACTTAGGACAGCCACGGCCCCAGATATCTCACCTCGCAAATTGAATCGTCTTGTGAAAGTACTTCCACATCCCGGAACGGGACACTTGAATAACGCATCGTTCCTTCGTCGGCTGGCGCTAGCTTGCTGAGTGGCTGTAGTCGTGACGACGTGCTTTTCAACTTGCATGATAGGTGGTAAACGGGTACCTCCAGGTCCTGTAGCATCTCCCGATTGACTACCGCTAGGCGATCCACGATCGGCACCTCCAACCTCAGCGCCGTTCTCGCTCGCGACTTCGCTGTGATCCTCGCCTAAGCTACGAGACCTTAGGGGCGCATCGATATCCTTCACAACCGTCGTCTGGTGAATCGCGTTTCCATTCTCGTCGAGTGTGATATCTGTGAAAGAAGAAGTTCCTTGATCCATCACACGAAGTTTAATCGACTCGAGAGGAGGAGAACGGCGAGCGTGCCGGCCACCCGGTGATAATCCACGTTTACGTTTTGTCGGAGGCCCGTTAGATGGCGGGAGCGGACCCATCCAGGCAGCTTTGGTAGCCCAAGCAGCGTTCAACTCGGCTGAATTACTGGGGAAGTATGTAGCAGGAAGTGGGGCTTGCGGAGGAGGTGCAGGAGGAGGGGATCGAGAGGAGGTAGCGTGATTCATATGCGGAGGTGAGCGCGCGCTGCCTGCGGAACCATTTAGATGAGGGTTAAAGGGATAAGAAGGACCCATATGCGCAGGGTAAGCCATCGACCGGCGCCTTTTTTCTTCATCTCGGTCACTGTCGGGAGCATCTTCACCAGGAAGGATATCTTGCAATGTCTTTCGAACATCGTCATCTTCTTCGACATCTTCTTCCTCGTCCTTGCCACTGCCACGGGCATTCGATTGATGATGCGGTGTTGGATAATCATGAAGTATGACTGGTAACTGTTGACCAAAATAGCCTGCGGGGCCTGCTGTGGGATTACGCATAATGTTGTGATGAGGTGGATGATAGAGTTCTGGGGCTTGACTTGTCGAAGGTTGAGGAGCCAAGTTGGGAGGAGGATTTTGAGGAGGGAGGGTTGCAGAATAGGCTGTGAGACATTTATAAAATGAAGAGAACAGAGAAGAGCAGCATTAGTCATCGCACTGGTCTGTCAGGAGAAAAAAAAAGTGAGCCTTAGACGCCGGACACACACCTGAAGCGCGGATGCGAGTATTCAGCGATGAAGTGGATGCGGGTGATGTTGACCGAGGAGGATTGTTATCTCCGTCAGTATTTCCGTTAGAACCGCGTTCGAAACTCATGCTGGCAAGCGGGGTTGTGCTCATGCTTTGACTGAGAAGACTTTGAAGGTCGTGGCTTGGCACTTCGGTTTTGAGGAAAGGAGCGATTGGGTCGCAGTGGCTGGGCAAAACAAAGTGAGGACTCGCACAGCCCCCTTGACGACCCCGAGCTGGTGTGTGGCTCTGCTGGTTCCAAGAGAGCAAGGCTAAATATGGAAATCGCGAACACGGCAGAACAGCCTCACTCCTGCCAACCCATCAGACCCTGAGAATAGATGGATCTGCCACCTAGCTTGGTTCACGCAAAATCATTTCAAAAACAACAAAAACAACCACGTCGCCAGAACACATTTTCTCATCGTAAATGGAGTTATACAGTGCCGCCCGCGAACCGAATTGATGAGATTCTCAAACTCAACAAACAAATACGAACAAAAACGACACACACACACATTCCCCATCAATACCATAAACAGAAAAAACGATAATCAAATTGGACGATGGCGACCACGAACCAAAGTTCGATTTCACACACCATTGGCATTGATCGAGTTCGCCATGCCATCAAAATTATTGCTTGTAGCGCCACCAGCGCATGCTTTCTTACCAGTACCACCACCAACAAGACCATCAGATCGCCCATCGTTGTCAGCCGCCTCTGAATTCAATTCCCTCTCTTGCACAGCTGATGCGGTCATCATTTCACCCATACCAAACACAGCCTGGGCTCGTCGTCGTCGTATGAGTTCTGCTTCCGAAAGCAACACAGCCCCCGTTGTCGCCCCTCCCATTGTCGAGTTGGGCATAGATGGCCCCAATAATGGGGGTATTATTATTGGAGGTTGTCGCGATGGCGACACCGTCTGTTTTAGCATCTCGCTTGCATTCTCCACTGGACTTTGACTTGTACGGTTAGCCCCGGGGTTCAACAGCGTCGGGGTGGCTGAGTTCGACGGCCGAGCGCTGGGCAGTTCACCAACTGATGCTACTGATGCATCAGGCTTAACTGGCATAGCAGTACGTCGTAGCTGTGGAGAAGCACCGGAGGGTGAGGTTATTAGATCGACTGCATTACTACCAACACCAAATGAAGTTTGGCTCGGTGGCGGCGGTGGTGAACGGTTTTTTCGAGGAGTAAACGACAACGGCGCATCACGTTCCGTCTCAGTCGATTGAGCAGATGTAGATGAGAGCTCTTCACTTATGATTCTGTTCATGGGCACCATCCTAGCAGTCGGGGACACACCTGAAGGTGGCGAGCTAGTGCCAATAACGGGTGACGCAGAAGGGAGAGGGAATATGGGTTGAGCGCCTTTGAAACTCGTGTTTCCATCACCATTAACCAAAGCGGGGGTTCCATCACCACCACCAGACCCGGTACTAGCTCGACGTGAAAACTCAGGCCTTCGGGGTGATCCGGGTCGTTTATGAGTGAAACCAGCTCGAATGGCCCTTCCAGGGACGGTGGATAAGGCCGAACCCGATGCAGAAGCAGAACTACTGGTTGCAAATCGGTCTCCCATCCAATCAGCCATTTCGTTGATCAACAACTTTGCTCTCGGTAGCAACGCCGTCATCTGCAAAAATCCATGTCCCCATCCTTCCACAAGCCGCATATCAACCCAATCCGATTCCTTCTCATTCAAAAGTCTTTCACGCTCTCGTTCTTTCGCAGAGGGGTTCATAGACGATAGCCGCAACGATTCGCCACCCACACCAGCACGAAGTTCCGTCTTACGCATACGTTTCGCTTCGCGAATCTTCCCACCAAAGATGATAGTATCATCCACAAATGGATCCCTCTCACCACAAATCATAAGCACAGGTGGAAAATGCGAAAGGAGATGGGAAGGCGCAAATATCGGGGAGATGTAATAATCCGTCATGAAATCCGGATTGTGCTTCGGTCCAACGTAGAGGATGGCCATCGCGCGCATCTGGGATCAAAAATCACGGGCACGGGGACGGGCATGGGGGCATCATCAGCCAAGTAGCAATAGAGAAACACTCCCCCCCAAGTCGGGACTCACCATCGCAGGAGAGATAATCCTATCAGTAAAGAAGGCCGCTCGACTGGTCATAGTCACCCTCGTCCCAATGGGAACCTTGTTCATTTTCGCCTCTTTCTTCCCACTACGTTCTTTCTCCTTGCCTTTCTCGTCATCCCCATCAGAATAAAGCACCCTAGCAGAAAGGGGCTTATCCTTATCTTCCATCCTCCCATATCTTACATGCCAATCATCTTCCTCGTCTTCCTCGTCTTCCTCGTCGTCGCTCTCGTTCCCCCCGTCATCTTCTTCCTCAATAACGCCCTCAGTAGCAGAAAGGGACGTGTCCTTCTTCGCGGGAGAAGGAAGAGTATGGGACGACCCCCCCTCATCCTCATCCTCTCCAGAACTAAACACATTTTCCCAGGGGCCGCCGCCGCCGCCAACTTGCATCTGTCGTGGAGGCGATGAACGCCCAGCCTGTGGGCCTGCGCCATTGACGCGAGCAGGAGTAGAATTGCCAGTGACGTTCGTATCAATAGCAAGATCGTTCACCTCGCTTACGCGACTTAACACCCTCGCACGAAAACTTGCACTGACCCCTTTCCCAGTCCCAACTTGACGAGTCACACCAGCTGGTGCAAAGGTAGCAGCCGTGCCAGTGCCAGTGCCAGTGCCGCTCGCAGGCATAGCTACATGATCGCCTCCGTTCTGTTTGACCACCACCGCCGCCGCCACCGCGTTAGGGGTCTCCGATGTAACGGAAGGCACTTCCTTCGGAGCAACGAGTGAACCCCTCTCCAGATCCGCACTTTCATTCCCATTTCCACGATGTCCATCCCCATCCCAACCAAACAGTCCCTTCCCGCCCTTCTTCGTAACGGGTGAGATCGGCTCTCCCCCACCTCCAACGCTCAACAACCGTCCAGCCCAACTCCTCTGTCTCCTCACCCTCCTCTCTTTCACACTCCCCCCATCTCTTTTCCCCCTTTTCCCTCCATGCCCTTTCCCCGACCAACATCCACATCCCCAACAACGCTCAACGGACTCTTCTTCATCAAAAAGTGATCCTTTTGTTGCGTCAAAAGTGAACTCAAACTAGTCGCACTCTTCTCATGCTCAGCCCTCAACACACGTAGATTAGAAGGTGTCATCCAGGACGTAAAGTTGAAATCAAGCGCTGGATATGCCAAGACGAGTGCGATTGGGAGTGGAAGTGGAGTTGACGGTGAACGGGATCGAGAGTTTGTCATTATGGGGGAAGTGGAAGAAGGGTTCGTGGATGGATTTTGAACGGTGCTTGGGGTTGCTGGGGTAGGTGCAGAGCTGGGAATGGAAGGGGTAGGAGGAACGATGAAAGTTCGCCCGAGCGTCGGGTTGTTGTATTCGAGAATCTTGAACATCGTCGTCGCGACAAGATTGCCACCACTACAAATGAAAGTTCCCCAAAGTGAACAAGGAACCCCAAGGAGAGAGAGGGAGGGGGGGATGGGGAGAAAAAAAATTAAGCACATACGCGGAATCTCCACTGAGAATAATCCGTAACGACCGTCCCGACATACCAATCACGCTCCCCTTCGTCTCCATCAGTACCTTATACGCATCAAAACATTCCTCGATCGCCCATGGGTACGGATCTACACAAAAAATTAAACCATCAACCTCATCACAAAAGCCACCATTTTTTTTCTTAAAGAAACCGACAAAAAAAAGGTTCACAGTAAAACTCACATTCCGGTGCCTTCCCATAATTAACCGAAACCACAGGTCTCCCAATCCTCACACACCAATTCCTCAACCTTTCCTCATGATGTTCGGGACTCATACAGACAAACCCTCCCCCCGGTAAATCCAACACCAATTCGTTCATCCAAGCCAACTCCCTCTCCGTTCTCGAAAAAAATAACTTTATTTTGATGGGTATCGAATGTTTGGAAGAGGCTGGGCGGGGAATGTGAAGGGTTTGGACGACGGGGAGGCGTGGTCTGTCGAAGTAACCGATGACTCGGAGCTGTTTTTTTTTGTTGGGCAATTGTGAGAAGAAGAGAGACGAGAAAAAAGGAGAGAGAAAAATAAGAAAAAATTAGAAAAAAAAGAGGCGATTTAGAAAGCGGGATGTAAGACGTACGTATGGATTAGACGTCTTCTCCCAAGTTGCCCTGAACATCTCGACGCTACAAACTGCCCTAAACCTCCGGAGCTGCTCACCCCAAGCCACACCCCAGACCGCACCAAAAAAAAAAAGCATGATAACAGAGATCGCAAGTTGGGAGAATATCCAATAAAGCCGCATAACGAAACGGTCCAAGTCCCCCCGAACGCCGAGTATCATCCCAACAACGATATATAATCCCCCCCCAAAAAAAAAAGCCCCAAAGGAAATAGATCAGTGATCCTCAAAAAACAAAAAACCCCATAAACAACATACCTTTTCATCCGCATCGCCCGCAAACACCAAATAATACCCAGTGAACAAAATGCTCATTAGATCCCTTAAAAACTTGGGTCGGATCGGGATGCAACTTGCAAAAGCTGCATCCAGAGCAGTCACGATCCAAGTCGCTCGATAAAAGTCTGGTTTGTAGAGGTGTGAGTGGGGATCGGGTGCTATTAGGGTTAAGGGGGTAAGGAGAGGGATAATAGCATTAGTTGTGTTTGAATCGGTGAGAGATGATGAATGAGAAAGGGGGAAGGGGGAGAAGAGGGAGGGGAGGGGGAACCGTACCGGCTAACCCGATGATACAATCGATATTCCTTGACGCGTACATGATGGATAACGTGGATAGGATAATTTGCCATGGTGTGAATCTCTCTGCGCATCCATGTCGTCAAAGTCAGAGAGAAAGGTGTAGTAGTGGGAAGGAAAGAAGGAACACGTACTGAGGTAGACGTTAAACTTGCTGAAAATCCCAGGACCATTTGGACCTCCACGAATTAGGCGCCATATCCAGAACGTTAAGACGAGTACGATCTAATGGTCATCATCATCACCCATGGGTGGTTGTGCATATGACAAAATTCCGTTGAGTACCAAAGATGACAAACAATTGCATCGCACACACCTGGGCTCTCTTCAACCCCAAACTTGGCCGACCGACAATATGCTCCAGCATATTTGGTTCAAACTTTTAGAAAAGGACTAGGATTTGCGGTGATAGATCTACCACTAGGTAGGGAATAAGGGATTCGAGCAAGTTATAAATTGATGCTACGTTTCCAACACTTGCAGGCGAGAGAACTAGATTGATGAACAGTGCGACAAGCCAGGGAGAACGAAAAAAAGGGGGGAACGACCAAAGCCCAAGCGCAATGAAGGCAGATCACTGCAGGAGGTTCAAAGTCAGTGACACAATAGTGTGTGAGTTTAGACAGTTGTCGAGAGCACAGCTAAGAACTCGTTGATGATCGAGGGTAAAGAAGAGTTTTTCAGAGGTCCAGATATTTGGATACGGGCATACGCATGGAAAAGAAAAAGGGCGCAAAAAAGGAGCACTTCTGGATAATGTTACACGCGGTAAGCACTGCTGGCGTTGGCTTAGGTCTTTGTCCAAGAGATTTGTCCAAGATGATGATGAGTTGGATGGATGACTTGAAGGAGATGGATGACGAGTTTTTGGAGCGGAAATAAGTGACTTGGAGGACTAGGAGAAGGTCACATTAACACTCATCATTGGCAACCGTAAAAATTCAATGCGTTCCATATGATTGTCTCCCTCTAGGGTGAAAAGAAACATGTGAATTTTAATAGTTTCAAATGTACAAAACATGTGACATCACTAAAATTCCTCTTATAGAGTGTTTTTGCCTTACCTCGATGTGGATCATGTGTTGCGTGTTTATATTCACGCGATTGTTTCGCGAGTGAATTCGGAGTTCCTCTCTGACTCGGCGGGGGTGGTGCAAGGTACAATTTATTCTGCTTTACACTCTCTGTGGCTATCGTGTTACATATAGCCTTAGGAGACGCATGCACTTTCGGCTCCCACTCGCTTGGCGTAATCCTCCTAGGCAGGTGATCAGCCTATCTAATATTGTTAATTAATTCTCCGCGGCGGCTAAGTTACTGTGGTCACGCGCGATATTTTTCCAGCCTGGTTAGTATTTCCCTCAATCAATTCGACCTCTGATCGGAAAGAAGCAATGTCAGCCAGTCTTGACTAGTCACTAGTACTCAACATATAAGCATCGGCCGCGACGGACCGAATCGATCCTCATGTCACGCATACACCCGCTGTCCCGGCTACCTACGTATTTTGTATGTAGCCAAGCCAACAGACCACGAGTTCTTTCAAAGTGACCTTATTTTTGGTACGCCCGCTTCACGCAACGAGGCCAAAAACTATAGAACTGCGATAAACATATGCTTTCGAACGCTCCGTTTCTCGCCACGAGCCACGGCCGCCAGCCAATCATCTATCCGGACCCCTCAGCCCCTTAACCGCGCACTTTAATACATACCCCAAACACGTTTTACGTCATGTCTACGCATGCACGCAGCGCCAATGACCATTACGTAACATCCCCCACCGAACCAAGTAGCCCCTATAAAGCTTTTCCGCAGCGAGCTACGCTTTTGTGCATTTTTTTTTTTGATACTAAGGACGGAGATCTTTATTTCTTCCATCTCCGATTTGATCCCCGGTTCCACGGATCGGAGTATAGGTTGGTCATTTACTGCATTCACGGCGCCCGAACAACGCCCCGTTATTGAGGGGGAATTGTCTGTTCCGAAGTCAGTACTGTCACCCTAATTTTCGATCGCATTCTCATCTGAATTACTCCGATATTCTTGGTCACCTCCTATCGTATATGTGACGTCTCACTGCGTTGAGGCCTAAGATTTAGGTTGATGCCAGGGGAATGATAGCCAAGGAATGTGCGGCACTAAGCGTAGCGATCGATGATCGAATCTGGCAATACAGAACCAAGGCCTGAGCCATAGTTCTGGGCAGAGTGGGTTGAACTGAACGGACTCACGAACCACGAACGTCATACGGAGAAGCCATGCGCTCCAATTCTCCATTCCTTTGAAGCGCAGGCAGTACTATTTTTTTTAAAAGGCTAAGGGAACTCGCTTGGTCACTCAGAGAGAGGGGCCGCGCGCCGCTTCAAGGAATGGTGAGTACAATGCATGGCTCTCGATTTGCGCTCTCAAGATGGTGTTCGTGCTTCGTGAGTTCAATCCTCCTGCTTGTACCAGAAGATTAACCACTTTGGATCCCCCGATTCCGTGAGTCCGATCAGAAGGCGGTCTGAGTTTCAGTCGCTACGCAGGAGCTCTCTGTACTATACTCATTACTTTTGGGCAGGGCTACTGGTGTAGCTCATTCCGAACCAGCGTGGCAACAGGCACTGGGCAGGAGGATTGAGGAAAATCAACTGATTTTTGGGCACCAAAACTTTCTTCTGTGTGGCGGACAGAATCTGACACTGTAAGCGGTATCGCCTTATAGACCCACCCAGAAGTCCATCCCGTTCGACGAGCGTGTTATGTAAGTAACACGGCGCGCTAACGTAACTCTCACCTCCCTGAGTAGTACACACAGCAAGCTAGCGAAAGAAAGATATGAAAAATTTCTGCAAATAGCAAGACCACTCGAACATTGTGCATCGAAAGCGCCCTAGGGAAGCCCTTCCAGTCCCTTATGCTTTGTTCCAGCTCTTCTCTTTGGATGATATCACCAGTATAGGAAAGGAACAGTTGTTCCCGTTTTTAGCCTTCTCCCAACAGGCCAGAGGTTCAAATCGCTGAACTGCTGCCTCCAGTTAGTGCCTCCAGTAGCAGCAATCTGCACGAGAGAGATCGGAAGAATTGGGAGATCTCTCATGAGATAGTTATCCCTAATTACGAGACGTCCCAATGTCTCCCCCAGGAAATTGGCAGCAAATCGGTGTGGTGGTGGTCTCTATGATGGCCAGACCCTTCGCTGATCCTCAAACGGTCAGATGCCTTGGCTAGTTGATACATATACACAGGCGATATGAACACGATGCTTGCAGATCAATCAGGGTGCCACAGTGAAACATTGCGATATATTGCAGGTGTGATCAAACAATCGAAGTCCGTACATGTTACATGAAAGTCAGCCCTCTTGAATATTGTGTACGTCAAGCATTGGGTTCCAGTTTCCTAGATCATCGGTGGAAGAAAAAAAAAGTTGTACCTTCTAGAAGTTGAACGCGTCCGTCCATTCCTTACTCCCCAAAAATTCTATTCCATCCTTCCGGAAATCGTCTATGATGACGCTGGAACCTGAGGTCCCATTCTTTATTTCTAGCATCTGGCGTTGCTCTCCGTACTTGGGCCAATTGGGCACTGAGTCAGATGCAAGCAATCCCTCAAACTTCTGGAAGGGAGCGGGAGTGGGGAGGGGGCCACTTACAATCTGAACGGTTAGGGTCAAAGGAATTCGCAAAGGCGAGCCAGGCCTTGACCATGTGCCACGAGGTCCTGCCTATATCCCTTGACGTCCCGGAGGCTAGATCCTGGATAGCGTACCAGCCAAATACTATGAGCGCGATTGATGCAAGCGAGGGCATGAATATCAGAATCCTACTCTGGAGTGAAACGTTGGGGAAGGATCATTGCCACTCACCCGCCGGAAGCTCACTTGAGTGGGGGACACCCAAATATGGTTTTTCACCTGGAGTCACTTGGATGTAATGGTACGTCCATGCCGGATAGGACGCATCACTGCCCTTGACATACGCATCCAGCAAAGCGCGTCGACCTATGTAATTTTCCCCATGAGATAAAGTGAACCCCAGTGCCAAGCATTCCTCGCTCTAGAAGCTCTCCCGAAGCTCCCGTCAAAGTAGATGGTACACACCACTGTGAAAGACAGAATCCCCATATATACTTGCAGTCCTCTTGTATTGATTGTACGGCCCAAAGAATCGGTCGTCCTTACTCGCCCCGACTGGATCATAGGGACTCCCAATCGTGGGATCATCAGGGTATAACTTCAAAAGGTTGTCGAGGAGCTCCCTTGTTCTGGCGTCGGGTCAGTAGCGTAAAGCAATCCTGCATCAACAAGACAAACGGAATAGAAGCAACGTAAATTTCTGCATATGGAGATTTCCCCCACGGAGAAATGCCAAGGACGACGAACCTTGCAAATAAGTCTTCATTTCTTCCGAAGAATTAAGTGAGTGGGGAGCGAATACCGTCCCTTCGTCGAGAGTGCACCCCGAAATGATAGGTACAGTTGCTACATTACCCCTTCTAACTTCTTCTGCTGCACCTTCCTCGAAAAAAAAACCATCCATCACTCGGGTGAAAGGGAGCACAGTGAGCGCCCCGGTATCCACAGTAAAATACACTACGAGGAAAGAAGCTAGGAAAAGTAGTTCAGAGGGTTTTGAACGAAGGCATGATATGATCGAAGAGTTGGATCCGGAGGAGGGACAACCTGCTACCTCAGCGAAGGTATTTGTCCAGCGTAAGAGATCGGATGCATTAGGGCTGGGAGTAGGGACACTGGCAGTGGAATGGAACGATGATCGCAAGAAAAGGTTGAACATCAGTGAAGGAATCGAAAGTGGGGGTGAGGTAAATTTACCCTGCTGGACCTCCGCTCTGCATAATAGCACCCTGGAATAAGTTGTGCTGTTTTACATAATCCCCGCCTCCAGCGACAAGGAGAGACCCAATCCCCATCGCACCTGCCGATTGACCAAACACTTGACAGGTCGAAGATTAAAATTCAGGTTGAATAATATTGCTGTTGCAAATCGATCAGAACTTACCTGTTACTCGATCCTTATTTCCTCCAAAAGCGCCAATATTTTCCTGCACCCATTCCAATGCGGCAATCATATCGTGTAAGCCAGCGTTGAGCGTTCCGATGGAAGGATCGACCAGTTCAGGAGCACCAAGAAAGCCAAAAGCATTCATACGGTAATTGAAGGAGACGAAGATGACTGGCTCGTTCTGAACGTAGTCACAACAGTGTTGCGAATCAGGAAGTGGGGTTGAGACTCCAGAACGGAATACTCATACCAGGACAACGCTCAGCCCGATGATCGCCGAGGCATTGTATGCTTGCGACGCGCCGACAGTAAAAGCTCCTCCATAAATCCAAACCATCACGGGAAGACTCTTGTCTTGATTTGAGGGTCGAATGACATTGATAGAAAGACAATCCTCCGACAAGTCAGACAATGTTAGGTTGCCCGACGTGATGCCCTAAAAACAAATTGTCTCCAAGAGCTGGAAGAAAATCAACACGAGAACGCACTGGGATGATCGGTTGCAAACATGTTTTTCCGTATTTCGTGGCATCTATCTCGTGGCTCGGATCCGCATTAAGTGGTTGTGGTTTCGCAAACCTCAGCTCTCCCAATGGAGGCTGAGCATAGGGGATACCCAGGAAATAATCCTGGCCAATTTGAGTGGTACCTATAGTGAAGTTCTGAGTGACGCCTGTAACGAGGCCTTGAGCCAGTTGGACCTGAGGCCCGGCCAGGTTGGTGGTCCCCCAGTGAGATGCAAGTAATGGCCTCTGCGGACTCGCATACAACGGAGGACGACAAATGGGGGTTATTGAAAACACTGAATGGCACAGGGAAAGAACCACAAAGAGAACGTTTCTCATCGATATCTTCGCAGCCACCATTGTCAGTCCCAGCTTGTGGAGCACGCTGCCGATAGGTGAATGGCGCTCTGTGGTAGGGGAGGAGAATTTCAAGCTTTGTGTTTTCGGTGGCGTTGGGGTGGTCCCAGCTTTCTCCAATGTGGGGGGCTGGGATGTAAGCAAAAACCGCGATTATATAGGGAAACGGGGCCATGGATTGTCTCGCGGAGGTTATGAATAAGTGGCAACGGTGGCGGAAGATATAGAACGAGCAATTAAGGATCAAACCGGCCATTCGGAGACATTGTATGGGGAAGAGTTTGAGTCTAGAGAATATTGCAGCCGCTCTCCATCCTGGGGACAACATTCTAGACGTTCTCAAAGGGACAAGCCATGATCTTGGTCCCACCAGCAAGGTGGGAAAGACATTCCGGTCGTTCTCGGAGGGATGGGGCATCTCAGTTCTGTCAGGAAGGCGGGGAAGATATTCCGATGGTTCCCAACATCATGGTTCCAGCTTTCAGGAAGGCGAGGACATTCCGGCATCCTCAAAAGGATGATCCACCTTGGTTCCATCAGGGAGCTGAGGGCATTCCAGCCGCTCCTAAAAAATGGTGCATGTTGATTTTACCAGCAAGGTAGGGAGGACATTCATCTTCCTAAGAAGTTGGCGAGACTACGGCTCGTGGAAAGGAACCTCGGATAAGCAGCTCGGCACCGGGCCCTGGCCCTCAAAAATAACGGCAATAGTTTTCTGCTTGTGCATAGATATCGGCAGCCCAGCAGCGAGGTGGTGCAACAGGATTGAGCACAAATACCTCGACAAGCACATGTTTCGATCCAACGGAGAAACACCAAACAGAACATCAGACGGATGATAGAAAGAAAAAAACACATGAAGGGATCTGGTAGGGTGGCACTCAACGAAAAGACCTCTTTACCCAAGACCAAAGCAACCACAACGCCGCATCAGTATGAAATTTTAAGATGCAGCAAGCGCAAACGGGGATAAATGTTATTGAAGCCAGGGAAAATAATGTGCCATTGTATAAAAAAAAAAAAAACCACACCTCCGAACTTTGAGGCCATTGCCGAGAGTGAATGAAGGGGTAGTGGGCACTTGCCGCGTAAGTTGGCGCCCACCAGTTATCTCAGTGTTCATGGTCCGAAATCCGAAGGTCTGATTTAATGGACAACATTTCTCCCATGGTCCAAATTGTCCCATCGAGATCAGAGGACGGCCTATGAAACAATCCCAAGATCCCCATATCATCCTGATCTGAGCGTCGTTAACCGTTGATTAGGAGAGAAATTAGACGACTCGAACGAGAAACCACGACGATGACGAATTGCACCAGCCTGAAGGAGATTGATGACGTAAGTGAAGCAATGATCACATCTTAGGGATCTCCCTGCTGCTATAGGTCCGGAGATGTGCAAGGACGGAAGGTGAGTGGAACAGTACATCACGGAGTTGTGATAGGGAGGACGGACGGATAGTGGAGATATAGAAGACCTTCAGTTACCAAAGCTTCATTAGTAGGTGCTGATAAGATTCGTCGGCTGTGCTGATTTCCAAACGAATAAAAGTTGGGAAGCGTGAACGCGCTCGATGGTCACAGAAAGACGAGCGCTGTGTAAAACCGGGTTGAGTTGCATGTCAGGAGTGCTGCAGATCCACTGGCTTATTGAGACAACTGACGCACAGCACGCGTTGTTTACCTCTGTGTACGTGCCGCCAACGATCTTGGCCACTGAACCACTGAACTACTCAGAGCTACAGTGCCACTCATGAAGTTTCCAAGTTGGATGCTCATTCTTGCCACCACTCACCCTGTGCCCCCTGAGTTGATCTTTGTTCTTCCCCCGACTTCCTTAGTACCGCCTGCACCCACTCCGATCCCCTGCGGCTTAACTCACCTGAGGGCAAGGCGGGTATGAGTCCATCCGTCGTATCATCCTCCTCCCGCCTCAGCACGACGCTTCCAAAGGCAAAAACGAAGCGGAAACGCCTTACAAAGGAGTATGTGCATCACTTCGACACCATCGGACGCACTAGGGCGTCGCGTCTCCACTTGCCTTCAACTCCGGACCCCTCCCCCATCATCTCGGAGACTCAGCCTACCAGCGAATACATGGGTGAGACTACAATATCGAACGGCGTCACGGACAGTCCAGCTGGGGCGGTAAGGTGGAGGGACGAGGTTTCGGATGGGAATGGTATTTGTCGGCTGTTTCAATCCCACGTCCGCTCACCGGTGTTCCGACCGGTGTCACGCTGGTAGGAGACCTAAATGTTTCGCCAAGAGCTCCTGACTGTGGGGATCGTGGATGTGGTACGTGACCTATTTATTTCTCAAGTGAGCAACTGTTAGAATTCTTGGTATAATGGCGTACGCTATGACCAACTCACGTTTGGTGATGTTGAGTCGTGTGGCGTCTTAGATTTTCGCCAATTACCTTTCTTGGTGACACTCGTGCCAAAGTCAGTGCGCATTCATAGCGCCTGACTATAAAACCCCAATTTTTGGACAACCCAACCTTTCCTCAGTTCACGTACAACGGGACTGAGGTATGTTGGTTATATCATGTTTGTCTTTCATAAATCATGTATTAAACATTAGTCCACCAGCGATAAACTCGCTAGTCCATCATTTCGTCTTGTAGCAACCTCCTGAGTCTCTCTAGGGTCAATGCGTTCAACCTCAACCGTGGCGGGAATCCCAAATTCTGATGGACGCAAATCAACGGAACATCATAAACTAAGATGCGAACTCGGGAAAATGAACGCTAGAGGAATCCCCTATGACCAGTTCTTGGGTGTCATACATCCCACCTTGAAGAAACTACCCCTGGACCTGCTCAGGAAGGTCAAAGGTCCGCTACGAAAACTCCGGGATGAGTATCTTGAAGTGGTCGATAACAAAGATAGCTTAGAGCGCGATTTGTATGCACCCTTTGCTGAGATGGTCTCCAGTATTATCAAGGCCAATGGAGGGAGGGATCGATTACGTGAAAACGCACGGGAAGAAGAAGCTTCTAGGGACCTTAAGTAGTGCAATGAGGAGGCATGTCATCCTGCACCCACATTTCACCATCGCTGAAATGCTGAAAACTTTAAGTTCATCAGTCCCGATGGTGTTTTTGTTCGCAAGAGACGCGGACGGAGGGCACCAACATCCCCCGATCAAGTGCATTGGAGGGATATTCTCTTTCCCATCGACCTGAAGCGAAAGGAAAATTGCCGTGCTTCACTGCTGCCTCTCACCTCAGATAGTGAAATGACAGAGGAGCAGAAAGAGCGGGAGTCTGAGAAAGTCGGCGAGGCGACGTTGGATGGGAGGCAATAGTTGGCTGGGTATGGCTTGGAACAACTGTCAAGCCAACCTCTTAACCGCTTCGGTACTGGCATGGTTGTTATTGATTCCCTTGTCGAGACCTGGTACTATGATCACTGTGGGCCGATTGGGTCAGGTATCATAGATATTCGGAAACCGGACGACTTCCAGTTGTTCTGTAGGCATATCTTGGCGATGACACATGCGAGTCCTCAGGAAGTCGGTTTCTGCCCTCACTTTGACACTTCTAATTGGCCCGTCGCTCATGACCAGCAACGGATAACCGTTGCAAGTCGTGTTATTTCATTCAATCCCTCTAAACCCATACATATACATTACTCGTGGTTTTATTGGGAGATGCACATCTGTTTTCGCCGCACGCACCAGAGACGATGTTACGGGTCACGATCGAGCATGCGTGTTGAAATTATCATATCAGCCATGCGATCGCAATTCGTCGGAAGTTGATCATTACCGGTTTTTGACGAAAAAGGGTAATGCAGGTACCTAAGATCCTCTGCTCGGAAAAGCTCAGCAGTCTCGGGAATGGACGGGCTTTGATGGAGTATCTTCCTGGTTACAAGTTTGGCCCAATGCGCTATCTAGAAGCGATTGTCATGGACGATGAGTATAAGCCAATCACATTAATCGACATAAACAAAGACACGATATTGTTCTTCTTTTCCATTATCGAAAGTAAGTTTGAATCCTTTCCGTTACTCACAAGAAATTGAGTCTTTGCCAGCACACCGTCGGGCATATGAAGCAGGGATCCTCCATCGTGACATTTATACGAACAATCTCATGTGGACGTGACGAACGGGCGCACCGGGAAGCACAGGCACGTTCAGACTCTCCCCAGTGTCGGGATTTCTGTCTCGAACCGCCATATCTAGGTCAATGAGAACGCCCTTGGTAGGATCACTGGAGTCCACCATCAAGTTGTTGGGGCTTATGTCTCGATGCAATATGCCGGCCTTTTCATGGAGCTCGTGATGGGCTTAAAGATAGGGTTAGCGCAAGAATGCGAGACGCGGGGAAGCGCAAACCTGCAACTAATGACGTGAATGCCGTTTGGAATGTGTCCATATTCTGAACCGTATATAGTGGCACACAAAATGGGCTCAATACCTGCACTCGGAGCTCGCGATCTTGGTAGGAGCAGTTCGCGAAGAGGTCACCGCGCACACCGTCGGAAAGCAAGGAAACCGTGCATGAAGCGTGCAGAGTCGCCAAGCCACTCACCCCTCTTTGATTGGCTAGGCGATAGAGTTCATCTTCCGGGTGTTTCGATATAGGCTGCCAGGAGCATTTGATGGCTAAGCGACCGGATTGGATAACTGGCCCTGAAATAAGCTCAGCTTCATACACGAATGTTCCTCGCCCATACAATGATGCGGCAGAAAGGAGCCTGAAGCGATATCCTTCCACCCCAACCTCGTGATTCCGGATGGTCGACCAAGACCGCCGCTTCATGCCCGCTGGTGCTTCGAAGCAAGGCTCATAACCGAGGCGCTCTTTGCTAGCGAGGGAGAACAATACAATAGAGGTAGCGAATAGCTCGGCATCATCCTTTATGCTGATCTTACTGGAGCAGATAGACCCGGCACGATCGAAGTACCAAAGCTGGAACATGTTTCCGTCGACATGGATCCCCAAAACATGCCGCCGATTTCCAATTGTTGATAACGTACGAAGAGCGTGGTGTTTGAGCGAAGAAGGATCGGGGGTAGGAGGCGACAGTTTTTTGGGAATGGGATCGGGCCTTTGTCGTTTTCCATGTCGGTTAGACCCAGCAGACATATCAGGTGGTGACTCGCGGTGTTGACGTTTGGTTCCTCCTGGGGAGTGATCATGTCGTGGCTCGGGAGAACGGTTAGGTGAAGACGAAGGCGGGACCCGATTATCGGAGAGTCGCCATGAACTTGCGTCGGAAGAGGGTGAAGGAATAAGGCTGGGGTTTGCATCGATGGTTACGAGTGCATTTGAAAACCCGAATTTGAGCTTCCCGTTTGCCGTTGTCTGCACCTCAACGCCGAGACATCTGGAGGAAAATGATTGGCTCGATTTGGATCGCCGCTCGCGTTGGGGACGCTTGGCATAGTGTATATCGTGGAGGTACCGCTGATCGAAGCCGAACTCGCGTACTTTGATCAGTATCAGATTGAGGAGGCGCATAAGTTGAATATCCGGGTCCGCTCTGAACACTGGCAAGTCCTTCTTGAAGCTGTACATTTCCATATATCGTTTTCTGCAGGAAAGGAACTTCCTGCTTTTTACCACTCGCTCCGCTGCCTCCGACAACTGTGGAGGTGGCGTTCCAAATACGGCATTACAAAAGTTCGTAAAGTTCACTTGAATGTGGCTTTCCTCGGGTGGACTAGGTGGGGGTTCCGCTGGTGCGACAGTGGGTCTTGGCGCCGAGGGACCAATCAAACTTTGTGTTTGTGCATCTGACTTGCCATACGATTGGTCTTCATGTTCCCGACACGCGAGAGTATTATGGACATGGACTCCAGTTCCACTGAGAAACTGCTTCGTTCTCTGTCGTAATTTAGATAACAAATACACTTATGGGGGTAAGTCAATAGAAAGGCATTTGGAGTCACACGACGAACCTGGGGCAATTATTCCCTGTTGCTCTGGCTCTAAGACGGGAAAAGATACTTCCTGCTGCATATGGAGACAATGGGGAGGGGGGAGGAGGAGATCTGCGAGCCCGAAGAGTCAGGATTGCGGATTGCGCTTGGACTCCCTGGTTTGAACTCACTACAGCGGGGTCAGTGAATTATGCTTCGAGGCGGTTCACAATAATCAAATAACTATACAGATCTGATTGCAGGTCTAAGATAATCTTGAAGCTCACAATTGCTTGTTGAAACGTGCCAAACAAGCATTGGCGGAAATAGCCGTGCAACGATCGCGTGTCCGAGGTTTCCGCGCTCCTTCGAATTATATACATCTGCCGATAGGCAGGACTCCATGGCAAGCCTCTATGACTTCGTAATAATTAATCTACTGAACGCGCATGCTCGTCGTTATCCGCACTCTTCAACAATATTACCGCTCGATCCAGCATTTAGCTGGCTTGTTTCGTTCACCTTTCCCTTTCTCGAGCTGATGGCAAAGTACATCGCCTTGGGCCTTTTCTTTACATGCTGCATCTGTTGTACGCACCCTTTCGCATGCGAGTGTCCGTGCTTTTCAGTCATTCTGTTTGACCTGTTTTTCTCCCGTGCTAATGGCAACCGAGCACGATCAAGCACGCATTCCTTCATCCAGGCTCTTTTCGTGTCTCGGAACTGATTGTTCGCCTTGCTGTTAGTAGGACCTTTGAATGTCATCAGCCTTTTCATGGTGATGACTACACATCCTCCCTCGGGCACTCAGTCACTCAGTCAGCCATTGCCAATTATTCACTACATCTATTTATGCGTCAGCGTCCGAACACGTACACTACATAATACTAAATAGGAATCTACGAATCCAGCGTAAAGGTGCTTAACCCCAACAACGTTAAATTCATCAGCAACGCAACCACCAGGCGCCAGATACAAGCACGAGTCCGTTCCAATAACGTGAACTGAGGAAAAGAAGAAACCCAACAAGGAAATCCCTATTGGGAGTTAGGCAAGCCTTGCCCCGCAAAGCCTAATAGCACCGATAGTCCCATTAGGCCACATTCGTACACCAACATTTCGGCCTTCAACATACGTCCCATACATCCAGTCTTAGACCATCGGGGAAGGGCAATTGAAACATTTTAAAGGTTAAAGGTGTCTGTAAAGTCCTTACTCCGCAAGAATTCTATTCCCTTCTTCCGGAAATCATCGGTAATCACGTTGAAGTCCCCATTTCCGATGTGCAACATGTGGCGTTGCCTTCCGTACTGGGGCCATTTGGGCACTGCACGACACAAATAATGCATCAGACTTTGGGAAAAGGACAAAAGTGAGGGGGGGGGGGTGGCGCTTACAGTATGGGCGGTTAGGTTGGAAGGAGTTCGCAAAGGCGACCCAGGCGCTGACCATGTATAACGAAGTTGTGCCCAGAACCGTGGTCCTGTTCTGGACAGCATACAGGCCGAATACTAGTATCGGCATCGATGCGAGGGAGGATATGAAAGTCAGAATTCTGTTCTGCAGTGGATGTGAGAGGGGCCACTCCAACTCACCAGATGGAACCTCACTTCCGTGATAAACACCCAAATATGGTGGCGCACCTGGAGCCACTTGGGTATAATGATATGACCATGCCGGATAATTCGCATTGCGCTTGACATAAGCGTCCAGCAATGCGCGTCGACCTGTGTAATATAAAATGGAAATCAACGTCATTGCTCAACATTCGTTGTTCCAAGATTCGATCGCACACACCACTGTGGAAGACAGAATCCCCGAACACGCTTGCAGCCCTCTTGTATTGATTGTGCGGCCCAAAGAACCGATCATTTTTACTTACCCTGATCGGATTATAGGGACTTCCAAGTGCGGGGATATCTGGGTATAAGTCTAGAAGAACGTTGAACAATTTCGTTTGTTCTGGGGTCGCTAAACTAAGGTTTCCGACATAAAGTAATTCTGCCGCAACAAGACAAACGGAAGTAAGTTTCTGCGCGTGGAGATAGCACAGCATGCCTATGGGGAAAAATAGTAAAGGAAAACGAACCTCTGAAATAATTCACCATTTCGTCCGAAGTGTTGAACGTGTGGGGTATAAATTGCGTCCCTTCGTCGAGGTTACACCCCGTGATGACTGGCACAGTTGCTACATTACCCCTTCTTACTTCTTCGGCCGCACCTCCCTCCTTAAAGAAAAATCCATCCACCACCCTGTTGAAAGGAAACGCGGAGTGGGTCGCATTTAACGTCACTAGTGAAGCTCGGTAAAGCGCTTCAGAGGATTTCGAACGAAGACATGATATGATAGAGGAATTGGAGGGGGGGCAACCTGCCGCTGCAACAAAGATACTTGTCCAGGGTAGAAGATCGGATACAATGGGAGCTGGGATACTGACGATGGAATGGAGCAATGATCAAACAAAATCGGAGAAGATGCGGGTGAAATAAATTTACCCTGCTGGAAATCCGCTCTCCATGATAGCACCATGGAATAAATTGTGCTGTTTTGCGTACTGTCCGCCTCCAGCGACAAGGAGAGAACCAATCCCCATCGCACCTGCCGACTCACCGAACACTGGACAGGTCGAAATTTCAAATCCATCCCGCCATTGCAAATCGATTGGAATTTACCTGTCACCCGGTCCTTATTTCCTCCGAAAGCACCAATATTCTCTTGCACCCATTTTAATGCACCGATCATATCGTATAAACCGGCGTTGAGCGTTCCAGTGGTAGGATCGGCCAGTTCAGGAGAGCCAAGGAAACCAAAGGCATTTAGACGGTAATTGAAGGAGACGAAGATGACAGATTCGTTCTGAGTATTCGAATCATCGTCACAACGACGTTGGGCGTCAAAAATTGGGGGATGAGATGCCGGAAGGAATTGCTCATACCAGAAAAACGCTCTGCCTGACGATCTCTGTGCCATTGAAGGTTTGCGACGCACCCGTAGTAAAGCTTCCTCCATAAATCCAAACCATGACGGGAAGATTCGCACTACGGGGCAGGTTCGAGGGACGGAAAACGTTGATAAAGAGACAATCTTCAGATAAGTCAGAGACTGTTATGTCCAGGGTGCCCTAAAAACGAATCATCGGAGAAGTTAGGGAAAGATCAACAAGGGAGAGAGAACATACTGGGCGAATCGGTTGCAAACATGCGTTCCCGAACTTGGTGGCATCTATCGTTTCACTTGCATTCACCGTCAACGGTTGGGGCTTCGCAAACCTCAGCTCGCCCAATGGCGGCTGAGCATAGGGAATGCCCAAAAAATAATCCTGACCAAATTGAGGCACACTGAGACCTGTAAGGAGACCTTGAGCTAGTTGAACCTGAGGCCCAGTCAAGTTGGTGGGAGATGGGACACCATCCGTCCAGCGAGGAGATGCAAGGAATGACCACCCAGAAGGATGACTGAAGGGCGGTAGTGAAAGCACTGAACAGCACAGAGAAAGGACCACGAGGAGAATGCTCTTCATCGCTGGCTTTGGCTTCGTAGTCACTATGTAACTACTGCCTGTAAGTGAGTGATGCTCTGTAGGATAGGCGGTAAATGTCAAGCTGTTTCGCTTTAAGGTGGTGCTGTGATCACAGCTTTGCTGAAAAATAATGATTACATAAAAGAAGGGCACGTTTCATGGGAGGCGGATTATATTACATATTGGTGATTAGTCCAGGGAACTTCGTGGTAATGGCAATGGATCGAAGAGGCATTGCATGGGAAAATCAAATCTGGAGGTTGTTCGCTCCGGGTGGGCATGGCAATACATAAGATGCAGAGCATTACACGGACATCGAAGGTTCCGTTTTCAATCCAGTTGCAATCCAGCACTCAATATGGGAAATGGAATCGGGGTCTTGCGCCCGTGTTCTTGTTGCCTGTCGTTGAATGTATGACGACTGCACAGCCACCGGACAGCCTGACGCGCAATTGACTTTTTCGCAAGACTTTCGTGCAGGGCAGGGCTAGCCTCTATGACTGCTGATCGTGTGATCGTGGGCGCTAGAATAATAATTTCCGCAAAAATAAGAAGAAACTTCTTGTTGGAATTACGACTCACTGGGGGCGGAGATGCGTGCCCGGTGTTTATGTGGTGATTCATGTGGTATTACTAAGCACAGGAGTTGCCTTACATGGGACCGCTCCGTCATAGATTTCATTTTGTCTATAAATAAGTACACAACTGACGTTCACAATTTTGTACATCTGGTCTCGCGAGTGTAGCCGCTGAGGTAGCGAATTGCCTTATACGAAATCCCTCTAGAGGCTGGTGTCCTGCCTACGAAATCCTTAGAAGCCTCGACAATATGAACTGAGGAACCGATGAAGTGCCAGAAAAGTGAGCCTCAAATTCAAAAGGGGATCTCAGCGCTAAATTCGTCGCATGTCAGCATTTCGGCTTTCAACATAGGGGTTTGATATGGTCACGATGCCGCGTGGCTCCCCGCGCCCGGCCGGCCGTACGCTGTGCCAATGTATGGCATCACACTACCATCTGGCACCGCATCCCGGTCATCGCGCGCCCGACTTTGCTCACGTTAATTATTCCTAGCGCCACATTGCACTGTAATAGAAGAGATGCATGATTCCTAGTGATGATAATCATCAGTTCAACAGTTCTCTCCTCTCGCTGACATTCTAAATGTAAGTATGCTGCCACTTTGGCATAACAACATCCAGTTTCAGACATTCTAGAGGCTAAACATGTCCGTAGAGTCCTTGCTCTTCAAAAACTCTATCCCTTTCTCCCGGAAATTATCAGCGATGACGTCAAAGTCCCCGTTCCCGATGTGCAACAGATGGCGTTGCTTCCCATACTATTTGGGCACTGCGATACAAACGATGCATTAGATTTTAAGGAAAAGAACAGGAGTAACAAAACGGGAGAGGGGGACCCACAGTATGGGCAATTGGGTTGGAAGGAATTCGCAAATGCAGACCATGTATAACGAGGTCATTCCCAGAACTGAGGTTTTGTTCTGAACAGCGTAGAGTCCGAATACTAATAGCGCGGGTGGTGCGGATACTAAATGGAATCATCATGGAGCGGACCAAGGGAGGGGTGCGAGGCATGAGGACGATCAGGACTTCAGAATCCTGCTCTGCAGTGAAACGGCATTGTAACTCACCAGATGCAGCCTCGCTTCCATGACAGATACTAAAATATGCCGGGGTTCCCGTACAAAGGTATGGATAGGGCACGTCGCGCTTGACATATGCATCCAGCAACGCGTCGACCTATATGATTTCCAGCATCAGATAAACCAACACCATTGTGGGGCATTGGTCCCTCCAAGAATCCCCCATCAGAGCGGACGGTAGGGCAAGTGTTGTTGGCTCTAGCGTCGCTTCACTAACGTTTCTGACGTAGAGCCCTATCATGGAGAGCGGAGGTCCAGCCAGGAAAATTGTTTCACCCTTCGCTTCACTTCTCCGATTTCCAAATCCTTCATTTGATGCCAGTATCCCCGTTCGCACTGTGTCCGACCTCCTACCCTGAACGAATATCTCCGCTGCCGCGGCAGCTGTCTTCCCTCCAATTCCTCGATCACATTATGCCTTCACTCGAAATCCTCTGAAGTACTTTATCAAGGTTCACTCGTGACATTAAATGGGAACGACCCAAGACCCCCCTTCATCCGAGTGGTGGATGCATTCTTTTTCAACGTGCCGCAGAAGAGGTGAGAAGGGGTAAGTAATGTAGCGGCTGTACCCATCATCACAAGATGCAATCTTGATGAAGGGACTTGTACTGCGCACGCTTGATACTACCATTGAACGAAATGGTGGATTATTTCAGAGGTGCGTTTCCTTTGGCTGTTTCCTGCATTCCTCCTGTGGAGAAATGTTGAACTCACATGACTCTTATTCTGCTCGTCTTGTTCACTATAAAATAGGTTGTACTGTTCCACAAAATCCCCGCCTTAACGGGTTGTAATTTCAAATTCTCATCACCCATTGCAAATTTGTCGGACTCACTCATACCGGAAACTCTGCCCGACGATCGCCAAGCCATCATATGGTTGTGACGTTCCAATATAAAAACCAAACCATTACGGGAATGGACAGATTATTACGAAGTCATAGAGGCTGGAGTCCTGCCTAAATGGACAGGTAAGTTAGAGGCAGGAAGATGTTGCTAAGTCTGACAAGTCGGAGGCTGTCGGGCCTGTCGGGCCCACCCAGGGCAATCTAAAGGGCAACATTTACCTGCAAAAGTTGGAGGGAAATCAACATGAGAACAACATACTTCGGTCGGTTGCAAAACATGCCTTTGCGTATTTGGTGGCATCTACCTTGTGACTGGAGTGATGAGAATTGTGGTGCCTAACCAGAGATGTCACCTCGTATAGATTTTGAGTTTGTCAGTAACTAACTGGACCCGGGAAGAGAAAGCTTCCTCATCATCCGCTATATGTAGCTGGCCACGATACCGCCAGAGTATACTAGAGCCATCCCAGGTGAGCCGCTCTGGGCTCATAGCCTGTTGGAGTGGCTGCGGGAGTCGAGATTGGGCTTTGACGCAACTTTTTTGGCACTCTGCCCGCGGCTCCAGTTCAATGGAGCTTAGCATACGGTGTCGGATCTTCGGAATGCAGTCGAAATCGCAGGAGGGGGGACTCGTCTTGAATTAACAATGATGGGGTGGTCCTCCCTCTTGCTTAGAACTTCCTCGAAGGTCATTTTGCTGATAAGTGAGAGCAGAGTTCTCGAGGAAGTGTAGAAACACGAAGTGAACGAGCAACGAGGTGAAAACGCCCTGCTGCCACTCGCATACTCCGAAGATCCTCCGTATGCTAAACTCCATCGAACTGGAGCTGCGGGCAGAATGTCAAAAGATCGCATCAAAGTCCAGTGAGGCCCATCTCGCCTCCCCTGCAGCCGTTTCAACATATACTGCGCATTTGCACAATGATTATCCGATCGGCGTGTTTCGCCGCGATCCCGAATTGGGTTGATTCGGCCGGGGATTCCCCTTATCACTCTATTCCCTGTGTTGCAATGTAAGTGGTGCAGTCTTGCTGCCTGGGGCGAGTAGGATCCCATATGATTTCTGGTAATTGTTGCCGACTTTTCTCCAGCTCTCGGCCTTGCCCATTGCGCGCTTTACTGACGTTACTAGGAATCGAGCGGATAGGCACTCAGTTCCTAGGCAAGACTCCAGCCTACTAAGTTCCAACGATGTGAACAAACAATGCAGTTACAATATCAATGGCATGATGCTCGCAAACACAACTAGAAATCTCACACTTCTGTTCCAACGAATATGAACTAAGGGGAAAAGAAGAAATCCGGCGAAAAATCCCAACGGTTGCGAAGGTGCCTCCAGCGCGTCTAACCGTCGACTTGGCACTATTCCTTCGGATTAGGCTATATCCCGAGTCACACGTTAGCATTTTAGTTTTTCGGTGGTCCAGTCTCAATCATTGACGAGAAGAGTAGTATCTTTAGAGATTAAACGTGTCCGTAAATTCCTTTCTTTGCAAGAATTCCATCCCCTTCTTCCGGAAATCATCAGTGATGACATCGAAGTTCCCATTCCCGATATTCAACATATGGCCTCGCTTTCCGTACTTGGGCCAATTGGGCACTGAATTCGACGCAAACAATGAATCTGAACATCCGGAAAAGAACGGAAAAGAGCAGGTGGCGGCTTACAGTATGGGCGGTTAGGATGGAGGGAGTTCGCAAAGGCAACCCAGGAGCTGACCATGTATAACGAGGTCATACCCGGAACCGAGGTTTTGTTCTGGGCAGCGTACAGGCCAAATACTAATATCCAATCAAGGCAAGCGAGAGCATGAAGATCAGAATCCCACTTCTTTGTAATGAAAAGAACTCACCGGACGGAGCCTCACTTCCGTGATAAACACCCAAGTATGCCGGTGTGTCTGGTATTACTTGGGTGTAAAGGTATGTCCATGCGGGATAATCCACATTGCGCTTGACATATGTGTCCAGCAATGCACGTCGACCTATATAATGTCCCGCATTGGACCAATATTAACGCCGTTGGTAGGCATTCGTTGCCCCAAGAGTTCGTCCAATGGATCATGGCACACACCACTCTGGTAGGCACCATCCCCAAACAAACTTGCAGCTCTCTTGTACTGATTATTCTGGCCAAAAAATCGATCGTCTTTACTTGCCCCGACTGGATTATAGGGACTTCCAATGGCAGGAATATCGGGATATAACTTCAGAAGGACCTTGAAGAGCTTCGTTTGCTCTGGTGTCGCTGCACTGAGATTTCCAACATAAAGCAACTCTGTGCCAACATGGCAAACGGAATAAAAGTAATGTAAGCTTCTCCATATGGAGAATAATATAGCCCTTCTCCGTAGAAGTCCAGGAAACGAACCTCTGAAATAATTCACCATTTCGTTCGTAGTATTGAACGTATGCGGTACAAATAATGTCCCTTCGTCGAGATTGCACCCAGCGATAACGGGCACAGTTGCTACATCGCCCCTTCGGACCTGTTCGGCTGCGCGTTTCCCCTTATCAAAAAAGAATCCATCCACAACTCGGGGGAAAGCGAGTGCATACTTAGTGGCATTTAACGCCACGAGTGAAGCTTGATAAAGTATTTCAGAGGGTTTTGAACGAAGGCATGATATGATCGGGGAGTTGGAGGGGGGACAGCCTGCCGCTCCAGCGAAGATATTTGTCCAGGGAAGGAGATCGGACACAACGGGAACGGGGATACTAGTGGCGGCAATCAGACAAAGGACTCGAAGACCGGAGAAGGAAAGGAAGGTACGGGTGGAACAAACTTGCTGGGGCTCCGCTCTCCATGATGGCACCATGAAATAAGTTGTGCTGTTCCACATAATGTCCCCCTCCAGCGACAAGGAGAGACCCAATCCCGATCGCACCCGCCGACTCACCAAATACTTGACAGCCGTAAATTCACATTGCCGCCATGAATTGATCAGAACCTACCTGTCACTCGATCCTTATCTCCTCCAAAAGCACCAATATTCTCCTGTACCCATTTCAATGCACCGATCATATCGTGTAGGCCAGCGTTGAGCGCTCCGACCTCAGAATCGTGCCCCAACTCAGGAGAGCCAAGGAAACCGAACGCGTTTAGACGGTAATTGAAGGAAATATAGATGACAGATTCGTTCTGAATAGTCAAAACATCGCCACAACAGGGTTGCATGTCAGAAAATAGGGCTGAGTGTGCTGGAAGTACTACTTAAACCAGAAAAACACTCTGCCCGACGATCACCGATCCATTATACAGTTGTGATGCACCAAGAGTAAAAGCTCCTCCATGGATCCAAACCATTACAGGAAGTTTTGAGCCGTGGGCCAGGTTTGAAGGTCGGAAGATGTTGATAAAAAGGCAATCTTCTGACAAGTCAGAAGTTGTTAGACCTGTAGTGGTTGAAAAGGAAGTTGTTGTTATGCCTGTGGTCTAAAAAAAAAGTCATCCACGAGATCTGGGGGGAATCAAAACGAGAGGACATACGCTGGTCGGTTGCAGACAGGCTTTTCCGTACCTGGTGGCGTCTATCTTGTGAGTCGTATTCAGTTTCGGTGGTTGTGGCTTCGCAAACCTCAACCCGCCCAATGGAGGTTGAGCATAGGGGATGCCCAGGAAATAATCCTGGCCGAATTGAGACATGCTCAGACCTGTGATGAGACCCTGTGCTAGTTGGACCTGAGGCCCGATCAGGTTGGTGGGAGCTGGGACACCATTTCCCCAGCGAAGTACAGGCAATGACGGCTGCCCACCCGTGTGCAATGAAGGATGACGGACGGACGGCAGCGAAAACACCGAATAGAAGAGCGAAAGAACCACGACGAGAACGTTTCTCATCTGCACCTTCGTAGTCACCATTGTCAGCCCTGATATGACTTAGCTTCTGGAGACTGCTGCTGATGAACAACACACTGCGGTGTGGCAAAGCCTTTTCGCTTTCGCTGACTGCAAGTTCACGCTGTGATCCTAGGCTCTTCCGACGGAGAGGCGTAGGCAAAAGTAGCCAACACGGATGGAAACCAGATGGGAAAGCCCCTGGCCTTCTCATAGAGGTGATGAAGAAGAGAGCAGGTTGTGACAACGGTGACCGATAGCCGATCAAGGAGTCGCGGTGGAATTCCCTGGATCAGGCTGGGTAGTAGGGAAAGAATATGCCCAACCTAGTGCAACGCTCTCAATCCAATCCTACCGCATCATGCCTCTCACCCCTGGAAACGCAGGGTCCAAGACCCTTGAAGACGCAAGTAGTGATTTCACCTAGTACTCGTGGCTCAATCAATATAAGTGGGTTGTTAGCCAACTTCGTGTACTGAGGAAATTTTACGGGAGAAGTTTTCAGGTGCCCGTAGTTTTTTTCAATTGCAACATTACAGTCAGGTCGGCCTTGCCCGTCGTTCGCTTACTCCATGCATCCTCGTACGTTGAGTAATGCTTTGTCAATCACTGTAAGGCTCTCTGCTGTGACTCTCTGTTGTCCGGCCTTCCTGGCTCCCATTCTTAGGAACCAATGGATTTAAAATCTCAGCGTTTGGAAGCTGTTGGGATACAAGTCATGATCCCGGCCGACAGCAATGTGCTGTGCTAGCACTCAACATCCCACTAGCCTTCCCGACGCAACTGCGCGCCCTGTAGCACAGCCTATTAGTTAAACATAATGTATCATAGCGTCTGCCTTACCTCGTTGAGTGTAGCTGCCAAGCTACGTCCATATCGGGCTGGTTATAACAATCAACACTCCCACCAGAGTGCAAAATACGTCCTCCATGACTCGTCGTTCTACGTTACGAGTCTGAGTTCGACAACGCCCTCTTTGCTCCCCGGACTGTCAGATTTCTAGCAACGTTGTACACGTCGCAGTGGTGGTACATATTGATCTCTCTTATGGCCTCACGGTAATGCAGGCATCCATTAGATGAAACCATGGCGTAGTACCAGGCAGGACCAAACTTTATTGGGAGTTACATGAGGAATTGTCGATACACAAGAACTTGCTCTTCTATAATTACTATGATATAATGCTCATTGTGTCTTCTTGTTCTATCTCCTACTCTGCCTCCTCTTCGTCTCGCTCGTATTCCTGGTCCATCATTGTGGTACATCTGCATGGGGCTGGGCAGTTCACGCATTCGAGTAGCGGAATGGTTCCAGCAAACACAGAATGGATGCCATTGGTGTTGCCGAACGGTTGAGGAGTCCGTCCATATGTCACATCATGATCCCAACATGTAGATTATCTTGGGCGCCACAGGGCCTCAAGCCAAACTGAATTAGGTTCTTGTGTATATGTAGGGGTGGGTGCAAATTTGGACCAAAGTGGCTTGGCGCCCATTTAACTGACGCTCTTGTATGTAGCCAATGTGTCATATTCATGCATATCCGATCCTGACCCGACTCCCGGACCTCCTTCTTCACCACCTCTGGAGTCCTACCCTACCACTGTCCATTCCGATATTCACCTTCGGTCCTGACACCACACCTCTCACCCCCCCATGCCACCTCCACTCCTCCGTCCTTCTCCTGTCCCATCTCCGTCCGCTCCAATACTCACCTCAGACTGAACACCACTCCTCTCGCCACCCTCCTCCTACTCCTCCTCCCACTCCCCTGCTCCCTCCTCACAACACCTCCACCCTTCTGTCATCCTCCTACCCTTTCCTGTCTGCTCTGATACTCACCTTTGGACCTGACAACTCTCCTTTCCGCCACTCCTTCCCTCTGCCCTTTTCCCTCTCTCTTCCCTCTGGTCCTCTTCTGCCGACCTCCTGCCAAGTTACGACCTTCCGCTGCTGTCCCATACCTCGTACTTGGACACTGCTCGTACCTTTGCTCCGAGACTCCATCATAGCCCCTACCTCGGACTTTGACTCCACCTTGGCCTTAGTCCATTGCATTGGTGACCTCATACTATGTAAACACCATTGCCAATATTCCTTGGACTTTCAACCCCACCTCCGTAACCTCCATAAGCTCTGCAACCCCTGAGCTCCATGGATCATCTTCGGCACTTTCGCCGCCTGTAATGTATCTCTCGGGTTTTCCCCTCATCCCTATTTGGACTGCTGCTTCTTCCCATTCTAGCCAGTTAGTCATCATCTGTCATATCTGTGCATACCCGATCCCGACCCGACTCCCGGACCTCCTCCTTCACCACCTCCGGAGTCCTACCCTACCGCTGTCCGTTCTGATATTCACCTTCGGTCCTGACACCACACCTCTGCTTACCTCCCATGCCACCTCCACTCCTCTGTCCCTCTCCTCTCCTATCTCCGTCTGCTCCGATACCCACCTC